ATTCGTTTTTCTTTTATTTTGAGAATAAAGTCGTAACATTAAGAGAATAAAGTCGTAAAATTACGAGAATAAAGACGTAAAATTACGAGAATAAAGACGTAACATTAAGAGAATAAAGTCGTAAAATTACGAGAATAAAGACGTAACATTAAGAGAATAAAGTCGTAAAATTACGAGAATAAAGACGTAACATTAAGAGAATAAAGTCGTAAAATTACGAGAATAAAGACGTAACATTAAGAGAATAAAGTCGTAAAATTACGAGAATAAAGACGTAACATTAAGAGAATAAAGTCGTAAAATTACGAGAATAAAGTCACAATATTAAGAGTATAAAGTCATTTAATTTTGAGAAACAAGTTGTATTTTATGCCAACTGTCTTCATGTCAAAGTGGACTCTGGTTGCTGATTGGTGGAGCTGGTCTGACGTCATCTGCTTTCTTTCTGAAACCGGTTTTTGTATGATGACTTTTTCTTGTAATGTTACGACTTTATTCTCGTAACAGAAGAAAAAAATATCTATCTAATACTCTGTCGTATAAAACTCATCCATTTTGGGTAAAATCCAAAATAAAATCAGTTAATCTGACGGAGAAAGAGTCGGTCTGGAGTCGCTCATCGCGTTTATAGTGAGCAGGACAGACTGGAGCACAAACATTAAAATAAAAAACTTTCCCCATGATGGGAGATCAGGACAGAAACAGATAAAGTAGAGATCCTCCAGAATGAGGAGGAGACAGAGCAGCTCAGCGCAGCGGATCTATCTCTCCTCTTTATGGAAAAAGATAGAAAAACTTTCCAGATCTCTCTGAGAATCACCTCTCTGTCGCCATAGAAACCGTCCCACAGAGTTTATTGCTGCGATTTTCTTATCTTTAGACGTAGATCTCATTATGTTTTTAATAGACGAACATTCTCTATCTGTTCTAGTTCTAGAAGCTGCACAGACCCGTTATGTAGAGCTTTGCTTTATAGAATGAGAATGTGGGAAATAGATGTAATGCGTCTCTAGCAGAGAGTGAAAAGCATAGATCTGCTCCTCCTGCCTAGTCAGAGCTTGTCTATTCGCAGTCAGTGGAAACGTTTAAAATCAATCCTCTGGACTTTATGTCCACGTCTGAAGACGTTTCTCTTCCATCCAGGAAGCTTCTTCTATTCAAAATGTCAGAAATAGTTCCAGGTTTAATCCAGCAGCCCAGCAAAGCCTGGTTTTATTAGAATGTCCTCGTCCCACTGAGTGCGTATAGAGAGGCTCTGACTAGGCAGGAGGAGCAGATCTCTAGTTTTCACTTCCGACTCTGTGCTTCACACTCTTTAAAACTATTTCCCACATTATTTATTTTTATTTTCTGGAACTGACCTGGATTACTGCGAATCTTCACCAGCACATGTAAAATGGGGGAAAAATGGGACCAGAGATGAAAAAGTCTGCTGGTTTATTCAGGGATTCAGAGACGGGTGGGGGAGGGGCGTCATTTGATGGTAGATTTCTGTGAAGCCAGTTCCAGCTCCATACTGGGACTGCTGGTTGAACCACAGAGCAGCAGAGAAGGTAGCAGGAAGCTAAAGCTAGCCTGGTAGGGTTCTGTTCTGAGAACCATCCAGAACCAACAGCCGGGTCCAAACTATCAGGCCTGGGTGATAAAAAAATGACAGTTCTCAAATGTCCCGTTTCAGACCTTCAATAATTCTGGACCGGCTGGACGTCCCCCTGGGAAAGATCCTCTAAAACCTCCTCCCAGCAGACCTTCAGTTGCTCACTGATGACCCGCGAACACGTCAGAACCCGCCACAGGCAGTCTGGGTAAGGTTCTAGATGTTCTCAGAACCCTTTAGACCAGGAACCGGGTAACGGGTCAGAACCGGGTGTTAAAGTCCAGATCTGATGTTTGTGGATCAGAGTTTAGCTGCTGAGGAGAACTTTCTCTGAAACTTTATTCCTCAGGATGAAAGGAATGAAACTAGACTGGTTTAATCTACCAGTTTTAGTCCGTGAGGCAGACACCCTGTCTACTTTTAAGGCTAGACTTAAAACTTTCCTTTTTGATAAAGCTTCTAGTTAGAGTGGCTCAGGTTATCCTGATCTATCTCTATAGTTCTGCTGCTATAGGCTTAGACTGCTGGAGGACATAGGGACCCCTTTTTCCTTTTTCTATGTCTGCTTCTGTCTCCTTGAACCCCAGTGGGCCTCAGCAGATGGCCGCTCACACTGAGCCTGGTTCTGCTGGAGGTTTCTTCCTGTTCAAAGGGAGTTTTTCCTCTCCACTGTCGCTACAAGCATGCTTAGTGTGAGGGATTGCTGAAGAGTCAATGAGTCGATGCAATCAGCTGGTTTTCCTTAGATAGAAAACTTTGAATCTATCTGACTGGATGATCTGGTTGATGTGGATCTATAAAGTGACGTGAGGTGACTTGTTGCCGTAGAGATAAATTGAGGTGAAAGCGATGAAGCGTCAGCGTCAGCCATGGCTGCTTAGAAGCCTCTGATCTCCTCCTGCTCCTCCTCCTCTCTGATCTCCTGCTGTGGTTTCAGTTGGCAGTTAACCCTCCACAGCTGACGCCTGGATCCAGGGCGCCGCCTCAGCAGACATGTTGAGAGGTTGGGTTCTCTCCAACATGGCTGCCGTGCCGCCCGGCCTCCTTCTGCTCTGTGGTCACTTTATCGGACCGCAGAGCAGATGATCTGATTGGTTCACAGCTGCTTCCTGTGTGGCTTTAGCGCCACCAGAGAGGTTCTATCTGCTCTGGATCTAGGCTGACTGGACAGAGGAGGTGCTGCAGACTGAGGGGTCCATCAGTTCTGACCCGGGAAGCTCCTCCTGGACCCGGCAGAACTCTCTCTGTTCTAAGGACCATTTAGATGATGAGGTCGGGTTCTGGTCCGATAAGCCGGCGCTGATCCAATCAGCCTTCCTGTTCAGCAGGAAGCGTCGTATCCAAGCAGAACTTCTAGTTCTGGTTCAGGACCCGGAACCGTTCAGAGACGCTGCTGCTCAGAACCTCAGGACGGTTCCGGCAGCTTCAGGGTCCGGTTCTGTTCAGGGTTCTGCTGCCTGGTTTCAGTTTACTTTGACTAAACCAAACAGAACCTACACAGAACCCAGGCCCGTTCACATCCTTGGTTCTGGTTGTCTCTAGTAGTTCTGGTTCTGCGGCCTCATTTTAACAGGTCCGGCCCAAATTCAGGCGAACCAACCTGATGCGGTCCAGTGAAGCGTTTATTAAACCGCGTTCGGGTCGGGCGGTAATGGAAGCGGGCTCAGAAGGTTCCTTTAGGTCCGCTGGATTTCAGCGCCGTCAGTCTGACCTGAAGATCTAGCGGTTCTGTAGAACCCGTTTCACAGCTGGGTCCGGGTCGGACGGAACCGTCAGAAACAGAACCTTTTCCTGCTCTTCATGTTCAGCTTAGAAACGGTTAAAAAAAGCCCAGATGGTTCTGGTTCCTTTGGTTCTGGTTCCCTTGGTTCTGGTTCTGGTCGGCTAATATTTTCACATTAGATTTTATTTAAATAATTTTATTAAAACTCGTAAAAATGTATATTTAACATTAATTCTAAAGTGAAAGAAAATAAATGATTTTGAGAAACTTTAAAAAAAATTTTTAAACTTTACAAATGATTTTTAGACTCAAATTTCATTTTAATATTTTTATTTTAAGTTGAAATAAGTTTAAATTTTTATTGAAACTAAAAATGTTTTTAATCCATCAGGCTGAGTTTATATTTATTTTTTCTGCTATTTTGGGACAAATTTCTTCTTCAAATATTGTTTTAAGTTTAAATTGGCAAATTATTAACTAATTAATCCATAAAGTCTGATTAGCTAATTAGCTGCGTCTTTCTTTAATAAACTAAAACGTTAAAATCAGACGCCTGTCGATGCTAACTCTGTTAGCTAGCTCACTGCTAATCAATTTACCGCTGCTGTTAAAGCAGATCTTATAAATAGATATTAAATGTTACATTTCAGAAAAATAAAGGTTTATTTTTTAGTTTTTTATCCAGAATATTTGGTAAAGTTGGATCAAACATGGCCGCCTGAAGCTACGCTAACGTTTAGCTTCCTTTCTTTGAGAAAAAAGGCTCTTTAATTGATTATTAAAAAGTGACATTAATGTTTTAAATGAAGCGTTATTAACGGCGTAAACATCGAGTCGCATCATTTTAATTTATTAATTTCTTTATTTTTCAACAGTTTGTTTTTTTATCTGATCAAATCATGTTTTTTAGTGACGCTAAATCGACTTTATTTTGGTTTAAAAAAGCAGGTATGTGATTAATTAAAAGTTTGTTTTTTTATATAAAACAAAAAAAAAGTTTAAAGGTTGAAAGTTTGGATAAAAAAATATTTTTTTTTTTCTTTGAACAAAAATGAGTAAATGAATAATAATTGTGTTTTAATGACTTTTAGTTGTATTTTTGCTCCAAACATTAAAATGTTTTTTCTTCAGAGCTAATGGTGCCTGCTAGCCGCTACGCTAACAGTCGGAGGTCAGTCTACAGACTGAAGGTCGGTTCTGTTCACCTAAAGGTCCAGAAACGCCACTTTTTACTCGGTTCTGGTGGAGAAACTAAAGATGGCCGCCAGGCGCTGCGTTCATCTCAACTTTGATGTTTTTGGTGAAACTTTTCTTTTTTTCTGCTTTCAGAAAATAACAGAAAAAGTTTCTTTAAAAAAAAATTTGATCCGAAGGTAAAAAAAAAATATGAAATCATAAACATTTCTGAATCAACATTTCGTTTTTTAACGTTTTTAGAAAATCGTTCAACGTGTTTTTCAGAGCCAGAAACAGTAAAAGATGAAATCAGATTTCTGTGTTTGCGTTCCTGACCCGGTACCGGTCCGGTCCATCCTCAGTGCCCCGGTTCTGTTCCACCCTGAATCTGAAGGTTTCTGCTGTTTTATCGTCACACAGAGGAAGACCCGCCTGAACGTGGTCTGAACCGGACTCCTGACGGTACCGGCTCGGTTCTGAGAAGCTTCTGAAGGTGAGACCTACCTGCGGAGGGCAGCGCCGAGGCCAGAACCAGCAGGCCTGGTACCAGGGTCCGGTCCATCTCAGAGCAGTCGCTACGGTTGTTGTTGAAGCTCCGGGTTCTGCAGCGGCGGCGGCGAAGTGAAGCGAGCTCGTCTGCAGCGCCGAGATGAAGTGGAACAGGAAGTGGTGAGGAGCTGCTGCGCCAGGTGACACGGCGACACACTTCTCCCACACAGCGCCAGGAAACCAGCTCGCTTCAGCAGCCTCAGCTGGTACCAGGGGCCGGGCCGGGCCGGGACCCAGAACCTCCCGCTGGAGCTGCAGGAGGAGAGGGAAACATCTGGACTCAGGAGGATCACCTCCAGGTGGATCCTCAAACACCACAAATGTTGCATCGTTTTGTTTAAAAATCTTTATTTATCTTCCAAAAATATCATCTGATCCAAAATATAAAACAAAGATGATTCTAGAAACACAAGCTGAGAAACTCAAACAGCTGATCCTCCCAAAAAGGAGAGAAATCATCTGGAAAAACAATCTAAAGCCAGGCTGCGCCTCCTGAACGCTGAGAATCATGGGAAATGTAGTCAGAGACAGAAACTGTCTGCTGCAGGTTCTGTGTTTTTCATTTTCAAACTGTTTAATCTGAGAGCGGCTACAATCAAACACGTCACACATTCAAAAGGTCAGAGTTCAACGAAAACACGGGAAAAAGGAGGCGCAGCGTGGAGAGAGACCTCCTGAAGAAGCTGAGGTCCGCCCTGGAGACGGAGGAGGAGGAGAACCTCTGATTCACACAAACACTTTGGCTAAAATCCAGCTTGGATGAAACGTCTACATATTAAAGTGCTTTAATACTCTGTACAATGTCTCCCTCTAGTGGTCAATCTGCTACATTACAGGATTAGGGCCACTGAAAAAATTAATTCATTGATTTCTACTATTTATTTCAGGAAAGACTTTAATCTGAATTTAATCTCAGAATCCTGAGATTAAATTCAGAATTTAGTCACAACTTTGATTTTTTTTTCCATATTAAACTGAACTAAAACTTTTCCTAGTGGCCCTAAACTGGTGCCCTACAGGCATCCTGGGTAAAAGGGGAGATCAGGTTATTATTTAATCAATCTAAATATTTATAATGACTTTAAATGGAGATTCAGATAATTCAATATTATTTTGATGTTTTAATCTGGATTAACCTGGAAATGAATCAATAATCTGAACAGGAAGCAGAAATCAGAGCTGGGAGCTGATTGGATGCAGAGCAGAGAGAACATTAGAGCTTCCAGTCCCTGAGGAAAGATCATCATCATCATCGCTCCATCTTCATCGGTCAGGTCAAAGGTTCCTGAACAGAGTAATAACCAGAGTGGACATCAGGGGGCGCTGTGCTCCGATCAGCCTAATAAAAGCTTGAACGTTTTCAATAATGATTCTAATTAAACAGGATCGTTAGCAGAATGTTTTTATTCATTCTAGATTCTAATTTCTGTTATTTTTTAACACAGATTTCATTTTCTGCTAAATCGTAACTAACTTTAAAGAATATCTGAGGACTACAAGCAGCAGATAAAGAACTACAACTCCCAGCAGCTCACCTTCAGTGATGCTTCCTGTGCGGCGCAGCCTGGAAGTACTCGTCAGGACTGACGGTCTTCACCCCTCCGAAGTAATCCAGAACCCAGACCTGAAACAGAAGGACGCCGTCAGACGGGACGGAGCAGGACGCGTCCAACGGGACGTCTAACAGGACCCGTCCAGCTGAACGTGTCCAGCAGATCGTGTCTAGCACGACGTGTCTAACAGGAAGTGTCCAATGGGACATGTCTGACAGGACGTGTCTAACTGGATGTGTCCAGCAGGAGCAGGACGTGTCCAACAGGACGTGTCCAGCAGGACGTGTCCAGCAGGACGTGTCCAGCAGGACGTGTCTAACTGGATGTGTCCAGGGGGACGTGTCCAGCAGGACGTGTCCAGGGTAACGTGTCTAACAGGACGTGTCCAGCAGGACGTGTCCAGCAGGAGTAGGACGTGTCCAGCAGGACGTGTCTAACAGGACATGTCTAACAGGAAGTGTCCAATGGGACATGTCTGACAGGACGTGTCCAGCAGGACGTGTCCAGCAGGACGTGTCTAACAGGACGTGTCTAACTGGATGTGTCCAGCAGGAGTAGGACGTGTCCAGCAGGACGTGTCTAACAGGACGTGTCCAGCAGGACGTGTCCAGCAGGACGTGTCCAGCAGGAGTAGGACGTGTCCAGCAGGACGTGTCTAACAGGACGTGTCCAGCAGGACGTGTCTAACAGGACATGTCTAACAGGAAGTGTCCAATGGGACATGTCTGACAGGACGTGTCCAGCAGGACGTGTCCAGCAGGACGTGTCTAACAGGACGTGTCCAGCAGGACGTGTCCAGCAGGAGTAGGACGTGTCCAGCAGGACGTGTCTAACAGGACGTGTCCAGCAGGACGTGTCCAGCAGGACGTGTCCAGCAGGACGTGTCCAGCAGGACGTGTCTAACAGGACGTGTCTAACTGGATGTGTCCAGCAGGAGTAGGACGTGTCCAGCAGGACGTGTCTAACAGGACGTGTCCAGCAGGACGTGTCCAGCAGGACGTGTCCAGCAGGAGTAGGACGTGTCCAGCAGGACGTGTCTAACAGGACGTGTCCAGCAGGACGTGTCCAGCAGGACGTGTCCAGCAGGAGTAGGACGTGTCCAGCAGGACGTGTCTAACAGGACGTGTCTAACTGGATGTGTCCAGCAGGAGTAGGACGTGTCCAGCAGGACGTGTCTAACAGGACGTGTCCAGCAGGACGTGTCTAACAGGACGTGTCCAGCAGGACGTGTCCAGCAGGACGTGTCTAACAGGACGTGTCCAGCAGGACGTGTCCAGCAGGACGTGTCCAGCAGGAGTAGGACGTGTCCAGCAGGACGTGTCTAACTGGATGTGTCCAGCAGGAGTAGGACGTGTCCAGCAGGACGTGTCCAGCAGGACGTGTCTAACAGGACGTGTCCAGTAGGACGTGTCCAGCAGGACGTGTCTAACAGGACGTGTCCAGCAGGACGTGTCCAGCAGGACGTGTCCAGCAGGAGTAGGACGTGTCCAGCAGGACGTGTCTAACTGGATGTGTCCAGCAGGAGTAGGACGTGTCTAACAGGACGTGTCCAGCAGGACGTGTCTAACAGGACGTGTCCAGTAGGACGTGTCCAGCAGGACGTGTCTAACAGGACGTGTCCAGCAGGACGTGTCCAGCAGGACGTGTCCAGCAGGACGTGTCTAACTGGATGTGTCCAGCAGGAGTAGGACGTGTCCAGCAGGACGTGTCTAACAGGACGTGTCCAGCAGGACGTGTCCAGCAGGACGTGTCCAGCAGGACGTGTCTAACAGGACATGTCTAACAGGAAGTGTCCAATGGGACATGTCTGACAGGACGTGTCCAGCAGGACGTGTCCAGCAGGTCCGGCTGTGGAGGTCCTGGTACCTGGGTGATGTTGAACTTGGCGAAGAACCAGCTGTGGTCTGTGGGCCAGTCGATCATCTCAGGGTGTCGGCTGAACAGAGCCTTCTTCGCATAGTCCGCCTCCGTCCCGTTCACCTGGAGGACAGAAGGTTCGGGTCAGGACACCGGGCTGGACATAACCCCCCCCCACCCAGGGCTTACCTGGACCACGGATCCAGACAGGATGATGTGAGCGCAGAGCGGACTCTGAGGGTCGAAGCCCTGCAGCCTGCAGTAGTCAGTCTGAGCCAGAGACATGGACAGGGACGCCTGGGGGTGGACCTGGGGACAGACCTCATTATTCCTCTACGCTTCTGGAAGGATTACAGATTAAACCAACAACTTTTCATTTCTGTTAATTAATAAGATTTAGTTTGATAAAAAAAACAACTTCCTGCTTATAAAACCTGACCGGTCACGTGACCTGGGCTCCAAACTGCAGCGTCACTGTTTCTAAGCAGATCTTATCTGTTTGCATAACCTGCTGAGTCATGCCGGTGACGTCAGCTGTCTGTTATTGTGGCTGCGCTCCGCTCACCTGCAGGTCCTGGACAGACACCTCCATGTGGGTCAGGTACATGTAGGGGACCCCGGAGCTGCTGCCGGGGGGGCCGTCGCTCACAGAGAACACGTTGGAGAACGGCTGCCCCGCCACCGGCGCGTGGGTGGAGATAGTGGCCATGGAGGCCCAGTCGCACTGGTGGGCGATGAAGCGGGCCACCCGGGCCACCTGGTCATGAGGAGGGATGTGGAGCCGGCAGGAGGCCCAGGAAAGGCCGAGGAGGAGCAGGAGGAGAACAGGCCGCGGAGAGGAGGCCATGGCGGGGGGAGTCTGAGGGACAGCTGCGGAGGAACTGAGATAAACAGAGGGACCACTTCCGCTACAGATCTTCACAATAAAACACACGTCCGGTTTTCACAACAAGAGATTAAAAAGTTACCGCAAGAGAGCGGAAAACCCTCCTTTTTCCGCCTCCTTTCAAAATAAAACCGGAAATAGTGGAGACGCTGCTGGAATATCAAAATAATCTCACAAGAAGTTTTAAAATTACCTTTCAGATTACAGATTTATGCAGATTAAAAAATATTTACCCTGAACTCAAACTGGATAAGAGATATGAAAAGTTATATATTTTGCAATTAAATAATAATATAGGCACAAAATGTTATATTAATATATTATAATATATATTTATGTAGAATATTATCATTCAGTATTTTAAAGGATTGCTCTTTGATTATGAGTTCTATGATCTATAGAACTGAATAATTCTATTCAGTTTATTTCTATAGCTCCAATTCACATCATATCATCTCAGGTCATTTTATAGATCCAGAACAACCAGATCATCCAGTCAGATTGATTCAAAGTTTTCTATCTAAGGAAAACCAGCTGATTGCATCGACTCATTGACTCTTCAGCAATCCCTCACACTAAGCATGCTTGTAGCGACAGTGGAGAGGAAAAACTCCCTTTGAACAGGAAGAAACCTCCAGCAGAACCAGGCTCAGTGTGAGCGGCCATCTGCTGAGGCCCACTGGGGTTCAAGGAGACAGAAGCAGACATAGAAAAAGAAGCATAGATACAAAAGGCAACTGTCAACCAGCTCCACAGGCGGCCCCGTCCAGGAAACACACAGCCAGGCAGACGAGCTCCGAGCCAGCTCCCATGTCAGAGGATGAAGAGAGCACATCCAGTTAGTCACAGTCAGAGAAACAGGACTACACTGGAAAACAGGCCAAGCTCCAACATCTAGAAACAAAGGTGTCTTTTAGAAATCAGGGCGTTTTAAGCTCATCTCTGCTCCTCATCTTGTTTAAACAGCAGAAAACCAGTAACTGTGAAACATGAGGATAATCTGTCATATAATCCTATGGGTGAAAGGTAATCCCTTGATCTGGATTATAATCTCCTTTTATTTGTGGATCTAAGGTGGAATAAAAGACCAGCATCCTGAGAGAAGTTTGCTAACTGTCAGTAGAAAATAAAGATTATATATTAAAACAGAAAATGGTTTTCAGAGCGTCTGAAGTCATAAAGTAGGGTTAGCATCCATTGACTGTAGTTGGTCTTGGTCTGACCTAAGATGGCCGCTCTCTGTATTTCCCACACATTTCCAGCAAACAGATGAGAAATATTTTTAATATTCAGGGAATATTAATGACTGAAATAATCTAAAAACATTGAAACAAAATAAACCAGAGACCATTTGAGCTCCCTTTCAAAGTAAGAGCATCACTGCAGGATTTTCAGAATAAAGGTCCTTCATTTAAACCTTTGATCTTTTAAATCAGTTCAGAGACGTTTGGTTTGAATATCTGATGATTTTATTACAAAAACAGATTAACAGCAGGAACCGTTCTAAAAGACGTTCTGGATGATCAGAGTTTCTCCGTCGCAGCCGGAACGTCACACGGGCTCTCCTCCAGGTGGAGCCATCCCTGGCAACCGTTGCTACGGCAGAGACAGGCCACTTCCTGTTTCTGAGGCGGAGCGGCGGCGTGAGGGCCGGCCGAGTAGTTCCAGGTCAGCTCGGTTCCGGCTTTAACCACCCTGACGGACACAGAACACAGTCAGACCCGGGCTGAGGGGAAAGGGGAGGGGCTTACTGTGACTCCTCCCCCTCACCTGCTGGTGAAGAAGGCGATGACGGGGAAGGCGGGGTCATGGCAGTCCGTGAAGACGTTCTGGATGAACAGGTTGGGCTGGCAGCTGTGCTGTGGGCGGAACATTAGAGTGTAAAGAATGGCCCCGCCCCTTCCTCTGGCCCCGCCCCCTTTGTGATGGACTCACGTTGATGAAGCGGCTGACGTTCCCCTCCTTGGTGGCGTCGATCAAGCAGACGTCGTCCATCTCTGCGGCCCTCTTCTGTCCCCTCTGATCGCCGTCCTCCTCGGTGTCCATCGCCACGGCAACCTTGTCCTCAGACAGATTTCCTGATGAGGGGGAGGGGCATAGAGGGGTCAGAGCAGGGTCAACACAGCGTCATGTGCGGTTCTGGTTGGACTGCCGACCTGCTGAAGGAGACGCCTGGTTCTGGTTCCGTGGCGGTGAGCTGGACTCATCGGGTCCCTGGATGACGGGGAGCTGCTGGTCAGAGGAGGGGGGCGGAGCCTCCAGCAGGTCGCTGCAGGCCTCCAGGACGGGCGGAGCCAGCCACTCAGTGACCACCTCCACGTCATCGTCAGACGGCAGCTCGTCGCGGGTCAGCTTGGGAGGCGGCGGGTCGCCGGGACTCGGGGCCCTCTGCAGAACCACGCCTGTTCAGGAGAGAACGCCGTGATGTCATCACCCCCGCCGGTCAGACGGAACCGAACGGTCGGTTCAGCCCACCTGCGTAGATGCAGATAAACGTGCCCCGGTCCACGTCGTCACGGCAACGCACGCCCCAGCCCCGGTCCTCCGTCTGGAAGACCTGCAGCCGCACTCTGATGCCTCTCTGGACCAGCCGGTTCTGGCAACGCGCCCGGTCACAGCGGCACCACGGCCCGCACTCATAGAGCCTGGGGGGAGGGGGAGAAAACGTTACCCCAGCTCTGGTTCTGGACCCCGCGGGTCATGACCCAGCGGTTCTGGACGGGCCTCACCCTGATTGGACCGGCTGCAGCAGGCGGTGGTGCCGGTAGCCCCGCCCCCCTGCCGTCATGGCGACGCAGGCGCAGCTCTTGGCGTCGCTGCAGGCGCCGCTGCAGTCGCAGCAGGTCTGGAACAGCGCCGGGTCGCGGCTCAGGAAGCAGCCGTGCGGCCAGCGGTCCTTCCGGTAGCGGAAGCCCGCGGGCCGGCCCACGCCTTCGCCGAGGCACAGCTCCACCGGGGTAGGCTCCGCCCCCCGGCTCAGGTCCGGCTTGGCGTCGGCGGGCAGAGAGGGAGGGTCCAGTTGGACCAGGCGGTTGAAGGTGAAGAAGTCCACCTGCAGGGAGGAGGAGCAGCGGGTCAGAGCCGGTTCTACCGCCACGTCCTGCTTCTGGTTCTGAGGTCCACCTGCAGGACGTCCAAGCTCTCGGTGGCCGCCAGGAAGGACGCCACGTCCTGGAAGTTCCGCAGACTGAGGCCGCAGGGCGACTTGTAGATGACGTCCCAGTCCTCGTCCTCCGTGTCCTGACCCGACCCCAGCGGGGACAGCATGGCGCTGAGCCGCTTGAAGCCGCACAGCAGCAGCACCTTCAGCGGGTTCTGGCCGTACAGCAGCGAGCTGGACTCGGGGGTTCTGGGCAGGCTGGGCAGGCAGGCCTGGGGACAGACACACGGGGGGGGGTTAACCGGGGGGGGCGGCGGCGGTTCTGGTTCCGCCTGCTGCTCCGGTTTACCTTGCAGCACTGGTGAGGCTGGTAGTGCAGCTGGACCGGCGCCAGTGGCGGCAGCAGCCCCTCTCTGCCAGCAGGTGGCGGCAGGCCGTCCAGGAGGCAGGCGGGCGACGGCGACCACAGACTGCCTGAACCGATGACCACCTGGACCACCGACGAGTCCTGGTCCTGAGGAGGCGGCGCGGGGAGGCAGTCCAGGACCTCCAGGAGCCTCTGAGCCCGGACATACTCTGACACAAACAGAACCGTCAGAACATCCCAGAACCGAGCGGGACCGAACAGAGTCAGAGCGGGACGGACCCGAGTCAGAGCGGATCGGACCCGAGTCTGAGCCGATCGGACCTGAGTCTAAGCCGATCGGACCAGAGTGAGAGTGGATCAGAACAGAGTCAGAATGGATCGGTACCTTTATCTTTGGCTGACTGGGTCAGCAGAACCTGCTTCAGGTGGTCCAGGTACTGGAAGACTGCGCTGAACACCTGCTCCACGTCGTTTTGGGCCCAGAAGGTTCTGGCTCGCTCTGCAGGACAGAACCAGGGAGGCCCGGCATTAAAGAGGTTCTGACTGATCCGGTTCTACAGAGAGGCGTCCTCATCAAAGCCTTTAACCCTTTATAGGCCAAGTTACCGTGTTTCATCACCAGCGTAGCCCCAACACATCTATGACGCAGTATTAGGACCACGATAGAGGTTAATATCTAGAGAATAAAGTAACATTACGAGACAAAAAATGTTTTTTCCTTAATATATTCGGGCAGGTTGGGGTTTCTTGTCATTGCATTGACATTCATTCATGCCATCAAAATATCCATATTTTCTGTTGAATATTCCAAAGGTAATAAGGTCTATAAGGTCTAACACTATTGGCTTGAAATTTGGATTTTCAAAGTATTTCACTGAGCGCCTTATAAAGGGCATGTTTTGATTTTAATAAATTGAGGAAACATCATAAACAAGGATTGAAAAATAAAGATCAGGGACCTTTAAGGTTTTCATCAGATTCTGGTTCCTCTGCTGGTTTTTGCCCTGACCAAGATGGCGGGCGGTGGCCGCAGAGTCCGGAAGCTAAAAACAATAAAAATAGGATCCCTGTCCAGGTTGGATCCTTTAGAACCGCATTAAGAACCAGAGGCAGTTACCGTGGGTCCACAGTAGCTCCCACAGTGATCTAAACTTACCCACGTCACGTGCATCCAACACGTCCCCCATGTCCGCGGACTGTTAGCTCTGCCCGGCTAGCTCAGGCTATAAACACAAGCAGCAGGAGCGAAAATAACTGGTTTTTAACTGGGTTGGTGGAACCAGCATACCGCCTGGGCTACTGGCCAACTCTGATTGGTTAGTCCAACATGGTTCCAAACCAGTTTGATCCGCCTTTGATCCACAGCACGAACTCTGGATTATTAGCGGGAATCGAAGCTAATTTACGTCCAGCATCCAGACGCCTATGGGCCAAACGGGCCGCCGTAGCATTATTACATGAGCATTTTTCCCTGACGTTTGCCTGACAGGCGCACACACACACACACACACACAGACACACACACACACACTCTAGTCTCCCTATCTAGAGTGAGGACCGCGTTTTCATTTTCATCAATTTTCCCCCATTTTTAACCCTTTCTACCCCCGAACCCTGACAATAACCCAATAATCCGAATAATCCGAACCCTATTCCGAACTTTAACCCAATTCACAACCATTAACAAAATAGAAACCGGATCAGCTTAATTTCCTCAGGTAAAAAAACGTTTCCAGCTTAACAAAGAATCATCAGGATTCATTATAATCAAACATTGATCACATTAATGATCAAATAAACTTTAATACCGGATCGTCCTCATTATTCTAAAAGCCCAGTTCTCTGCCTGCCAGGCAAAACTCAGGGGAAATTAGTTGGGAGGAACCTCGCGGGACGCCGTAGCTTTGCTTCTCTTACGAAATGACAACAAACATTCACGCGAGTCATAACTTTCATAAGCAGTTGTTATGAGCAGACCGTCAGTGAGCGACTGGGAGCTCCGGGAAGCTGCTGCTGGTTTAACTGGGAGGAGCAGCTGCAGGTCACTTCCTGTTGGGTTTTGTAACTGATCAGACCTTGTATAACAGGAGAACAGGTGAGAGGGTTAGTTCACCTGTGTGATCACCTCAGGCTGGAGCAGTTTAGGCAGTAGAAGCGGTGCTTTCATCTGGTTCTCTGCTGGTTTCCATCCAGGCTGATGGGCTCTGCTCCTCTTCCTGTTGCAGGTGAAGCTGCTGGGCTGAGATGTCTGCAGTGAGGCGGTCGGTGGCCGAGGCCTTCTGGGCCATGTGTGCCGCAGACTCCATGTCCATGCCGGTCCACTGGTACTACAACATCCAGGACATCAGGAGGGACTTTGGAGGCTGGATATCTGGGTTCAACGCGCCTGCAAGCAGACACCCGTCCAGCATCCTCAGCCTGTCCAACACAGGTACCGCCTCCGAACCACACCTGTCCCGCCTACATCTTTATGTGTTTATAGTCCACAGTATCCAGAACTCCAGGTAGGATCTCCGTCTTCACCCCAACGACAAGCTTCTTGGTTAGATAACAGCTAGAACCGGTTTTTACCAGTTTAACCAGCTGTTTTCACTGAGGAGCTAAACTGAAATGTTCTTTAAAATGATTTATGATGTCAGAGGAAAGAAAATCTGAGCATCAGAGGAAGAGGTGAAAGGTTTCCATCTGGAACCGTAGATCTATGGAGCTTAGAATGAACCAAATCTAGTCGATTTTTACTGTGTAGATTTCTTTATGTCTGGTTTTTCATTTCAGCACTGAGGAAAAAAAAAAGGTTTAATGAAGAACTACTGAGTCATTTCTGAGAACATCCAGGGTCTTATTTCTGTTCAGAACCACAGAAGTTCACGTTCTCCAGCCGGCGATGGTTCTAAAGGAAGGGTTCTAGGTTCTGTTGACTAACGAGCAGGTTCTGTTCCCCAGCTGGCAGCGGTCGGACCGCCTGGTCCTCTGGTGGACGGCGAGCTGACGTCGTCGGTAGCGTCATCCTTCATGACAAGCTGGAGCTGTGGCGGTCCTCCAACGGAACGGTCCACTACCACCAAGGTGCATCTGGGGCGTCTGTCCGCCGGCGGCGGCTCTGAGTCTTCCTGGTCGGTTCCGGTCGAGCAGTCCCTCATCCTGTCTGGTTCTGCAGGTCTTCAGGCGGGAGACAACACCCTGAACGTCCTCTGCTCGCTGCGCGTAGCTCGGACCGTTGTCTCCAGCCGTGCCGCGGACGTCTCCCGGCCTGAGGTTCGCGCCGCCGTTCTGTCCGACTACGTGAAGTTCCTGACCACGCCCGGTTCGCACGCCGACACCTACGCCGAGTCCTTCCACCGCTCCTTCTTTGCCGACTGGCAGGACAGCAGACCCTCGTCTCCCAGCGAGGTAAACTAGAGCTTCTCTTCCAGATCCGTAAGGGTTCCACATCTGTTCTGACTCGGCTCTCTTCAGGTTCTGACGTTTGCGGAGAAACGATCCAAACGGATGCTGAGCTTTGGATCTCCTGACAGCCAGCTGGACGCCATCGGCTGCCTTCCCATGATCCTCCCCTTCGTCTTGTTGTCCGCTTCGGCCAACGAGGACCAGGCTGTGAGCGAACGCCATGTCCCCCGTCGACGGTTCCTCTGTTCCGTCTCCTTCTAACCTCCGTCTTTCCTCAGGTCTCTGCTGCCGTAGAGTTTGTTAAACTCACCCATCCTCACCCCAAAGTGCCCGAGTACGTGAGTATCTACGGCCGGGCCCTGCATGCAGTGCTGGGCGGGGCCAGCGTCCGGCAGCAGGCTGAGGACGCTCTGAGGAGGCTGGAGGCCTGGGACACCTGCCAGAGCTACAGCCGCAAAGCGGCCAGGTGCGTCTGAGCGAGCCCAGTGCTTTTAGATCAAACTAAAGCGACTCGGTGCTGACACGGCTGAATGTTCCAGGTTTCCTGCATCTTCTGAGGAGCGGCTGAAGGTCCATCAGAGCGCGGTGAACTACCTGGGCTTGGCCTGCTACAACAGAGGTCAGGATCCGTTTCCTTACTAAAACTTCAGTAAAGATCTACTCCGCTCCTGGTTTATTGTGGGATTTTTAATGTTCCGTCCCTGGCTGTGCATAAAGGACAACTGATGCCAGCACAATTTACACTAGCCAGTGGGGGGACAGTGTGGTGGCCAGTGGGGGGACAGTCGGGGGACAGTGGGGAGGCCAGTGGGGGGCCAGTGGGGAGGCCAGTGGGGGGCCAGTGGGGAGGCCAGTGGGGGGACAGTCGGGGGACAGTGGGGAGGCCAGTGGGGGGCCAGTGGGGAGGCCAGTGGGGGGACAGTCGGGGGACAGTGGGGAGGCCAGTGGGGAGGCCAGTGGGGGGACAGTGGGGGGACAGTGTGGTGGCCAGTGGGGGGACAGTGGGGAGGCCAGTGGGGAGGCAGTGAGGTGGCCAGTGGGGGGACAGTGTGGTGGCCAGTGGGGGGACAGTGGGGAGGCCAGTGGGGGGACAGTGGGGAGGCCAGTGGGGCGGCCAGTGGGGCGGCCAGTGGGGCGGCCAGTGGGGGGACAGTGGGGCGGCCAGTGGGGGGACAGTGGGGCGGCCAGTGGGGGGACAGTGGGGAGGCAGTGAGGTGGCCAGTGGGGGGACAGTGGGGAGGCCAGTGGGGAGGCAGTGAGGTGGCCAGTGGGGGGACAGTGTGGTGGCCAGTGGGGGGACAGTCGGGGGACAGTGGGGAGGCCAGTGGGGGGCCAGTGGGGAGGCCAGTGGGGGGACAGTCGGGGGACAGTGGGGAGGCCAGTGGGGAGGCCAGTGGGGGGACAGTGGGGGGACAGTGTGGTGGCCAGTGGGGGGACCGTGGGGAGGCCAGTGGGGAGGCAGTGAGGTGGCCAGTGGGGGGACAGTGTGGTGGCCAGTGGGGGGACAGTGGGGAGGCCAGTGGGGGGACAGTGGGGAGGCCAGTGGGGCGGCCAGTGGGGCGGCCAGTGGGGGGACAGTGGGGCGGCCAGTGGGGGGACAGTGGGGCGGCCAGTGGGGGGACAGTGGGGAGGCAGTGAGGTGGCCAGTGGGGGGACAGTGGGGAGGCCAGTGGGGAGGCAGTGAGGTGGCCAGTGGGGGGACAGTGTGGTGGCCAGTGGGGGGACAGTGGGGAGGCCAGTGGGGGGACAGTGGGGAGGCCAGTGGGGCGGCCAGTGGGGGGCCAGTGGGGCGGCCAGTGGGGGGACAGTGGGGAGGCCAGTGGGGCGGCCAGTGGGGGGACAGTGGGGAGGCAGTGAGGTGGCCAGTGGGGGGCCAGTGGGGGGCCAGTGGGGGGCCAGTGGGGCGGCCAGTGGGGGGACAGTGGGGAGGCAGTGAGGTGGCCAGTGGGGGGCCAGTGGGGAGGCAGTGGCCACCCCTTCCCCCACCGGTGGCGCCACTGTCTGTGACCCAGACTCAACTGTGAACCGTTGAACCAACAGGGGCGCTGTCCAGCCTGTTCTACCTGGCCTACGAGTTCCACGATGATCCGGTGGGAGGAATCCTGGCCAACACCAACTGTGGAGGTCAGTGCCTTAAAAATGGACTTTGGTGAATTTGGTTAAATAGAACATCTAGAACCGACGTCTCGATTCAAAGAATAAAAACCTCAGTCCCCCAGAATGCTGCCGTGTGGAACTAAATGTTAAAATGGATGGGCGGAGCCTGTTGACGCTGACCAATCAGAGCAGCTGGTTTCCTGTTGGTCTTTTCTCCACCGTCTGGTTTGTTTTTTCTGTCTCCAGGTGAAAACTGTAACCGGGGTGCGGCGCTCGGGGCCCTGCTGGGGGCCGGGGCCGCCCACAGCGGAGGGGGCATCCCTCAGGAGTGGAAGGATGAACTGAGAGATGCTCAAGAGTTCCTCCCCAACATCCTGAAGGAGATGCTGTAAGAGGAGCGGCACCCCCTGGAGGACAGGAGGAGAACTGCTACAACCACACGAACTGCAGTTTGGATCCCAGCACTGTCTGTTTACAACCTTTAAACATTTACTCTGTTTTTATGTCATAATCTAAAGTTAGTTAAGGTTTCTTTTTTTATTCCTTCAGTAAATAGTTTCATCCTATTTATTCTGGCTGTTTCCAGTTTGATGCCTTTAAAATGAAACATTCATGTTAAAAACAATAAAGGAGGAAATGGAGAAAGTTCTGTCTTTATTTTACGCCTCAGAATAAACCTGTGCTGAAGATTTATTGGATAAATAGAAGAAATAAAGTCCTATTTGCTGCTTAATCCCGGCAGAAACTGATAAATGTTGTTAAAAACTGACTAAAGTCAGAGGTTCTCTGAGGTTTGATGTTCAGCTGCAGATTGAAATAAAATAAAATAAAAAATGAGGTCATTTTACCGTAAAAGGAGAAAATAAACCTGCAGCTTTTATCTGGCAGACGTGTTTTTTCCTGTTGGGGGTTTTTCTGTGTTTGTGTTTCTGTGAACTTTGATCAGTTTCAAACAAGCATGGCGTCCATCAGCAGACAGACGAGCAGCGTCTTCTTCTTAATCCTAACGGTTTTCCTCCCAGCATGCACCGGGACAGGTCAGTCTTCCTCCTCCTGCTCTTCTTCTTCTTCTTGGTCTGTTTTCGTTCTTCTGGTTCCTTCAGATTGTTCTCCCTGAGGAGCAGAACCGTCTGCAGCTTTGGCCTGATCCAACTTTAACCATCACCAGAAACAGGGCAGCAAAATTAGATAAAAAAACTTTACTATATTTTCATTGTAATTTAACTAAAAATTGCATCTTATTAAAAATGTAAACTGAAGCAGCTTTTGCTACATTGACAGTTCTTATGTTGAATTTTAGTTCCAATAGTTTTAGTAAAATAAATAAATAGTTTTTCTGCAGGCTAATGAACTAAAAGCAAATGACATGTCATGTCTTTGGCAGCAATGTTGGATTTAGTTTTTTTCCAGATGTTTTCTTTCATTAGAGCTGTTTGCATCGATGCTACATTAGCCTCAAAACAGAAGGCAGACAAACGCGTGACCATAAATAAAACACGACGAGCCACAGAAACGATTGATTGATTGATTGATTGGTTGATTGATTGATTGGTAAAGTTATGCTACCATGTTAGCTTTGAATGAAACAGCTTTAATTTTATTATTATTGGTACAAAACTACAGAATTATTAGCCGTTCCTCAATTCGTTAGAACGTGAGTACGGACTCGTGTCCTCTCCAAGTCCGTTCTTGACTAGAACCCAGGAAAGTCTGGACTCTGGGAGAAACGGGAGAAGAATAAATCTGGTTTAATTGGAACAGCAGCGTACTGATGACATCACCACATTCAAAGCTCGTCTGGAGCTGCATTTCACCTCCTGTTATTAATAGTATCTAGATAATAATAAATTATGACTTTATCATTTAGTGGAGGAATAATAATGAACAGAGTCAGATAAACAAAAATCAGAGGAATTTGGCTGTTTGGTTCTCTGTTCACAGTAAATCCAGCCAGTAGACATTAGCAGGTTCTCTCTGCAGGATCATCTCCTCTCCGTCTGCAGTGATGCTGAATCACACAAACTTCCTCTTCTGACAGAATGTTTTTTTCTCAGATTAGACATTAATGCCAGATAAACGTGATCTGCTGCCCTAGCGTTTCCATGGCAGCAGATGAAGAGACCCTGTGTGAAAAAAATCGATTTGCCGGTTATATTGTGATAATCGGCTGCCCAAGATAACATCGATATTTCATTTCCCAGTATCGATAAAAACAACTTAAAAATAAACTTTTCCTTAACAAAATGATGCTAAATGTGCTACCTCTTCACCTCCACCCTGGTAGATGGCGCTGTGGAAGACATGGACAAACTCAAACCACAAACAAGATGGAAACCAAAAGAACAAAATTATCAATATTTTCTGATGAACATATACAGTACCTGATTTTTTATCTATACATTTAACTTTGATGGGAAAAATATTACATAGTGATGGTATTGCATTATCACCCAACTATCGTGATACGTATCGTATCGCAACACCCATGCCAATAATAACCTCTGGTTCTGATGAAGGTGACCCGGTTCTGATGAAACGCTGCTCCGTTGATGTTTCCCTCCAGGGGGAGCCTTCCTGCTCAGACATGAGGCCAGTGGGTTCTTCCATCGGACCCGTCGGGCCAACACGTTCCTGGAGGAGCTGAGGCAGGGGAACCTGGAGCGGGAATGTTATGAGGAGAAATGTTCCTACGAGGAGGCCAGGGAGATCATTCCCCATTCCCAGCAGCTGGTGAGTCGGACTCGGCCGTTTTATCCTCCTGTGTCTTTGTCTTCGACTCGTTTTGACTCTCCTGTGTGTCCTCTGCATTCAGGAGAACTTCTGGAGAACATACACAGGTACTGCTAAACGGAACGTCTCCAGTTCCTCCTGTGAGAACCCATCCTAACCCATCCTGTTCCCGTCGTTTTCAGTCGTGGACCCCTGCCTGTCGTCCCCCTGTAGCAACGGAGCGACCTGCACCCGGCACTTCCACACCTACGTCTGCAAATGCGCTGCAGGTTTCCATGGATCCAAATGCGACAAAGGTAGGAAGGTCACACAGCCTGAACTCTGACCTGTGGCTCTCCTTCTTGGTCTGGAAGATGTTCTCTACCCTTCCCCCTGCAGTACGTTCAACCTCCACCAGATGTCGCCACAGAAACGGAGGCTGCGAGCATTTCTGCAGAGTTAACCCGGATCGCTCCAAAGTCTGCTTCTGCGCTCCTGGTTATGGTCTGGATCAGGACAACAGCACCTGTCTGCCTCAAGGTCTGCGCTCCAATGGAGGTCCATGTTCTGGGACCTTCTGTGTGACCTTCCTACCTTTGTCGAACATAAAGGATCTGAATGAGAATGGGCCGCTGGTCTGGGTGTCCCGGATTATTCCTGGAACCAAGGTTCCTCAGCAGACGTCTGCTTTGGTAGACTACTCCAAATTAGGGTTCCCTCAGTTTGGACATTAGTAGAAAAAGAAAAAATTAGTTTTCTTTCGTATTTGACGGGAAGTTTAACAAAATCAAACCATCAAGTTGTAATCCCCATGACTCCTTGGACTTCATGGCTCTGCTGAAGTTTCATCTTTTTGCTATAGATCCAGTCGTCTGTGGAAGACCGTTGGTGAATTTTGCCCCGAGGGTAGTTAACGGACAGATCTGCCCCAAAGGACACTGTCCCTGGCAGGTAAGTCCTACGCGACATTTAGCAAGAATGCGGCAAACTATAGAGTAAACGGATGTGTCTCCAGGCGGTGCTGTACGAACATAGCCGGTTCACCTGTGGAGCCATCGTCCTGTCCGACGTGTGGATTCTAACCGCAGCTCACTGCGTCTGGAGGAAGCCGTCGGCCATCTTCCACATCGATGTAGGTGAGGTGATGCGAAGTCGTTTCAGGTCTAACTCACTGCCCGGGTCTTTCAATTGTGCTTAAGCTAAACGTGTGCTGACTTTCAAGGGAAGCATGACCTAAAGGCCACGGAGAAAACGGAACAGCGGCGGCGTGTGCTCAACATCACGATCCACCCCGACTACAACAGCTCCACCTCCGACAGCGACCTGGCCCTGCTAAAGCTTCACCGCCCAGTCAAGCTCGGCCGCTACGTCGTTCCAATCTGCCTGCCTGCTCGGAACAGCACCTTCGCTTGGACGCTGTCCACCGTCCGCCACGCCACCGTCTCCGGATGGGGTCGCCTGGTGGAGGCCGGTCCGACCGCTCGGTTCCTGCAGCGTCTGGTGCTGCCGAGGGTCCCGCTGCAGGAGTGCCGCCTCCACACCCAGCTCAACATCACCAAAAACATGTTCTGTGCAGGGTACAGGAAAGGCGGACAGGACGCCTGCGAAGGCGACAGCGGCGGCCCGCTGGTGATGCGGTACAAGAAGACCTGGTTCCTGACGGGCGTGGTGAGCTGGGGCAACGGCTGCGCCAAGGAGAACATGTACGGCGTTTACGCCAAGGTCAACAACTTCCTGGATTGGATGGAGTCTGTAATGGCGACTGGCTGAAACTTTTCGGTCACTGCGGCGATTAGTAACTCAACGGGTCAGAAAAGTAGTTCCCTACAAACCAAACAAGATTTTAGCTAAAAATCTGGAATTACTGTTTTCTTTTGTGAATATCTGGACATTAGTGAATAATTTGGTATAAAGTCTGAAATATTTTAACTCTGGTTTGTATCTGTAGAAATGTCTGTTTGTACCAACGGTGATCAGCTGCTTGAAATTAAAGGCAAAAACTCATAATTCTGTCATTTTGGTTGAAATAAATATGTATAAACAGGATAAGCTGCTTCTTTATTTCTAGATTTATGGTTTATGAAACATTGAATGCAAAAGATGCCTGATAAATAAGACCTTAAAATCCCTCTGCAGGTCAGAGGGAGCGATGGTCCAGGTGGAACAGACTCATTCGTAACATCCCAGCTCACTAGAACAGGCGTCCTAATGAAGGAAGTTAGCATTGTTAGCTCGTCCAGACATAACTGACCCTGAAGCCACCAAGCTAACGTGTTTGTTGGTTCTGAAGGGACTTAGGCTACATTCGCACTGCAGGCCTTGATGCTCAATTCTGATTTTTTTGAGAAATACGATTTTTTTTTTGCGTGTCCATTTACATTTCCAAATAAATGCGACTTGTATGTGATCTCCTGTGTGAACTGCATTCATACAATTAAAGTGTCCCACATGCCCAGTAGTGGACGCAATGATGTCACAAGACAGCGTGCTATGTGTTTGCGGAAGTAAACATGGATGGTAGCGCTGGAACGCGTCAAGCGATCTTTCCCAGCCTTAAAAACTCAATCTTTTCAAGATGGTTAAACATAAATACTGCTAAACGCATCATCGTCCACCATGGTTGTTGTTTTTCGTGCTGCCTCTACTTAGCAAGATGCAGAATATTGACTTTTGTCGGGTATTGATGGCGTTAAGTTCGGATGAATGCGACCTGGCCGCATTTGAAAAGATCAGATTTGTATCAGATCCAGGACCACAGAGCCAAACGGTCTCTTTCTTGGTATGTAGGACTTAAAGGTATAGTGGAGGATGTTCAAAATCAGTGGTCTTCCTAACTATTAATCATTCTGGTGATATGTTCATGTAAGGACGTCCTACATGCTTGTCCCCATTCTCACTTAGAAAGTTAGAATATGAACGATGCAAACAGCATCTTTTAAACAGAGCGTGCATGAGGAGAAATGTGCTCGTGCACGCCTTGGAACGCATTTAATAAGCGTTCCCTCTCCAGACTGGGTACAGGGTTGTGCATGTGTGTTTTTATTTTAAGTGAAGAGGGCGGGTCTTTTCTAAAATTCGCAAAATTCCTCCACCATACCTTTAATTTGGACCCAAATCAGACCGATTTACGTGACGTCTCTAACATGTCCGATATATATGTGTCCCAATCTCTTCTTTAGGTGCTTTACACCCAAGTTAGCATGAATCACTATAACCACATGGGGCCATTTTCTTTTCACATGGATCTAAAAATGAGCAGATTTCAGTTGAAGGAAAACATAAATGTTCTAAGTTTTCATCTGGGCATCAAACGCTGGCAGGAAGTAAAAAAATTGAGGTTAGCTTTAATCTAACCGCTTTCTTGCTAGTTGTTTTTTTCTTACTGTGAAGATTAAAATGTCTTTAAACAATGATGACCTTATAAAAACATTTATTATGGAGAGTATTTAGAGTATTAGGGCGAGGCTAGAGATTTTTTTTTATTTTGAGAATCGTAAGAATCGTAATATTATGAGAATAAAGTTATAAAATTACCAGAAATTGGGCAGGATGTCAAAGTGGACTCAGGTTGCTGTATGACTTTATTCTCGTAATTTTACGAATAAAAAAAATCTCTAGCCTGGCCCTAATACTTAATAACACTTTATTAATCCCAAAGGAAAATTAGATATGGATATCAATCTAATCCAGGATAATCTACAGTCTCACCAGTTCCTTCTTTGAATGTAGAAGATAAATGCTTACATCTCATGTGCCGCCTTATTTCAATTCATCATTTGAAACATTTGAATTAAACTTTATTTTTGTCATTCTTATCCTCTGGCCACCCCACTGGCCACCCCACTGGCCTCCCCACTGGCCACCCCACTGGCCTCCCCACTGGCCACCCCACTGGCCACCCCACTGGCCTCCCCACTGGCCACCCCACTGGCCACCCCACTGGCCACCCCACTGGCCTCCCCACTGGCCACCCCACTGGCCTCCCCACTGGCCTCCCCACTGGCCACCCCACTGGCCTCCCCACTGGCCTCCCCACTGGCCACCCCACTGGCCTCCCCACTGGCCACCCCACTGGCCTCCCCACTGGCCACCCCACTGGCCTCCCCACTGGCCTCCCCACTGGCCTCCCCACTGGCCTCCCCACTGGCCTCCCCACTGGCCACCCCACTGGCCTCCCCACTGGCCACCCCACTGGCCTCCCCACTGGCCTCCCCACTGGCCTCCCCACTGGCCAGCCCACTGGCCTCCCCACTGGCCACCCCACTGGCCACCCCACTGGCCTCCCCACTGGCCTCCCCACTGGCCTCCCCACTGGCCTCCCCACTGGCCACCCCCACTGCCCACCCCACTGGCCACCCCACTGGCCTCCCCACTGGCCTCCCCACTGGCCACCCCACTGGCCTCCCCACTGGCCTCCCCACTGGTCACCCCACTAGCCACCCCACTGGCCACCCCACTGGCCACCCCACTGGCCTCCCCACTGGCCTCCCCACTGGCCACCCCACTGGCCTCCCCACTGGCCTCCCCACTGGCCTCCCCACTGGCCTCCCCACTGGCCACCCCACTGGCCACCCCACTGGCCACCCCACTGGCCTCCCCACTGGCCTCCCCACTGGCCTCCCCACTGGCCACCCCACTGGCCACCCCACTGGCCACCCCACTGGCCACCCCACTGGCCACCCCACTGGCCACCCCACTGGCCTCCCCCACTGGCCACCCCACTGGCCACCCCACTGGCCACCCCACTGGCCTCCCCACTGGCCTCCCCACTGGCCACCCCACTGGCCACCCCACTGGCCTCCCCACTGGCCACCCCACTGGCCACCCCACTGGCCACCCCACTGGCCACCCCACTGGCCTCCCCACTGGCCTCCCCACTGGCCTCCCCACTGGCCACCCCACTGGCCTCCCCACTGGCCACCCCACTGGCCACCCCACTGGCCTCCCCACTGGCCACCCCACTGGCCACCCCACTGGCCACCCCACTGGCCTCCCCACTGGCCTCCCCACTGGCCTCCCCACTGGCCTCCCCACTGGCCACCCCACTGGCCTCCCCACTGGCCTCCCCACTGGCCTCCCCACTGGCCACCCCACTGGCCTCCCCACTGGCCTCCCCACTGGCCACCCCACTGGCCACCCCACTGGCCTCCCCACTGGCCTCCCCACTGGCCACCCCACTGGCCTCCCCACTGGCCACCCCACTGGCCTCCCCACTGGCCTCCCCACTGGCCTCCCCACTGGCCACCCCACTGGCCTCCCCACTGGCCTCCCCACTGGCCTCCCCACTGGCCTCCCCACTGGCCACCCCACTGGCCTCCCCACTGGCCACCCCACTGGCCACCCCACTGGCCTCCCCACTGGCCTCCCCACTGGCCACCCCACTGGCCTCCCCACTGGCCTCCCCACTGGCCTCCCCACTGGCCTCCCCACTGGCCTCCCCACTGGCCTCCCCACTGGCCACCCCACTGGCCACCCCACTGGCCTCCCCACTGGCCTCCCCACTGGTCACCCCACTGGCCTCCCCACTGGCCTCCCCACTGGCCTCCCCACTGGCCACCCCACTGGCCACCCCACTGGCCTCCCCACTGGCCACCCCACTGGCCACCCCACTGGCCACCCCACTGGCCACCCCACTGGCCTCCCCACTGGCCACCCCACTGGCCACCCCACTGGCCACCCCACTGGCCACCCCACTGGCCACCCCACTGGCCACCCCACTGGCCTCCCCACTGGCCACCCCACTGGCCTCCCCACTGGCCTCCCCACTGGCCTCCCCACTGGCCACCCCACTGGCCTCCCCACTGGCCTCCCCACTGGCCACCCCACTGGCCTCCCCACTGGCCACCCCACTGGCCACCCCACTGGCCACCCCACTGGCCACCCCACTGGCCTCCCCACTGGTCACCCCACTGGCCTCCCCACTGGCCACCCCACTGGCCACCCCACTGGCCTCCCCACTGGCCTCCCCACTGGCCACCCCACTGGCCTCCCCACTGGCCTCCCCACTGGCCACCCCACTGGCCACCCCACTGGCCACCCCACTGGCCACCCCACTGGCCTCCCCACTGGTCACCCCACTGGCCTCCCCACTGGCCACCCCACTGGCCACCCCACTGGTTGTCCCACTGGCCGCCCCACTGACCACCCCACTGGTTGTCCCACTGGCCTCCCCACTGGCCTCCCCACTGGTCACCCCACTGGCCTCCCCACTGGCCTCCCCACTGGCCTCCCCACTGGTCACCCCACTGGCCTCCCCACTGGCCTCCCCACTGGCCACCCCACTGGCCACCCCACTGGCCACCCCACTGGCCACCCCACTGGCCTCCCCACTGGTCACCCCACTGGCCTCCCCACTGGCCACCCCACTGGCCTCCCCACTGGCCTCCCCACTGGTCACCCCACTGGCCTCCCCACTGGCCACCCCACTGGCCACCCCACTGGCCTCCCCACTGGCCTCCCCACTGGTCACCCCACTGGCCTCCCCACTGGCCTCCCCACTGGCCACCCCACTGGCCACCCCACTGGCCACCCCACTGGCCACCCCACTGGCCTCCCCACTGGTCACCCCACTGGCCACCCCACTGGCCACCCCACTGGCCTCCCCACTGGTCACCCCACTGGCCTCCCCACTGGCCTCCCCACTGGCCACCCCACTGGCCACCCCACTGGCCTCCCCACTGGCCTCCCCACTGGCCTCCCCACTGGCCACCCCACTGGCCTCCCCACTGGCCTCCCCACTGGCCACCCCACTGGCCACCCCACTGGCCTCCCCACTGGTCACCCCACTGGCCTCCCCACTGGCCTCCCCACTGGCCACCCCACTGGCCACCCCACTGGCCACCCCACTGGCCTCCCCACTGGTCACCCCACTGGCCTCCCCACTGGCCTCCCCACTGGCCACCCCACTGGCCTCCCCACTGGCCTCCCCACTGGCCACCCCACTGGCCTCCCCACTGGCCTCCCCACTGGCCTCCCCACTGGCCTCCCCACTGGCCTCCCCACTGGCCTCCCCACTGGCCACCCCACTGGCCTCCCCACTGGCCTCCCCACTGGCCACCCCACTGGCCACCCCACTGGCCACCCCACTGGCCACCCCACTGGCCTCCCCACTGGCCACCCCACTGGCCTCCCCACTGGCCTCCCCACTGGCCACCCCACTGGCCACCCCACTGGCCTCCCCACTGGCCACCCCACTGGCCACCCCACTGGCCACCCCACTGGCCTCCCCACTGGCCTCCCCACTGGCCTCCCCACTGGCCACCCCACTGGCCACCCCACTGGCCACCCCACTGGCCTCCCCACTGGCCACCCCACTGGCCTCCCCACTGGCCACCCCACTGGCCACCCCACTGGCCTCCCCACTGGCCACCCCACTGGCCACCCCACTGGCCACCCCACTGGCCACCCCACTGGCCACCCCACTGGCCTCCCCCACTGGCCTCCCCACTGGCCACCCCACTGGCCTCCCCACTGGCCACCCCACTGGCCACCCCACTGGCCACCCCACTGGCCACCCCACTGGCCTCCCCACTGGCCACCCCACTGGCCACCCCACTGGCCTCCCCACTGGCCTCCCCACTGGCCTCCCCACTGGTCACCCCACTGGCCAGTGTAAATTTGATGTGCATCAGTTGTCCTTTATGCACAGCCAATGACGTAATATTAAAAATCACACAATAAACCAGGATCTTTACTGAAGTCTGTTTGATTTCTACAGGCAGGTTTATCACTATAGAAGATTCAGACCCTGAAATTATGGTTTTTATTTTCAGTGGCGACACTGGCTACAAATGGTCTTTGGTTCACCAGCAGAGGGCGCCACAGCACTGCTGTTTGAGAATCAGATCATATGACTGACCTTAAAGTAAACTATTGCTAAACATTAGATTTTCTTTTCTTTTTTTTGGGGGGGGGGGGGCAAAGGTTCTCAGCAGGCAGGCAGATTGGAACGCTTCTCAGTTTTCAGCACAGAGCAAATAAAAGTGTTTTCATTCCCATATCTTGGTTCTTCTTATACCTTCTGCCAGGAGGTCAGATCCAGATTTCACCCTTTGCCTCCTTTGTTGGTCTAATTGTTTGATATCTAGATCAGTCCCAGGAGAGGCATTGATTTGCTGAATTTGGTCAACAGATTTATGAACAACAGATCTTTACGCTCTTGAACCTGAGGGCATGGGTCAGTTAGTGTTTCATCACCGCAGGTCTCTCCATGTGACCAACAGGAGCCCAGTGGTGGCGGGGGAGTGCTGGACACTTTGTACCTTTATGTCCCGATGGTAGAGCAGCGATGGTAGCTTTCTGATGTAACCGCCATGTGGCCGAGAGTCTTCATCACCTTCGTCTTGACGCTGCAGGGCTCCCAGCCAGCCTCAGGTGAGGAAGGTCCAGACTAAACCATTGTAGATTCAGAACGACCAGAAGCTTCTTATTTCCATTTATAACAAACTAGCTGCCTGGTGGGCTAACATCTGCACAGGGTCCAGATAAATGGAGGTGTTTTAGTGTCCTGCTGTATGCCTCACCCACTCAACCAGTCATGAAAACTGAAATAATTGAGTTCAGCAACTGATCAAGAGCTTCTGGGAGCCGTTAGCCACAATGAAGGTCTGCACTGGTCTGCAGTGCTTTGATTAGCATTGAGTAGATCTGCCTCTGATGGTTTTTGCTTGAAGGAAAGTTCTCTTGTTTCCATAAAGAAGAAAAAATAAAGTGCACTCATGTTCTCAGAGGTTAATCTGCAGAACATCTGAAGATGAGAGAAGCTGCACCTTCACAAAGGTCAGACCAGTGTTGGTGGAGGCTGGGATCTGCTAAAGATGATCGTCAAAGGGTTCTAAAAACAAGCGCATGTTCTTTCAGTAAAGTCAAGCATGCAGGGAATATGAAGGACCACTGATTTTCTAGAATATTTAATTCTATTCCGTTTATTTCTATAGCTCCATTTCACATCATGTCATGCCAAGCTCCAACATCTAGAAACAAAGGTGTTGATGGCAGCAGCACAGCTGATATTTCTCTCCAGGATGGAGTCACAGCCAAACAGGAACAGACCAGATGAAGCTACTATGAGAAAAAGCAGAGAGAGCAGAACGTTAGAGATTGAACTAACAGATTCTGCAGAGTGGGAGAATAGAGATAGAATGAAGCAGAATGATGAAAAAGGGGGTCCCTATGTCCTCCAGCAGTCTAAGCCTATAGCAGCAGAACTATAGAGATAGCTCAGGATAACCTGAGCCACTCTAACTAGAAGCTTTATCAAAAAGGAAAGTTTTAAGCCTAGCCTTAAAAGTAGACAGGGTGTCTGCCTCACGGACTAAAACTGGTAGTTGGTTCCACAGGAGAGGAGCCTGAGAACTAAAAGATCTGCCTCACATTCTACTTTTAGAAATTCTAGGAACCACTAGTAAACCTGCAGATTGAGAGCGAAGTGCTCTGTTAGGAACATAAGGAACAATCAGATCTCTGATATTAGACTGAGTTTGGCCAAAGCAAGTCTATTAACTCTGCAGACATTAGCGAGCAGGTGTTTGGTCATCAGTCATCAAATGGGCAAACGTACCTGTATAGCACCTGTTCAAACCAGGGAACTCAAAGCGCCTCACACCACATTCACCCATTCATGCACACGGTCACACACTGATGGTGGTGAGCTAGACTGTAGCCACAGCTGTGCTGGGACACACCTATAGAAGCTAGGCCGCCATGCACAGGTGCATACAGCATCAGTGAACCACGACTGGGATGGGCGGAGCTCAGCTTCATACCTACAACTGGTAACAGAGGAGGCTTTTCAGAACCTCTAGATAAAGCTTGGATCGAAGGAGCAGCTCCCAGAAACAGCTACCTGAAGACGCTGTGATGAGAGAAGGATGCACCATGGGGAGGACCAACTAGGATGGGTCTAAACTACTGGTACTAAAGTCATTTAGGGTAGTGATGGTGAGATGAAGATATATTGAACTGTTTGGGCTAATTGCTTCAATAATCCCCACAGTTCACGAAGCTTCGTGTGAACATGCTCCCACCTACTGGTGGAGTGCAGAACTACAGTTAGCAATAATAATCTGGGATTTTTTGCAATCGTTTTTCTTGTTTTTTTCCCATTTAAGTTCCTTTGAATTTGTCAATGATTGGTCTGTAAAATAAAATCTTTTTCTCTGTGTAAAATGTCTTAGAAGAGAAAAATCATTTAAGGTTTAATGTTTTTCTGCAATTTTAGTGAAATAAGCTCAAGCAGACAGTGAAAGAGCTGAAAGATGTGAGTCATTTTTATTCAAACATAATCGTTTTTCCACAGTTTTTGTTTTTAATCGGGTTGAAAGTTATGTGTTCAACCAATCTAGTTTGGCAGTGTTTTTACCCAATATACATTTGCTCTAGGACAAACTAATAAAAATAGTCACAATAGCCAAAATACTTTGGTAACGCTCTTTTACAGTACAGCAATAACCATGTAATAACACGGTAATAAGATAACAAGTCATTATTTACAAGTCAATTTTTTCACTATGTCATTCATTTATAAAAATCTTACTTTGCTTAATAAATATTTAGTTTGGAGCTAAATATTATTTAAAAAACGAAATATTTAATTTGCAAAGTAAATATTTCGTTTTTTAGCTTGAAGCTAAATATGTATTCAACAAACTTAATATTTAAATAAGTTTTTTTCTTTTTTCTAGTTTTTACTTTTATGGTACATCAATAACTATGCAATAACATGGTAATAACTTAGCAAGGAACATTATATTACTAGATCTAGATCACTAGATAACAACAAACAAGAAGAAGCGGACAAAGATGGCAGCTGGTTCTGGGTTTACTTCCAGGCCTGGATCAACGTTTAAACATTTTCATTCATCCCTGACTTTGTTCCACTGTCGGCTGATGAACTCTGCCTCTTGCTTTGGTCTTCAGTCTTTCTGGAGCCACAGAAGGCCCATGGCGTCCTGGTCCGGACCCGGCGCTACAACTCCGGCTGGTTTGAGGAGCTGAAAATGGGAGATCTAGAGCGGGAGTGTCTGGAGGAGACATGTAGCTTTGAAGAGGCCAGAGAGGTGTTTGAACACACGGAGCTGACGGTGCGTCATGTCAGAGATGCTACGACATTAGAGCTCCTTTGATCTAACTGATGAGACAGGATCCGTTAACTCCTGTTGGTTTCTTTTCTTTTCCTCAGAACGAGTTCTGGAAGAAATACTCTGGTGAGCAATGGTTGATCGACATGAGTTAGGGCTGAAGTATAGAGAGAGCTGAACATGTCTGCTGACCTCCAGGGTTTTATAAATAAACATTTCCACCATGAGTTCACCTTTATATTCTAATCAATGATCGTTTCTAATCTGTTTAAGTCCCTGACAGCTGTAAGTCCAGTCCCTGTCAGAACGGCGGGACCTGCATCCTGGACGGAGCGTCCTATGCCTGCTTATGTCTTCCTCAGTTCAGAGGACTCAACTGTGACCTCGGTGAGCATTGCGGAGTAAAAAATGTTGAGTTATGTCTGTTCTTAGCCTCACAGGCTCCAAACGAAGGTCATGAGAGAAATGAATGAGCCACACAGCTTCCTCAATGGCATGAAGGGGAGGACTGCTGCAGAGTAGATAAGATCTAAACCAGGCAGATTAGGTGTAAACTTGCTCTATTTGTCTGACTATAACCTCCGATGGACAGCAGAGGGCATCAGTTCAGGCAGCAACTGTTGATTCTCATCTCATGAAGAAGAAACTAAACAAAAATGTAGAAAAGTTTCGGTTTGGGGTTATTAATAACTGGTGTTTCATTGATTTATATGAGTCGTCATAAAGAGTCTGAAGATAGATCTATGTTTTCAGAGCAGCAGCAGGAGTCTGACAGCTGTCTGCTGCAGAACGGAGGCTGTGAACATTTCTGCCATGAGGACGACTATGGACGAAGACTAGCATGTTCGTGCGCTGGAGGGTACCACCTGGAGGCTGACGGGCGGAGCTGCATCTCAACAGGTTTACCTCAGAAAACCTTCACGTCCGACTGACTGCTCTAGTTCAGGCTTCCTGGAGGTCTGGGTCCCTGCACCTTCTCTGTTTTCAGGGTCTCCAGAGTCCTGTCCATGACCGCGTTATTGGATCCAGAGACATGATAACCATCTTGGTTATAAACACTGAGGCTCCAATTTCAGGGGCAGCCTATTATAAGGGCAGCCTACTTATAACCTCCAAAGGCTGCATTATTAGCCTCATTACATCACATCACTACGCCGAAGGCTGATCCACTCCACCAATTCCACCGCGTTCACACCAAACATGGATTCAGCCTTAAAGGCGTTTAATGCCTCAACTTGGACACCTTCCTATGACGTTATTGTATGGCAACACCACTCGGACAAACTGTATTGCTCCGTTTCTTAAAGTCGTAGGGAAGCGGCTGTTCCAATCGTTGCATTTTTTAATTCTCCCGAGTGGTGCACAACTTTACAGGAGTGAATAAAGTGAATGTGATTGGTCGATTATCAAAGGGGCGGGATTGTTGTGGCGGAAGGTTCCCAAGCAAGTTTGGTTGTGTCCGGTTTGTCGGAAGCATCTTGCTAACCAGTTGGCAACTTAGTGCTAGCAGGTTCCCAATGGGAAATTCCATTGGGACCAAGTAGCACTAAATTGGTGCCTTAGAAACGACGCTGTCAAGGAACGCTATGGACAGCGGAAACATGCAAGAGGAGGAGAGTTTAGTGTCGGAGGTCGTGGATGAGTCTCCTCCGTCATCCATTTTTTATTTAGAGGAGGAAAGCGGGGACGAAGATGTTGTGGAAGAGGACGCCAGGGCGGCAGAAGCTTGGTTTGGTGTAGAAGGCTTCCAGCCGTCCATGTTTGAGCCCTTGCCTCGCAACGCTGCCAGTTCTGTTAGCTCTACGCCTGCCGAAGACACAGACGTCCATCCCCGTGAACACTGGGACGCAACTCAATGGGAAAGGAAAGGATTCTGGTTTCAACCGTTGCGTATATTAGCTGCGACACATGAATCTAGATGCTATGACCGAAAACATTTGATTGACAGATGACCGTTGATATATGATTGGCCGAATTTAGGTGTTCAGGCTGACGTAGAACTAACTGGCCTGCAGAAGATAACGGGAAAAAAAACAGATTTTAAAACAGGATTTTTTTGTTTTTAAACAGAAATTTTCTACATTTTGTGACAATATGGTCTGATAAACATTTATATAGATGTTTAAACCAGAATGATTTGACATTTAATATGATTTCCCTACGGCTTTAAGAATCAGATCCCTTCTTGAGTCTCAACATATTATTTCCCATATCTGCTATTATTTAATGTTTCATCTGTGATCTAAAGTAGCGGAAAGTAGAAAACAATCAGTCAGTCTTGAAGGAAAGTCCTGCCGTCTACGACAGACTGAGTTCTGCCATTTAACAAGGAGACATTAAAAGTTTCAGCTTATGTTGGCAGAGGACAGATGGAACATCTTAAAAAATGACTTTCATAGACTTTAATATGGCTAACTGACCGAGCTAAAAGAGGCTAACCTGTTAGCTACTGAGCACAGCTCTCCACCTTTATATCGCGATCTAACAGTTAATTTGTTCACCATAAAGAGATCGGTCATTAGTCACGCTAACGCTACAGATGCTCCCGACTCGGCATGCGGCCGCTGCATTATGGCCGTTTCTTCATTCACAAAAACGTGACTACAGGCTGGTGTTCCTGCTCAATATGTTGAAAGGTGAGCTTCAATGACTGTCTGAGAGCGAAGCTCTCCCCAGATATACGCCTGAAAGCGCAGAGAAACAGATTGCTAACGGGACGAGCACGTAGGACGGCCTTACGTAAACACATCACCAGAATGACTGACAGTTAGAAGGACCACTGATTGAGATGATCCACCCGGAAATAAAAGATCTCCCTCTATATACAGTTAGCTTTACTGGAGGAATGATATGAAGAATGATTGAAGCTCGTCTTCACCAAGAGCTGCTGCAGATCCTCAGTCAGAATCCAGACAAAACTATTTAATTTATCCTCAATATTAGGGATAAAAAAAATGACTTCTCCATAAACGGGATTATTTAATAATTCCTCTAGTCTGATATATTTTTAAGAAGAGAGTAGATCACTTCCAGGCCTCATCGTTTCTGAGGTCTTCTAACGAGCTGCATCCTTTCATTAAAATGGTGATTTTTCTAAATGTTTTCAGCTTTTCAGACGTTTATCAGCAAAGTCCTGCATTATTGTTTTAGGTTTTATTCATATAGATGCGTTTAGTTTGATAAACTGCTGAGACACCAACATTTACTATTTAATATCACCTCAGAGTACAGTCTGTTAGGGGATTCAATAAATCAAATGTCTTAAAAATGATTCTTCTATTTATCTACGTTTGGTTGGAATAATTTGATGGAAACATTTAAAAATCAAATCGTTTAAATTTGTGGATTTCAAAAGATAAAAAATGTAAAGTTAAGTTGTTGGTTTATTGAAAAAACTGAGGCAGACATTCAAAAAAATCCAAAGAACCAGAAAACAGGAAAACCTCAGGGAACCTCAGAGACGAGGACGCAAATAACAACGACAAGGAACCAGCAAAGAGGGACTGAAGAGGAGGTGTATAAATGGGAGACAGAAACACAGACCAGGCTAATCAGCAGATTGGGAGCAGGTGTGGAGAGAGGAGTCTAGAAGGGAGCGAGGGAAAAACACAGGAGGGCAATAGAGGGCAAACAAGAAATACCTGAGAACATCCGATACAATCATAAATAACTAGAATGACACAAAATGGAAATAAAAATAATAAAGTAGAAAACACAAACTCAAAAAAGAAAACTTAAACAGAACCAAAAAATGCAGAGTCATGACACCGACAAGTTAACTCAGTCGATTTAAAGTTTCTAAATTAAAAGTTTTTAATGTTTTAACAGACTTGAAGAAATTCAAACAATGAAGTGACTCAAAGGAATGTTTATTTTCCCATTTTAAGTTAAACCCTTCAGTTTTCTCCACTAAAATCCTGTAATTGTTCAAACTTCATTAACTTCCAACCCTAATAGTTACCATAGTTACCTAGTTACTATAGTTACCACATCCAATGCACCAAACAGTCTGAATATTATTAACACAGCAGCAGCAAAGCCAGCCTGGTCCCTGATTGGCTACGATAATCTCTGAGTTCTGGAGGAACGCCGCTGCAGGCTCTCTGCTGCCATCTGGAGGTTTAACATGATAGTGACGTTTGATGTCATGTCTGTATGACCTCCACTGGCTAAAGATCAGCTTCTGATTCAGTCCCTGTTCTTCAGTCGGCCTCCCGAATAAAACGATTAGTAGGCAGAATTAGTTTATTTCCAACCTTTTGATCAGATTTTACACCCTGATACTCAGCTGATTTTCTACCAGTTCATAGGACCTCAGGTGCTCTACACACCTGGTGTCCCCGATATGGAAATAAACGTGCTTTGGCAACGCAGCGTGAGAACCAGAGCTATAGACATGGATGGTTTATAGTGTAATCAGTCTGCACAGCTGAAATAAAAACCTTTGATGGAGATAAATGCTGCTCTGATGTCGTTCTGCTGACATTTGAACACATTTTTTAGTCAGCGTGTCAAAAATGACCTTTATCTGATCTGTCCTCACCACATATATACGCTTTCACGGTTTCTGACGCCAGAAAGCGTTACGAACACTTCAAAGGAAAAGTCGCTCATATTCAGAATCCAAACTCCTGAAAGTTCTTTAAATGTGAAATGATTCCATCCTGTTCAATAAATGATCAGATTTTTAATTCAGAGTAATTTTCATGTGAATGTGCTTTACTGGAGGCATCCATGTTTGTCAAAGAACACTACTGCCACCTACTGGTTAGTGACGTCACGGTGCGGTATCGGCTGTTGATCAAGTCCCAGTGCTGTATCTGGTGTTTGTCACAACGCGCTATTATCCAAGTCATCTTGAAAACATTCTTCTTCCAAATGTTGGCTACATACACTATATTGCCAAAAGTATTTGCTCACCCATCCAAATTATTGGAATCAGGTGTTCCAATCACTTCCATGGCCACAGGTGTATAAATTCAAGCACCTAGGCATGCAGACTGTTTTTACAAACATTTGTGAAAGAATGGGTCGCTCTCAGGAGCTCAGTGAATTCCAGCGTGGAACTGTGATAGGATGCCACCTGTGCAACAAATCCAGTCGTGAAATTTCCTCGCTCCTAAATATTCCACAGTCAACTGTCAGCTGTATTATAAGAAAATGGAAGTTTTTGGGAACGACAGCAACTCAGCCACGAAGTGGTAGGCCACGTAAACTGACGGAGCGGGGTCAGCGGATGCTGACGCGCATAGTGCGAAGAGGTCGCCAACTTTCTGCAGAGTCAATCACTACAGACCTCCAAACTTCATGTGGCCTTCAGATTAGCTCAAGAACAGTGCGCAGAGAGCTTCATGGAATGGGTTTCCATGGTTGAGCAGCTGCATCCAAGCCATACATCACCAAGTGCAATGCAAAGCGTCGGATGCGGTGGTGTAAAGCACGCCGCCACTGGACTCTAGAGCAGTGGAGACGCGTTCTCTGGAGTGACGAATCGCGCTTCTCCATCTGGCAATCTGATGGACGGGTCTGGGTTTGGCGGTTGCCAGGAGAACGGTACTTGTCTGACTGCATTGTGCCAAGTGTAAAGTTTGGTGGAGGGGGGATTATGGTGTGGGGTTGTTTTTCAGGAGCTGGGCTTGGCCCCTTAGTTCCAGTGAAAGGAACTCTGAATGCTTCAGCATACCAAGACATTTTGGACAATTCCATGCTCCCAACTTTGTGGGAACAGTTTGGAGCTGGCCCCTTCCTCTTCCAACATGACTGTGCACCAGTGCACAAAGCAAGGTCCATAAAGACATGGATGACAGAGTCTGGTGTGGATGAACTTGACTGGCCTGCACAGAGTCCTGACCTCAACCCGATAGAACACCTTTGGGATGAATTAGAGCGGAGACTGAGAGCCAGGCCTTCTCGTCCAACATCAGTGTGCGACCTCACAAATGCGCTTCTGGAAGAATGGTCAAAAATTCCCATAAACACACTCCTAAACCTTGTGGACAGCCTTCCCAGAAGAGTTGAAGCTGTTCTAGCTGCAAAGGGTGGACCGACGTCATATTGAACCCTATGGATTAGGAACGGGATGTCACTTAAGCTCATATGTGAGTCAAGGCAGGTGAGCAAATACTTTTGGCAATATAGTGTATTACGGGTTTTTTCTCTGGCCAGAAGTTCGATGGCAAATCCTCCCTCTTCAAGTTGGCGATCCAACGACCAACCCGTCCGTGGAGGATCAGGAATCAGAAAGGTGGAATAACTCTTTTTTTTCACTTTTACCCGATGTATTCCAGCATCCAGCTGCCATGCACGTGGGCATTGTCAGTTTCACTATAGCTCTGGTGAATTTCAATGGTGAAGTCCTCTGGAAATCTTCAATAATTGTTGTTGATTGCAGATGTGTCTAGTAGTTCCCATTGATTTAGCTTGGAAAGCGGGGAGAATGGCGCTAGGCTTACCACACCGTGACGTCACTGCTGGAAGATGGCAGGAGGGAGGGGCTACTATATTTGGGCAAAAATGGCCGCTCCCAGACTCAGTGATCGCAATGGAAAATATTTCTTTGAAATTCATTAAATCGCTGCAAACGCCTTGGTTTTACGAATAAGTAATGAACTATTGATTATTCCTGGCAGAACATACTATTCCTTCAAATGAACAATACTCAGAATGAAACAAAGACACGTAATCTGATTTAAAATGTGACGCTCTTAGTTGGTGAGTTAGAATTACTTGATAGGAATAGATTGTTAAAATGTATTCACACATTTTTAAAGAATGAGGTGACCTGGAATGGATCCCTAATTAATAAAGAAATAGACATTTACTTGGTACCAAATCAATACTCTTGAAGGATTAAATTAAGTTTGTTTTTATATATTTTGACTTGAGGAATAGTAAAGAAATGTTTTCTTTGCTGTGTCAGAGCCGATAGCGTGCGGCATGATTCCTGTCCTACGGGACGTGACCGGAAACAGCCATCTGCTGAGGATTGTGGGAGGGACGGAGTGTCCGAAGGGTGAATGCCCCTGGCAGGTAGGTGGGAGCTAAAGGCGGAGTGGATCTGTTTCATGGAGGCATGTGACTCTTTCTGCCTGACAGTCTGGATGGTTACTGTAGAGCTGAACCTGATGACCACAGGTCGTCAAACCTGGACCGGTTGACTTGTTCTGTTCTGCTGTTTGAAGGTTTTGCTGAAGTATAAAGGCGAAGGTTTCTGTGGAGGAGTGATTTACGAACCAACATGGATCCTCACAGCCTCTCACTGCCTCACTGACACTGACCCACAGTTCCTGAAGGTGGTTGCAGGTAAAAATCTCTCATTTTTAAGCTGGGCGTACACTGTAGGTTTTTTTTTTCTCCCTTTTTGGGACGATTTTTCATTTGTGCGAGAATTTTTTGATCAGGCCGACTTTCAGCATAGTCGTTTGTCCTGCATCGTGTCGTATGCAGGGGGTAACGAGGGGCGATCAGCCTCTAACGACCACCTCCCTATCAGGAATCGTAAGGTCCAGAGAAAGTTACCGTCGTAAGGTGGTCGTGGGCATATAGCTCAGCGCACAAGCAAGGATTCTTCTTCTTCTTCTCAGATGTAAACCCAGCAGCATGGTGGGGGGGCAATGAGTGAAAGGGAGTTCTTTCTGTCAAACTGACAGACCGTAGTAGCCACGTTAGCTCAGCCATGTCTTTGTCCAAATACGTCGTCTCCTTTTCTTTTTAGGGCTTTCAGCACTAAATTGCCCAAATAGCCAAGGCAGCGCTTGAGATTCCTCTTCTACTGGTTTGGCTTCCGGATAGACGAGTCCGAGTAGCGCCATCTCACTGCGGAGCTCAGTCCCACGTTTTTAGACGTACAGTGTGAGCAGGTAGATCGCATCAGAGCGTCGAGACGCACAGTGTGAGAACAAACATGGTGAGCTGTGAACTTTTAAACCCTGCGATTGTGTCGTGCAGTGTGTAGCTGTGTGCTAAAATTGAAAAAATCGTACAGCGTATGCCCGACTTAACAGCAGAGCAGCTAACTAATAATTGTGACATCTCATACGCCTGAATAAAGGCTTGATTTCAACCAACTCCTTTGAATTTCCTTCTCTTGCTAAAGGCTAATGCCACGTTGAGGGTCTATGAACTTGGGTTCTAGGGGAAGGGGTCTTGCTGGATTTTCTTTGGTGAAATGTGTTTCTGTTCTGTCTTTCAGGCGAACACGACACCAGGGTTAACGAGTCTACTGAGCAGGTCATCCAAGTCGAGGAGATCATTATGCACCAGAACTATGTGATGAGAACTGTTGACAACGATATCGCCCTCCTTCGCCTAGCGTCTCCGATAGTTTACTCGCCATACGCAGTCCCTATCTGCCTGCCGACGCGAACACTGGCAGAACGTGAGCTCTGGGCGGTGGACCTGCACACAGTGAGCGGTTGGGGGAAGCGGAGCGAGAACGGGCCCATCTCCGTCCTCCTCAGGCGTACCAAGGTGCCGCGCATACGAAAGCAGACCTGTGTGGAGCAAAGCGGCGTGCCGCTCACCGAGAACATGTTCTGTGCCGGATACTTTGACGGTCGGAGTGACTCGTGTAAAGGCGACAGCGGCGGTCCACTGGTGACCAAGTATAAGAAAACATATTTCCTGCTGGGGATCGTGAGCTGGGGGAAGGGCTGCGCCCGACCAGGCAACTACGGCATCTACACTCGAGTGTCCAACTACCTGGAGTGGATCCACAACCAAACAGCAACACCGGCTCAGAGGGAAATCCCCACGGAGACGGTCCCCGGCTCTGCTACTGTTACTCTACAATAACTTTCCCAGAATTAAACACATTATTTACTCATTATAAATGTCTGAGAATCATTCATCCCAACAGATTAAAGTCAAACTGAAACAGTTGATCTTTGATGTCAGAGATGCATTAAACAGGTTCCTCCATGTCGGTCTGCATAAAAGGTTTCAACAATCTGTATTAGCGAGTCAGTAAAGACAATATTTTGTTGTTTGATTTTTACTTCTACCTGCTCCATCCAGCTGTTCCACCCAGCTGCTCCATGCAGCTGCTCCATCCAGCTGCTCCATCCAGCTGCTCCACCCAGCTGCTCCATGCAGCTGCTCCATCCAGCTGCTCCATCCAGCTGCTCCATGCAGCTGGATGGAGCAGCTGTTCCATCCAGCTGCTCCATCCAGCTGCTCCATCCAGCTGTTCCACCCAGCTGCTCCACGCAGCTGCTCCATCCAGCTGCTCCATCCAGCTGCTCCATCCAGCTGTTCCATCCAGCTGCTCCATCCAGCTGCTCCATCCAGCTGTTCCACCCAGCTGCTCCATCCAGCTGCTCCATCCAGCTGCTCCATGCAGCTGGATGGAGCAGCTGTTCCATCCAGCTGCTCCATCCAGCTGCTCCATCCAGCTGCTCCATCCAGCTGTTCCACCCAGCTGCTCCACGCAGCTGCTCCATCCAGCTGCTCCATCCAGCTGCTCCATCCAGCTGTTCCATCCAGCTGCTCCATCCAGCTGCTCCATCCAGCTGTTCCACCCAGCTGCTCCACGCAGCTGCTCCATCCAGCTGCTCCATCCAGCTGCTCCATCCAGCTGTTCCATCCAGCTGCTCCATCCAGCTGCTCCATCCAGCTGCTCCATCCAGCTGTTCCACCCAGCTGCTCCATCCAGCTGTTCCACCCAGCTGCTCCATGCAGCTGCTCCATCCAGCTGCTCCATCCAGCTGCTCCATCCAGCTGTTCCATCCAGCTGCTCCATCCAGCTGCTCCATCCAGCTGCTCCATCCAGCTGCTCCATGCAGCTGCTCCATCCAGCTGCTCCATCCAGCTGTTCCACCCAGCTGCTCCATGCAGCTGCTCCATCCAGCTGCTCCATCCAGCTGCTCCACCCAGCTGCTCCATGCAGCTGCTCCATCCAGCTGCTCCATCCAGCTGCTCCATGCAGCTGGATGGAGCAGCTGTTCCATGCAGCTGCTCCATCCAGCTGCTCCATCCAGCTGCTCCATCCAGCTGTTCCATGCAGCTGCTCCATCAAGCTGTTCCACGCAGCTGCTCCATCCAGCTGCTCCATCCAGCTGGCTAAATGTCTCTGTTAGCATCCAGGCTTGACCTCATGGCGTCTATATTATATATATACCATGAGGCCACGCCTCCCAGTCCACGGTGGGTTTTGTGTAATGATGGTTGCCATGGTGAACATTTAACCTTAGGATGCGTCTTCAGAAGGTAACATCTTTGGCGCATTTGTTGGTCCAGGACTGTAGACCTCTGCCAGCTGCAGCAGCATCTCCACCAGGTCAGGTCTTTGTTCTGGGCTTCAAACAGGTCACTCCAGAACCCATTAGTTGTTTCTTCCCCCAGTCGCTAAGTAGCCTGACCTTCCCTCTGTGGTTATACTGGCACTGGAGGCTGAATGTGGAGCCATCAGGCCACTGGGAGATGGAGGAGATTCCTCACATCTTAGATGATTCATTTCTTGTTTTCCATGATGTCACACAAGGAAGGAGTGTTTGATGTTCTTCCTTAAAGCTACAGGCTCCATTTAGATCAGTCTAACTAAACATTGATGACTAGAAAACTATTAACATTCTGAAATAAAGCTGTTAATCCTCACTGACCTAAAACAGGAAAAGTTTGGTTATAAAAACCAGATCTTTGTAAGCAGCATCTTTATTCATCCATTCATCAGCTGGGCTGGATTCTATAGACTTCCTGTGGGAAAGTCAATGAGACAAACTACAATTCAATCATCCATCCATCCATCCATCATTCATCCATCCATCCATTATCCATCCATCCATCCATCCATCCATCATTCATCCATCCATCCATTATCCATCCATCCATCCATCCATCCATCCATCATTCATCCATCCATCCATCATCCATCCATCCATCCATCCATCCATCCATCATCCATCCATCCATCCATCATTCATCCATCCATCCATTATCCATCCATCCATCCATCCATCCATCATTCATCCATCCATCCATTATCCATCCATCATCCATCCATCCATCATCCATCCATCCATCCATCCATCCATCCATCCATCAATCCATAATCTATCCATCCATCATCCATCCATCCATCATCCATCCATCCATCCATCATCCATCCATCCATCCATCATCCATCCATCCATCCATCATCCATCCATCCATCCATCCATCCATCCATCATCCATCCATCCATCCATCATCCATCCATCCATCCATCCATCCATCAATCCATAATCTATCCATCCATCATCCATCCATCCATCCATCATCCATCCATCCATCCATCCATCCATCCATCATCCATCCATCCATCCATCCATCAATCCATAATCTATCCATCCATCATCCATCCATCCATCCATCCATCATCCATCCATCCATCCATCCATCATCCATCCATCCATCCATCAATCCATAATCTATCCATCCATCATCCATCCATCCATCCATCATCCATCCATCCATCATCCATCCATCCATCATCCATCATCCATCCATCCATCCATCCATCCATCCATCCATCCATCATCCATCCATCCATCCATCCATCATCCATCCATCCATCCATCCATCAATCCATAATCTATCCATCCATCATCCATCCATCCATCCATCATCCATCATCCATCCATCCATCCATCCATCCATCCATCCATCCATCCATCAATCCATAATCTATCCATCCATCATCCATCCATCCATCCATCATCCATCCATCCATCCATCATCCATCAATCCATAATCCATCCATCCATCCATCATCCATCCATCCATCCATCCATCCATCCATCCATCCATCTATCCATCCATCAATCCATAATCTATCCATCCATCATCCATCTATCCATCCATCCATCATCCATCCATCCATCATCCATCCATCCATCCATCCATCATCCATCCATCATCCATCATCCATCCATCATCCATCCATCCATAATCTATCCATCCATCCATCCACCATCCATCATCCATCCATCATCCATCCATCATCCATCCATCATCCATCCATCCATCCATCATCCATCCATCCATCCATCAATCCATAATCTATCCATCCATCCATCCACCATCCATCCATCCATCCATCCATCCATCATCCATCCATCCATCCATCCATCATCCATCCATCCATCATCCATCCATCCATCCATCATCCATCCATCCATCCATCCATCCATCCATCCATCCATCATCCATCCATCCATCATCCATCCATCATCCATCCATCCATCATCCATCCATCCATCATCCATCCATCCATCCATCCATCCATCCATCCATCATCCATCCATCATCCATCATCCATCCATCATCCATCCATCCATCCATCATCCATCCATCCATCCATCATCCATCCATCCATCCATCCATCAATCCATAATCTATCCATCCATCCATCCACCATCCATCCATCATCCATCCATCATCCATCATCCATCCATCATCCATCCATCCATCATCCATCCATCCATCATCCATCCATCCATCCATCCATCATCCATCCATCATCCATCCATCCATCCATCATCCATCCATCCATCCATCATCCATCCATCCATCCATCCATCCATCCATCCATCAATCCATAATCTATCCATCCATCATCCATCCATCCATCCATCCATCATCCATCCATCCATCCATCATCCATCCATCCATCCATCCATCAATCCATAATCTATCCATCCATCCATCCACCATCCATCCATCCATCCATCCATCCATCATCCATCCATCCATCCATCCATCATCCATCCATCCATCATCCATCCATCCATCCATCATCCATCCATCCATCCATCCATCCATCCATCATCCATCCATCCATCATCCATCCATCATCCATCCATCCATCATCCATCCATCCATCCATCCATCCATCCATCATCCATCCATCCATCATCCATCCATCCATCCATCATCCATCCATCCATCATCCATCCATCTATCATCCATCCATCCATTTATCCATCCATCCATCCATCCATCATCCATCATCCATCCATCCATCCATCCATCCATCCATCCATCATCCATCCATCATCCATCCATCATCCATCCATCCATCCATCATCCATCCATCCATCCATCAATCCATAATCTATCCATCCATCCATCCACCATCCATCCATCCATCCATCCATCCATCATCCATCCATCCATCCATCCATCATCCATCCATCCATCATCCATCCATCCATCCATCATCCATCCATCCATCCATCCATCCATCCATCCATCCATCATCCATCCATCCATCATCCATCCATCATCCATCCATCCATCATCCATCCATCCATCATCCATCCATCCATCCATCCATCCATCCATCATCCATCCATCATCCATCATCCATCCATCATCCATCCATCCATCCATCATCCATCCATCCATCCATCATCCATCCATCCATCCATCCATCAATCCATAATCTATCCATCCATCCATCCACCATCCATCCATCATCCATCCATCATCCATCATCCATCCATCATCCATCCATCCATCATCCATCCATCCATCATCCATCCATCCATCCATCCATCATCCATCCATCATCCATCCATCCATCCATCATCCATCCATCCATCCATCATCCATCCATCCATCCATCCATCCATCCATCAATCCATAATCTATCCATCCATCATCCATCCATCCATCCATCCATCATCCATCCATCCATCCATCATCCATCCATCCATCCATCCATCAATCCATAATCTATCCATCCATCCATCCACCATCCATCCATCCATCCATCATCCATCATCCATCATCCATCCATCCATCCATCCATCCATCCATCATCCATCCATCCATCCATCCATCCATCCATCATCCATCCATCCATCATCCATCCATCATCCATCCATCCATCATCCATCCATCCATCATCCATCCATCCATCCATCCATCCATCATCCATCCATCCATCCATCATCCATCCATCCATCCATCCATCCATCCATCATCCATCCATCTATCATCCATCCATCCATCCATCCATCCATCATCCATCCATCCATCATCCATCCATCCATCCATCCATCATCCATCCATCCATCATCCATCCATCTATCATCCATCCATCCATCATCCATCCATCCATCATCCATCCATCCATCCATCCATCCATCCATCCATCCATCATCCATCCATCCATCCATCCACCATCCATCCATCCATCATCCATCCATCCATCCATCATCCATCCATCCATCCATCCATCCATCATCCATCCATCCATCCATCCATCAGCCATCCATCCATCCATCCATCATCCATCCATCATCCATCCATCCATCATCCATCCATCCATCCATCCATCATCCATCATCCATCATCCATCCATCAATCATCCATCCATCCATCATCCATCCATCCATCCATCATCCATCCATCCATCATCCATCTATCCATCATCCATCCATCCATCATCCATCCATCATCCATCCATCCATCCATCCATCATCCATCCATCCATCCATCCATCCATCCATCCATCCATCATCCATCCATCATCCATCCATCCATCATCCATCCATCCATCCATCCATCCATCCATCCATCATCCATCATCATCCATCATCCATCATCCATCCATCCATCATCCATCCATCCATCCATCCATCCATCATCCATCCATCCATCATCCATCCATCCATCCATCCATCCATCATCCATCCATCATCCATCCATCCATCATCCATCCATCATCCATCCATCCATCCATCATCCATCCATCCATCCATCCATCATCCATCATCCATCATCCATCCATCATTCATCATCCATCCATCCATCTATCCATCATCCATCCATCCATCATCCATCCATCCATCATCCATCCATCCATCCATCCATCATCCATCCATCCACCATCCATCCATCCATCCATCCATCTATCATCCATCCATCCATCCATCATTCATCATCCATCCATCCATCATTCATCATCCATCCATCCATCTATCCATCATCCATCCATCCATCATCCATCCATCCATCATCCATCCATCCATCCATCCATCCATCATCCATCATCCATCCATCCATCCATCCATCCATCATCCATCCATCCATCATCCATCCATCCATCCATCCATCCATCATCCATCCATCATCCATCCATCCATCATCCATCCATCCATCATTCATCATCCATCCATCCATCTATCCATCATCCATCCATCCATCATCCATCCATCCATCATCCATCCATCCATCCATCCATCATCCATCCATCCATCCATCCATCCATCCATCCATCCATCCATCCATCATCCATCCATCCATCCATCATCCATCATCCATCCATCCATCATTCATCATCCATCCATCCATCTATCCATCATCCATCCATCCATCATCCATCCATCCATCATCCATCCATCCATCCATCCATCATCCATCCATCCATCCATCCATCCATCCATCCATCCATCCATCCATCCATCATCCATCCATCCATCCATCCATCCATCCATCATCCATCCATCCATCCATCCATCCATCCATCCATCCATCCATCATCCTATTATATAGTATGGTGTAGAACCACTAAATTCACTCTTTCACACTAAGGTGGTTCACTCCATTGTAGCCACCGCTGCCTGGAGCTCACTGACAGTAAGCAGGCGTCCGTATAGGGGCCCCACCGCGCCCTCTGACCACCATCAGTAGACAATGCGGGTTAAGTGTCTTGCCCAAGGACACAATGACATTGAAATCCAGAGCCGGGGTTTGAACCGACAACCCTCCAGTTGCAGGGCAAACTCCTTTGTCGCCCCTTGTGGCCAGTTAAAGGCATTGCCATTAAATTCAGTAAATAGTGTTTGTTTTTGAAAGTAAATATTAGATTAATTGGTTTTTAATCAGCTAGTGTTTGTTCCCCTGCAGTGGAAACAGTTACTGTAAAGTATTCCTACACTTCTGGGAATGAGTGTTTGTCCAGAACCGTGTGAGGAGAAACGGTCCAAAGTACGAGAACTTTTTGTTTGCGGAGCAGGTTTTGGGAGCGAGGACCAGGAGGTGAACTCTGTCTAATCTCAGTCCTGTTTAGCTCTGACCTGGAACACTGCAAACATGCTGCTGAGGAGCTTCTGCTTCATTTCCACTCTGCTTTGGACCCTCCACGCTGCTGAAGGTAAAATCCAGCCATTAACCAGGAATTCTGCATGAAACTGACTTTAAATGCATCAGTTTCAATCTGCTGATAGAAGCAGTGAGAATTATTCCTGGCCTGTAGAAAAGCTCAGAGGAACCACTGCTTGGTTTTTCAGTGTTTGTTGGGAAACACCAAGCCGCCTCGGTGCTGCGCCGATGGAGGAGAGCCAACAGCGGCTTCCTGGAGGAGCTGAAGCAGGGGAACCTGGAGAGGGAATGCGTGGAGGAGATCTGTGACTACGAGGAGGCGCGGGAGGTGTTTGAGGACGATCAGCAGACGGTCAGCTCAGGCTCCAGCTTTTTCTCTCTGCATCAGACCGGTCCACCTGGATCTCTGACTGTTTTCTTTCTGTTGGCTTTCAGAGGGAGTTCTGGAGAAATTATGCCAGTAAGTATGTGAGCGTCCTCCTGTGTGACGTCAGAGGGGCAGAGCTCACCCTGACGGTTCTGTTTGGACCCTGTTCTGTCAGAAAGGGACCCCTGCCTGGAGAACCCCTGCCACAATAACGGGACGTGTCTTTATGTGGGAAACTCCTATGAATGTCAGTGTCTGGAGGGATACGAGGGCCGGTACTGTCAGACAGGTAATCCTCCTCTGGATGACTGGATCAGAGTTCCTTGTCCTGCTCTGGGTCAGCAGAGACCTCCTCTGGTAGGACTAGTAAACCAGGCTGGCGTAATTACAGTCAATAACGGAAGGCTGAACATACCAGATATGGTGAAAAGGAAACATCTTTTTCTGTTTAATTTCAGAATTAAAAAAAATTGATAAATGAAGAAATCATTGCCAGAAGCGTAGATCTACACTTGACAGAATGTTCTGGTAAAAAGGCATCAGATTTAAGACAAACTGAATAAATACGGCAAAATGTTGGTGAATTTAATTTTAGGGGTTATAAAACAGCTTTAAAAAAAAGCAAATATGTCTCTTTGGCTGTATTCCTCTTTTTTATTTGGTTTACATCCACCCACTAACATCCACCCACTAACTTCCACCCACTAACTTCCACCCACTAACATCCACCCACTAACTTCCACCCACTAACTTCCACCCACTAACATCCACCCACTAACTTCCACCCACTAACATCCATCCACTAACTTCCACCCACTAACATCCACCTACTATCACCCATCCACTAGTATCCACCCATTAGTATCCACCCACTAACATCCACCCACTAACTTCCACCCACTAACATCCACCTACTATCACCCATCCACTAGTATCCACCCATTAGTATCCACCCACTAACTTCCACCCACTAACTTCCACCCACTAACATCCACCCACTAACTTCCACCCACTAACATCCATCCACTAACTTCCACCCACTAACATCCACCTACTATCACCCATCCACTAGTATCCACCCATTAGTATCCACCCACTAACATCCACCCACTAACTTCCACCTACTATCACCCACCCACTAACATCCACCCACTAACATCCACCCACTAACTTCCACCCACTAACTTCCACCTACTATCACCCACCCACTAACATCCACCCACTAACATCCACCCACTAACTTCCACCCACTAACTTCCACCCACTAACATCCACCCACTAACTTCCACCCACTAACATCCATCCACTAACTTCCACCCACTAACATCCACCTACTATCACCCATCCACTAGTATCCACCCATTAGTATCCACCCACTAACATCCACCCACTAACTTCCACCTACTATCACCCACCCACTAACATCCACCCACTAACATCCACCCACTAACTTCCACCCACTAACATCCACCCACTAACTTCCACCCACTAACTTCCACCCACTAACATCCACCCACTAACTTCCACCCACTAACATCCATCCACTAACTTCCACCCACTAACATCCACCTACTATCACCCATCCACTAGTATCCACCCATTAGTATCCACCCACTAACATCCACCCACTAACTTCCACCTACTATCACCCACCCACTAACATCCACCCACTAACATCCACCCACTAACTTCCACCCACTAACATCCACCCACTAACTTCCACCCACTAACATCCACCTACTAACTTCCACCCACTAACTTCCACCCACTAACTTCCACCCACTAACATCCACCCACTAACTTCCACCCACTAACATCCATCCACTAACTTCCACCCACTAACATCCACCTACTATCACCCATCCACTAGTATCCACCCATTAGTATCCACCCACTAACATCCACCCACTAACTTCCACCCACTAACATCCACCTACTATCACCCATCCACTAGTATCCACCCATTAGTATCCACCCACTAACTTCCACCCACTAACTTCCACCCACTAACATCCACCCACTAACTTCCACCCACTAACATCCATCCACTAACTTCCACCCACTAACATCCACCTACTATCACCCATCCACTAGTATCCACCCATTAGTATCCACCCACTAACATCCACCCACTAACTTCCACCTACTATCACCCACCCACTAACATCCACCCACTAACATCCACCCACTAACTTCCACCCACTAACTTCCACCTACTATCACCCACCCACTAACATCCACCCACTAACATCCACCCACTAACTTCCACCCACTAACTTCCACCCACTAACATCCACCCACTAACTTCCACCCACTAACATCCATCCACTAACTTCCACCCACTAACATCCACCTACTATCACCCATCCACTAGTATCCACCCATTAGTATCCACCCACTAACATCCACCCACTAACTTCCACCTACTATCACCCACCCACTAACATCCACCCACTAACATCCACCCACTAACTTCCACCCACTAACATCCACCCACTAACTTCCACCCACTAACTTCCACCCACTAACATCCACCCACTAACTTCCACCCACTAACATCCATCCACTAACTTCCACCCACTAACATCCACCTACTATCACCCATCCACTAGTATCCACCCATTAGTATCCACCCACTAACATCCACCCACTAACTTCCACCTACTATCACCCACCCACTAACATCCACCCACTAACATCCACCCACTAACTTCCACCCACTAACATCCACCCACTAACTTCCACCCACTAACATCCACCTACTAACTTCCACCCACTAACTTCCACCCACTAACTTCCACCCACTAACTTCCACCCACTAACTTCCACCTACTAACTTCCACCCACTAACTTCCACCCACTAACTTCCACCCACTAACTTCCACCCACTAACTTCCACCCACTAACATCCACCTACTAACTTCCACCTACTAACATCCACCCACTAACTTCCACCCACTAACATCCACCTACTAACTTCCACCCACTAACTTCCACCCACTAACTTCCACCCACTAACTTCCACCCACTAACTTCCACCCACTAACTTCCACCCACTAACTTCCACCCACTAACATCCACCCACTAACTTCCACCCACTAACATCCACCCACTAACTTCCACCCACTAACTTCCACCCACTAACTTCCACCCACTAACTTCCACCCACTAACTTCCACCCACTAACATCCACCCACTAACTTCCACCCACTAACATCCACCTACTAACTTCCACCCACTAACATCCACCCACTAACTTCCACCCACTAACATCCACCCACTAACTTCCACCCACTAACTTCCACCCACTAACTTCCACCCACTAACATCCACCCACTAACTTCCACCCACTAACATCCACCCACTAACATCCACCCACTAACTTCCACCCACTAACATCCACCCACTAACTTCCACCCACTAACATCCACCTACTAACTTCCACCCACTAACTTCCACCCACTAACATCCACCCACTAACTTCCACCCACTAACTTCCACCCACTAACTTCCACCCACTAACTTCCACCCACTAACTTCCACCCACTAACTTCCACCTACTATCACCCATCCACTAACATCCACCCACTAACTTCCACCCACTAACATCCACCTACTATCACCCATCCACTAACATCCACCTACTATCACCCATCCACTAACATCCACCTACTAACTTCCACCCACTAACTTCCACCCACTAACTTCCACCCACTAACTTCCACCCACTAACTTCCACCCACTAACTTCCACCCACTAACTTCCACCCACTAACTTCCACCCACTAACTTCCACCCACTAACTTCCACCTACTAACTTCCACCCACTAACTTCCACCCACTAACTTCCACCCACTAACTTCCACCTACTAACTTCCACCCACTAACTTCCACCCACTAACTTCCACCCACTAACTTCCACCCACTAACTTCCACCCACTAACTTCCACCTACTATCACCCATCCACTAACATCCACCCACTAACTTCCACCCACTAACATCCACCTACTATCACCCATCCACTAACTTCCACCCACTAACTTCCACCCACTAACATCCACCCACTAACTTCCACCCACTAACATCCACCCACTAACATCCACCCACTAACTTCCACCCACTAACATCCACCCACTAACTTCCACCCACTAACATCCACCTACTAACTTCCACCCACTAACTTCCACCCACTAACATCCACCCACTAACTTCCACCCACTAACTTCCACCCACTAACTTCCACCCACTAACTTCCACCCACTAACTTCCACCCACTAACTTCCACCTACTATCACCCATCCACTAACATCCACCCACTAACTTCCACCCACTAACATCCACCTACTATCACCCATCCACTAACATCCACCTACTATCACCCATCCACTAACATCCACCTACTATCACCCATCCACTAGTATCCACCCACTAACTTCCACCCACTAACATCCACCCACTAACATCAGTCTGGAGCGAAGCTCCTCCGTTGGATTGACCTTTTGTGTTACGTTTTCAGTTTTTGAAGACACGCTGGGATGTCTGTATCAGAACGGTCACTGTGAGCATTTCTGCGATGGTTCTGGAGTTCGACGCAGATGTTTCTGTGCTGATGGCTACCAGCTGGCAGATGATGGGAAACAATGTATTTCTAAAGGTAAAGAAAAAGCTGGCCTGACCAGTGGTTTTATGGTACCGTGGATGATGCTCTACGCTGACGATGGGATTGTGTTTCAGTGGAGTTTCCCTGTGGGCAGCTGCCCTCCTCACAGGATGGACTTAACCAGAGCACCCAGGTTCAGACCAGGCTGGTGGGAGCTAATCAATGCAGCCCTGGAGACTGTCCCTGGCAGGTAAACATGGCTCCATACATGTGGGACCCCTTACCCCCACTGGTCCTGGTCTAACAGGGGTCTGACTGTTCTCCATCAGGTCCTGCTTCAACTGGATGGACGCAGCCACTGCGGTGGAGCTCTAATCCACCCGGACTGGGTCATCACTGCTGCCCACTGCGTCCATAAGACGGCCCCCTGGAACCTCACTGTGGTGGCAGGTAAAACCCCCAGAGGGGAACCAAGGGCTTAAATCGATAGAGAGGCTGAATTATTTATGGAAAGGGGGTCGTTATTGGTCTGCAATACCAGATATGCCTTTGAAAGGGGGTCAGGGGAGTTTCAAAGGGGAGTTTTATACCTTGGCATTGGTTTGACCAATAAGGAAATATAGAGTCTTTTAGCATCAAATTATTATTAGATTCAGAATTTTGAAACAATTCTGCAAACGACTGAGCTGGAAGCTTTCTTTCTGAAACAGGTTTTGCTATGATGACTTTATTCTCGCATCTCATATATTTATAAATAAATCTCGAGACTGACTATAATCTGAATTCTGTTCATATCTGATCTGATCAGGTGAACATAACCTGGACGTGAAGGACAACAAAGAGCAGCAGATAGCCGTAACCATGGTGATACCCCATTCAAACTACAACCCAGGGACGGGCGACAGCGACATCGCCTTGGTCCGGTTGAACCAGTCCGTGGCTCTGGGTCGATTCGTCATCCCCATCTGCCTTCCCACCAAAGACTTTGCAGAACGGGAACTCCTGCCGGTCCGCTACCACACCGTGTCCGGCTGGGGCAAGAGGACGACCGGTGGGAACGTCTACGCCTCTTCCGGCCGCCCACTCTCCCCCATCCTCCGCCAGATGAACGTCCCCATCATCCAGAACTCCCAGTGCTCCCTGAAATCCCAGTTCAACTTCACAGACAACATGCTGTGTGCCGGATATCTGGACGGAGGCCTGGAGAGCTGCAGAGGCGACGACGGCGGCCCGCTGGTGACGGAGTACGGCTCCACCCACTTCCTGACGGGTGTGGTGGCCTGGGGCCGCGGCTGCCCCCACCCGGGATATTACGGGGTTTACACCAAGGTGGCCATGTTTGTGGACTGGGTGGAGAAAACCATGAAGAACCCGCCCAGACTGCAGGAGGCAGGATCTGGACCCAGTCTGGAGCAAATAGCGGTCTAAGATGGCTCTGGTCCCGGCTTGGAAGGTTTATTCATTGCTGGGACTTTAGAGCCCGACCAGAACCAGCCCAGTTAGAGTCTGATTGGTTCCATCTGCGTCTAATAAATAAAGCTAAGAATGAAAATGTCTCTGCAGTTTGAAATTATTCTATTTTATTTTACTTTTAGTCTGAGCAGCAGGTTCTGCAGGCGTTTAATTAAACATGTTCCTGCAGCAACGTCAGACGGCTTCTCCGGGTTCCTCATTCGGTTCATTTTCCCGCACTAAAGGCAGCAGACTGCAGGAAGATAGAGATCCAACACTGAACCGATAAAAACTCACTCCAGCTTTTATTCTGAAGGTCTGATGTTGATCTAGAGTTTCTGTTCTTGTTCTGGATCACAGACAGCAGAACATCCATGATTTTTCATTATAAGACCAAAGAGGAACAACCAGAACCACAAAAACCAACAACAATTAAAATAAAGGTAAAAGAACCTAAACTGGTAAAAAAAAAAAAAAAAAAAAAACCTTTAGAAACGAATACGAACCAGAAAATTAATTTAAGTTCATTATTTCTAATTTCAGTTTATTTCTAGAGCACCAATTCACAACACATCACACAAGTTTTCTATCTAAGGAAAACCAGCTGATTGCATCGACTCATTGACTCTTCAGCAATCCCTCACACTAAGCATGCTTGTAGCGACAGTGGAGAGGAAAAACTCCCTTTGAACAGGAAGAAACCTCCAGCAGAACCAGGCTCAGTGTGAGCGGCCATCTGCTGAGGCCCACTGGGGTTCAAGGAGACAGAAGCAGACATAGAAAAAGAAGCATAGATACAAAAGGCAACTGTCAACCAGCTCCACAGGCGGCCCCGTCCAGGAATGAAAACCAAAACATTAAAGGCCATATTTTAGTCTGAATAATGCCCTACTGTTATCATCTGAAGACAACCCTTCCTTAAAATGAGCTTTATCAAAGCATTCCCTCCAAAAATAAACTGGATGGATGTAGGAACGTTTTATTTTACTCTTATGGTTCAGGAGATAAATGATAATCTTTTTCTAGATATTAATCTATATTTATCCATTAAATCTATTTAAACATCTCACCAGTTAACAGTTTTGGCCAAGCCTTTGGCGCAGGGAGGATTTACCATTAGGAAATACTATGCAGCTGCCTAGGGCCCCAAGCTCCTGGGGTCCCATAAAACTCTGTTTCCATGTATGGTTAATCCAACTTAGCGCTCTTGTCTACAGTGAAAAGAAGGACTGGGTTATTTACTTTGGCCTTTTTGGAAACACAGGAAGGAGCAATCAGCTAAGTGAGCTTAGTGCTTGGAAAAAATCTTTCATTCCTTTAGAGACAGCATGAAAAGTCAGCTGAGTACAAAACATAGAGAGGAAAACAAGAAGAAAAGGGACAAGAAGAGAGGGACACTACCTAGAACAGATAATGGATGTCTATTCTATTAACATTTATCTATCTGGAGAATGGGGCTGTTTTATCTGTTGTCTTCTCAGAGGGGCCCCTGCCTGTCTTTGCTTAGGGCTCCACATTTCCTAAATCCGCCCCTGCCAGGGCGTTGGACCAATGGCAATGGGATCTTTTGAAGGAAGCATCCTCTGCTCTTAAGCGCTCCATTTTAGTCCTGGGAGTGTGGCCAGAGGTAACGCCCTTAAAGGGGCGGGGTTAGTTAGAACCCTTCTTTTACATGAAGCACCATCCTCCGCCTGCAGGGGGAGACACCAGAACCAGAACCTCCCTGGTTCTATACGCTGTCTGCAAGGAAGCCCAGATCATCAGATGTTCCTCTCTGCAGCGCAGGACGATCCGATCTCCTGACCAGCTGACGATGAAGGCCTGGTTGCTGATAAAGGCTGAACAAACTGGGACTGATAACTGGGAGAGGAGATAAAAGTGAATCTGTTCTGGTGACTCATGGAAGCTTTAGGAAAATCCAACCATAGAAGCTGGATGGAGAACCCAGCTTCAACATGTTTCCAGGTCCCGTTATCACTTCAACAAAACCACGTCTACCCTGAATCTGATGCAAAGCACTATGGGAGATGTAGTCTCCCTCTAAAGCTGCAGGAAGCCCTGCTGCCTGAGATAAAGCCCGCCCAGGCCAACCCTTCCTCCCCCACCTCAGTTCGTTGCCCTCTCTGCCTGCTTCATACGCACACACCATAACTCAGAACACTGAAGGTCCTCCAGCTGAGCTCCGCTCCAACTGGAACCATGTTTTGGACTCTAGGGCCAACCCTGGGCCTGGTTCTGCTGCTCCACCTCACTGCTGCTCACGGTACGTTCCACCACATCCACATTCAGCTGTCAGCACCGAGGAAGAGGAGGGTGGCAGGGAGGAATGTGGAGTTAGAGGGGGAGAAGGAGAGAGCGCTGGAGGAATGGGGAGGTGGTTGATTGGCAGATGGTGATCCTTGACCTTTGATGACATATGGGCGATCTGGAGTTGTGGGATCTTAGATAAGAAGTAGGATGTTTTGGACCATTGGTGCGCTGTCCTGAAACATTTCCAGACGGCCATGTTTATAGAAACCCTTACTGTCTGTGGATCCGTCTCTCTGCCCTGTCTCTAGTGTTCCTGGATGGCAGGAAGGCCAACGAGGTTCTGACCAGACTGAGGCGGGCCAACAGCTTTATGGAGGAGTTTAAACAAGGCAACATGGAGAGGGAGTGCAACGAGGAGCGCTGCAGCTGGGAGGAGGCGCGGGAGATCTTTGAAGATAAGCAGAAAACTGTAGGAACACCAAACTAACCGGATTCGTCTTCTTGATCAGTTCCTGTTATATTGAAACATTTAATCCCGTTTTTTTCCTCCTCAGGACGAGTTCTGGGCCAAATATGTCGGTAATGTATCTCCCCAGATCACCCTATCATGACCTAAGCCACTTGGCAGGACCCTGAAGCCTAATTGTCCATCCTGCAGATGGTGACGCCTGCGAGTCCATCCCATGTGCTCATGGGGGGCACTGCAAGGACACGATCGGAGGCTACACCTGCTACTGCAAGGAGGGATACAAGGGCTTCAACTGTGAGATCGGTAAACACACGAGTCCTTCAGGGTTAGCCGATAAACCGGCAGAGCTTCGTCCATCTGCTGCCTTCAAAACATCCAGGTGTTATGAAGCTTTGGAGATGTTCAGAATCTGAGGATCTGCCTCTAACGACCACCTCCCAATCAGGGGTCGTAAGGTCAGGAGAAAAGAGGTGGTCGTGGACAAATCCTGCGGTTGAAGCAGAGCTACGAGCCAATTTACCGGAACCTTGAGCACTGCGCATGTGCAAACAAGGGAGTTCTTCTTCTTCTTCTTCTTCCAGATTGACGAGTCCGACCAGCTCCATCTCTGAGCTGAGTCCAACGGGGCTTATAGACTTACAGTGTAAGCAGGTAGATCGCATCAGAAAGTCGGGTCGCACAGTATGATGATAAACATTGTGAGCTGTGAACTTTAAAACCCTGAGGTTTCGTTGTACAGTTTGAGTTGTAGCTGCGTGCAACAATTGGAAATATTGCACAGTTTAAACCCGGGTTTAAGGAACCAAGAGCAGCGGAGGCGTTGCAGACCTGATGCTTTTAGAAATCAATGGGAACTTTTAATACAATTTAAATACTCAATAAATGGGAAAACTGGACTTTCAGGACGCGTTCAGCCGAACCTTGTCAGGATGGGTTTGATTGTGACATCTGTGTCTTTGCAGTGATCCCCAAGCTGTGCGAGAACGAGAACGGCGGCTGTGAGCATTTCTGCCGGATCACCAACAGGAACGTCGAGTGCTCCTGTGCCGACGGATATTTCCTGGCTGCCGATCAGAAGTCCTGCGAATCCCATGGTAAGAAAAAGCTCAACTGATGGTCCCTTCTTCAAGTCTAAACACCAGATATGTCAGATTTACCTTCTAGGATGGAAGGGCTTTATAGCAAGCTACCATAATTAGCTTTAAAAACAAGAACCGCATTCAAAAGCTTGGATTTATCTTCATACACAAAATACAAAATTTGACACAAAGCCTCCATAAATTTAAACTGAAATAAACTTTTCGTGTAGAGGTTTTAATTTGGCCGTTCATGGTAGAACATCTAGATGAGGATTCTACATTAAGCCCTAATGGGAAAGTCTTTCTAGTTAAACCAGGTCCCAGGAGAGTCCAGAGCTGCCAGGTGTGAAGACATGTCCACTTAGAAGAGAAAGAATTTAGATGTTGAGGAATAATGCAGGAACCATCATGGTTCTGTCCGCAGTAGATCTTAGACAATGTTGAACTAAGATGAAAACTAAAGGTTTATATGGAAAAGGCGAAGTTATCTAGAAAACGGCTTGGTGTCGAGGTAGAGTTTAGCCTGGTTTACACTCAGAAACCAGTCTGGGTGTGTTCGCAGTTAACGCAGATATGCCCCCCCTTCCGCAGACCCTCTGCTGCACCTCCCTAAGATTGTAGACGACCGCAGACAGGAGGCCTCTGATTGGCCTTATCTGGTCCTTGGCTAGACCCCTACAATTCCTAATTAACATTTAAAATACTCTGTCATGAGTTGTGGACGATAAGATCTAAAAAGAAGCACCATCTCCTGGTCAGACACCCACACCCAGGCGAAGGCCAGTGGCTGGAAGTTGGAGGGGATTTTGCTGCCATTTGGCTGGCTTTTCACTGGGAATAGCCATTTTGATTGGCTGTTACAGTACCGCAGACCACGCTCTGAAATTGGGCATAAATCAAAAATATCTGCATCATACCTGCAACAATCTTACTGCAACACACTGGAGTATACACAGCCCTTTAGGGTCAAAGGTTATCATACCAAGCAGATCAAGGAGGCCTTCCTGCAGCTTTCAGCTCCAATCAACAGCATGTTGTCTAAAACATTCCCAGCAAACCAAACGTTCCTCTTGTGGACGTGCAGGTTGTGTGTTTTTAATCCTTACCAATGGATCAGCAAAGCGCCAAACCAGTTAGGGAGTTCTGAACATGATCAGTAGATGATCCTAAAACAGGAGTGCTTCAGAGAAACCATCAGCAACCCTACAGAACCTCATCCAAACTCTCTGATCTCTAAACTTCTTCTTACAGAGAGGTTTAAATGTGGCGCCATCGTCACCAACAAGGTCCGCTCCCTTCTGGGCTCCGTGGAAGAGACCAAAGAGGAAATGACAAACCTGAAGCTGAACACCAGCGCCAACTCCACATCACCGCAGAACTCCGACTCTGCTGATCTGTTCTCGTCTGGAAACATCAGCAGTCAGATCCCGCCCTCTAACACGCTCTGGGACAGCGGCGTCACCAGCGACATGGCGGCAAACGTCCGCATTGTGGGCGGAGAGAACTGTCCGCCAGGAGAATGTCCATGGCAGGTAGTCCTTTTGTTCTGGTCCTGGGAGGATCGGACCCATGACGGAGTCCATGACGGGTGCTGGTTGTGTTCTGATAGGCTCTGCTGATTAACGAAGACGACGTGGGCTTCTGTGGGGGAACCATCCTGACCGAGTACATCATCCTGACGGCCGCCCACTGCATGAACCAATCACGATACTTCGTCGTCAAACTCGGTATGTCCGACCAATCCAACCATTGCCTTTTGTATCTATGCTTCTTTTTCTATGTCTGCTTCTGTCTCCAGTGGGCCTCAGCAGATGGCCGCTCACACTGAGCCTGGTTCTGCTGGAGGCAATTCTGCACATTAACATAAATTCACCACAACCTCCATTAAAATATGAATTTATGAAATAAAATCATTCAACTCTGACTCAAGCGTCTTACAGTTAGAAACTCTTATATAAACCAGAGAAGCTAAACTAAACCGAGCTGCTATGGTAGAACATAATCTATAAAACACAGCAATGATGTCACAATTGAACTTAGATTTTATGTTTGAGAACCAAAGATAAAATGGCCCAACTACAGAACAGCGCCCTCCTCAGGACAAGACTCTGCTGTACATCTACACCTCATGGACAAAGGACATTCTTTGGAAGACCAGAATGTTCACATTTTGGACAAAGAAGACAGATGGTTTGAGAGGGGAGTGAAGGAAGCCATCCCCTTTACAGGGGAACAGAAGACCTCGCCTGTTCAGCCAGGCCAGCAATTCCCTTTAAAGTCGTAGGGAAATCATATTTAAATGTCAAATCATTCTGGCTTAAACGTGTATATAAATGTACTCTTTATCAGATTGTCCCAAAGTTTAGAAAATTTCTATAAAAAAAAAAAGATGAAAGTCAACACATTAAATATGATCTATTTTATTCCAAACCTCTATAATTTTAGGCAAGTTAGAAAAACATCTAAATCTACTGGAATTGAATTGGTTTTAAAACCGTAAAGCAGCAAACGGTCCAACAGAGTTTAACCACAGAATACCAGTCCCTGAGGGCCGCTATCCTGCAGCTTTTAGATTTGTTTTTGGCCAAACACATCTGAATTAAATGGCTGAATCACCACCTCAGTATCTCTATCATCTATTTACTTGATTCAGGTGTTTTGGACCAAGGAAACGTCTAAAGGTTGCAGGATAGTGGCCCTCAGGAACTGGAATTGCCCTCCCCTGCTTAGATGGTGGCTTTCTGGGCCGGTCCAGTTAGATTCCTGGGTCCTTCCAGTTCTCTCTGGTTATTCTTCAACATATCCATAATCCTCTTCCAACAGCCAGAACCCTTACAGTCCAGTTTATCATCCAGGTCCATGAAACCCAGTGAGTCCTGCTGTAACCCCTGACAGTGACGACGGTTGTGTTTTCAGGTGAATACAACACAATTGAATCCAGTGAGAATGAAGTAACACATCATGTGGAAATCATCGTCTCCCACAACAAGTACAGCCCGGACACCTACCACAATGACATCGCGCTCATCAAGCTGGCCGAGCCCATCACGTTCACCAGGTTCATCCTTCCAGCCTGCATACCGGAGGCAGACTTTGCAGAGAATGTAAGAACCACTGAGGGAGGAAAGGGTTTGACGTCTCGATTAGATCAGATGGAACAGCAACCAAAACCTTATAGAAAGGTCAGAATATTCTAGAAGTCTTGAGGATCTTCAAGATGTTTTTGTAAAGGTGAGACTTATTTTGGGTTCTGACCTCCACTGAGACGGTGAGTCCTGCAGATCTGTAGATGTTCTTGGTTCTTCTGGGACCTTCTGGATGAATTGTTAAAGAGGCCACAGTGGCAGGTCAGCCTCCATGCTCCAATGTGTGGCCTTAGAGATGGATCTGCAACCCTTTCCAGAGTTTTTAACCTACTTCGTGTTGCCTGGCAGGTTCTTCCTTAGTAACTTCTTGATTCTGAAGGTCTGGGATTACTTAGGGACAAAATTGAACCAAAATGGGGTTAATGATGGTAATAATGGGATTAAAGGAGCAATAAGCAGTGGCACCTCCAGAAATGTTTCAGTGTGTGTGTGATGTGTGTGTTTGTGTGTGGGAGGGGCATCTTTGGGTGGCCACTGAAACTAAAAGGCATAATTTCAGGGTTGGAATCTACTATAGTGGTAAACCTGGCTGTAGAAATCAGAAAGGCTTCAGTAACACCTCCTCAGATCTTGGTTTATTCTGTGACTTTTAATGTTAAGTCACTGGTTGTGTAGAATGGGATGAAAAGCTAAACTGATGCTACTACAATTTACTCTGGCCAGTGGGGTGGCCCGTGGAATGGCAAGTGGGGCGGCCAGAGGGGTGGCCAGTGGGGTGGCCAGTGGAATGGCCAGTGGGGTGGCCAGAGGGGTGGCCAGTGGAATGGCCAGTGCGGTGGGCAGTGGAATGGCCAGTGGGGTGGCCAGAGGGGTGGCCAGTGGAATGGCCAGTGGGGTGGCCAGAGGGGTGGCCAGTGGAATGGCCAGTGGGGTGGCCAGAGGGGTGGCCTGTGGAATGGCCAGTGGGGTGGCCAGAGGGGTGGCCTGTGGAATGGCCAGTGGAATGGCCAGTGGAATGGCCAGTGGGGTGGCCAGAGGGGTGGCCTGTGGAATGGCCAGTGGAATGGCCAGTGGGGTGGCCAGAGGGGTGGCCTGTGGAATGGCCAGTGGAATGGCCAGTGGGGTGGCCAGAGGGGTGGCCAGTGGAATGGCCAGTGGGGTGGCCAGAGGGGTGGCCAGTGGAGGGGCAAGGCCATTGCACAGGGTGGCCATGGTCACTCCTAGCCTCTCCCAGGTGACACCACTGGTTCTAAGGAGGAATGTTTTTTCATATTCTTACTGAAGAGATTCACTAAATTAAGATGAACTGTTCAGCGGCACATTTACAGATGATGTGGTTTTATTGGCTTCATCGGGGCGTGATCTACAGCTCTCAATGAAGCGGTTCACAGCCGGGTGTGAAGCGGCCGGGATGAGGATCAGTGCCTCCAAATCTGAGACTATGGTCTTGAGCTGGAAAAGGGTAGACTGCCTTCTCCAGGTGTGGGAGGATGTACTGCCCCTAGTGGAGGAGTTTAAGTATCTTGGGGTCTTGTTCATGAGTGAGGGGAAGATGGAGTGTGAGATCGATTGGCGGATTGATGCGGCGTCTGCTGCGAAGCGTGCGCTGTACCGGCCTTTTGTGATGAAGAGAGAGGTGAGCTAAAAAGCAAAGCCCTCGATTTACCGGTCGATCTACGTTCCTACCCTCATCTATGGTCATGACCGAAAGAATGAGTTTTCTCCCTAGTGTGTCTGGGCCGCTGCTCCTCCACATTGAAAGGAGCCAGTTGAGGTGGCTCAGGCATCTGGATAGAATGCCTCCTGGACGTCTCCCTGGTGAGGTGTTCCAGGCACGTCCCATCGGGAGGAGGACCAGGGGGAGACCCAGGACACGCTGGAGGGACTATGTTTCTCTGCTGGCCTGGAAACGCCATGGGATTCCCCCAGAGGAGCTGAACCAAGTGGCTGGAGAGAGGGACGCCTGGGCCTCCCTACTGAAGCTGCTACCCCCACGACCCAACCCCAGAGAAGAGGAAGAGGATGGATGGATGGATGGATGGATGGATAGATATTCAGCTGTAAGAGGTCTGAGTGATTGGATTTGTTCTGGTCTTCCAGGTCCTAATGCGCCAGGCAGACGGTCTAGTCAGCGGCTTTGGACGTCTTGGCGAGGGTCAAGAGACATCCACCATCTTACAGCGTCTCTCTGTCCCCTACGTGGATCGGAACGTCTGCATGGAATCCACCCAGCTGCGCATCACCATGCGCATGTTTTGCGCCGGCTACGACACAATCACCAAGGATGCCTGCCAGGGCGACAGCGGCGGGCCGCACGTCACGCGTTACCGTGACACCTACTTCATCACTGGCATCGTGAGCTGGGGGGAAGGGTGCGCTCGCAAAGGGAAATATGGCGTCTATACGCAAGTGTCGACGTACATCCGCTGGATCCGACAGGGAATCAGGAGGTTGACAGCCGCTCAGGGCAGCAGGAAGAAGAGGGACGGTGGTTCCATCAGACGGTTGTTCCTGTAAACCACATTTAAACGGCCTAACAGCTGATGTACTATCCAGCTGCAAACCTTAGATGGTGACCTGATTACTTATGGAGTACCTCAAGGTCGTTACTCTGTGACCATTCATTTTCTTTGATATATTTGCTCTAATGTTGATTTATTGTTTCTTGTGGGAAGAAAACTTGAAATTTAAAGGAGAAATAATTATTTGCTTAACTTTCTACTACCCATGTTAGGCTTATTTTAAGCTCTTTAATACATCCTCACCTCTTTTTAGTTTTCTTTCACTAACTGTGTCTTGGTTCCATATAAACTTTGTCATTAAAAGCCTGTAAGACCGAGTTGAAGTTTCTGAGGCTGAACCATTAAACACCTGGAAAAGAGTCGGATTTCTGTTCTTCTTTCACTTCTTGACCTGAAATTATTTCTTATAGTGGATTTAATGCTTAAAACACTTGTCGTCGTCGTCGCCTTCCTCTTCATCCAGGACCGGATCTTTGGGGCGGCAGCCTTAGAAGAGACTCTCAGACTCCTCCTTCAGCAGAGAGACATGGTCCCTCCATGGTGTCCTGGTCCTCCTCCTGTGGGACGTCCCTGGAACCCCTATCTAACTACTCAGGTCTGACTCTTAGGAAGGCCACGCATCATCATGATGTCTTTCAACGTTTTATTCTCTCTCTCTTGTCGAAGACACAGTGAAAACTACAAAAATACAGAATATAAAAACCTTTCAATAACAGCTTCAGAAAGTAAAAGTCTCTGACTACACAGATTTCAAAGACATTTGGTCAAACTAGATTAAACAGGAGATGATCCTACATGCTAAAATATCAACATGAAACATTCAAGTAATCAGAACGACTTACCGTGTGCATCTTTCAGACCAGAACAGAAGAGTCTTTTTCTGTTGAGTGGATCAGTAACGTTTCTGCACAGCTGGCATGTTTCTCTGCAGCCATATTGGATTACCCAGAATTCAGTTCATATCCACTAACGTCACCTAACCTTTATTCACATACAACTCAAAAACAGTAAATGATCTTCACTAAATCAATTAAAAGAAATGTTCATGAATTATAGAACTAACCATAAATAGACATTTTAACTCTTAACTCCCCCCTGGACAGTAACATCCTCAGAGGGAGGCGTCCATCAGATAAAGATGTCTGCTCCTCCTCAGCCGACTCCTCTGGATGAGGAGGAGAAGCAGCTCTGCTCTATTTGCAGCTGAATTTTTACCAGATAAAAATTCAGTGTAAGGAATTTAATATAGAAATGAATTCAGTGTTTAAAATTCTGTGGCTTCAAGTCACCAAAAGGTCAACACATTTGCAGTCAAATTATTTGCAGTTGAATTTTTACCAGATGAAAATTCAGCATGATTTCAAATTCGGTGTAAAAAAAAAAAGTCAGATTCCAGTGAGGCTGTCTTTCTTCCGTAGCTTTCGGCCTGGATCAGTAAATTCTCTGATTAATCCAGGAGTATTGATCTGGGAGACTAAGTCCCTCCATGTTTACCAGGAACAAACAAAGGCAGTGTTTATGTTTCAGGGGTTCAGCTGCTGTTTGTTTGGATGTTTTGAGGGCGATCAGAGTCCACTGCAGGAACAGAACCAAAGCAAGTTTTTTTCATGTAGATCTATGCAGAAAAACACGGAGTTCTGTTTTCCAGGTGACTCAGACTGTTTTCCACATTCATGTTGCCTGTTTTTCCAGGAACCTTCCTGTTGATTCAGGAGTCAACAGATCAAAACCAGGCACATACACTTCAAAAACAATCTAGAAAAAAGTAAAAAACGTCTTAAATTAAGCGTATTTAGCCTGAATTTAAGTAGTGAAATAAAATATTTTGCCAATGTAATTAGTATATTTCCTCCTAAAATAAGATATTTAGATAACATGCATAGACGGTTCTAGGCAGGGACCAACAGGGGCCCCTAGAGAACTCATCCTGGCCCCTGTATTTAAAGGGGAACACTGTTTTTTTACATTGGGCCCTTGATTCTACGTCATTCCCTCATGTTCTACTCACCCATATGACATATTCCATTAGATCAGTATTTAACATGTACTATCTGCTTGTATTATCTCTCTATACTTGACGGTGTTTTGATTGGACTGGACTAACGTAATAAATGTTATTCATGGTTTAATGTTTGAAAAGGCAGTTAAATAGTTTGGATGGCTTTGGTCCGTCTGTCCAAACCCCCATCAGGTCAGAGTCCCTGCTGTTTGCGCAGGCGATTGTTTGCAGAGCCTGAGCAGACCTGAGGTTAAAGCGGTCCAACATGTCCGCCTCTTGGCTCGCCGTCTGCCTTCTGGGAGGTTTTCTCCTTCAGGTGTTCAGCCATGAGAACGGTGAGTGATCCACCTCCGACCCGTCGCTCCTTTCAGAACATCGCTGTGGTTTTATGTCAGACGCAGAACTTTCTGGTTCTAAGGAGGATCCACTGGTCTGTCTGGGTTTGCTTCACAGGGCAGAACTTTGTTCATTAGATACGCACCGATCAATGAGATCAATCAGACTTTAGTTCTTCACTAACGGCCAGAGGAAGTGTTTAGGTGGAGGTTGGTCCATGCTGATGCAGAGTGACCTAAAGCTGGAGCTCATGATGCTCATCTCTGGGAGGAAAATGAGCTCATTTGGTCAGAAAAAGAAGGAAGTTTGCTGTCGGCCGCTTCTTCCGGATCAAACCAACAGCCTTGGCAGACGGGGGTGCTGCACTGTGATTGGCTCAGTTATTTCATCCAGACCCATAGATGTCTGTCTATTAGTAGCTACCTGTTTTCTAATCAGATCTATTTAACCGGAAAAACTCCTCATTCAGCTTCATTCAGCCGATAACAAAGCTATGGCCAACTGTTGTGTCACGTGACCAAATGAGCTCATTTCATTGGCTTTCATTGGAAGCTGCTGAACTGTAGAGTGTAGGTCCCTAAGCTCACACATTTACAGCTGAATTTTTACCAGATAATAAAACTGTTTAAGGAATTCAATGTGTAAAAAAATTCAGTGTTTAAAATTCATAGCCAAAAATGTTAGTGTTTAAATTTCGGTGTTTAAAAAAAGGCAGATTCCTGTGAGACTGTGTTTCTTCCATATTCATTGGTTCTGTTCCGTAGAAGCCGTCAACATGCTGGTTTTACTGGGATTTCTGTTTATTCCAGTAAATCCAGGGCTCTGTGAGAATGAAAACGGTGGCTGCGAACATTTCTGCCATGTTGTGGAAGGGAACGTCGAGTGTGGCTGTGCTGATGGGTACTTCCTGGCACCGGACAACCAGTCCTGCAGCTCTAACGGTAAGACAAGTTCTGGACCACCCGAGTCCTGGACTTTAAAGAAGCTTCAGGAACTTGGAGAACCACACAATGTTTACAGCAAGCTGCCGCTCAATGCTGTGCAACTACGGCTACAGAGAAGCCAGATCATTCAAATGAATGATGCATTGACATCATGTCAGCTTTGGTGGACGTTAGTCGAGGATCCAAATGCAGAGATGAGTTCTTGAAGATTTAATTTAAATTCTGGCAGCAACAGGAGCACAGATCCAGGAATAAATAAAGAAGCCAAAACCTCTCTATCCTCTCTTCTATTCTGTTCTGGAGCAATCAGTGAATTGGGAGCAGGTGTGGACAGAAACAGCTAGAAAGGAGGAGGAAGGAAACTGGCACAAGGAGGCAACAGAAAGTAGCACAAAAACACAACAGTGCTATGAAACGTCTACAACAACACAAAATTACATTGAAACTAAAAACTTAAAGGGCAGAACCCTGAGACATCGGCCGCTTGGACGGATGCGACAGCGAGCTCCGCATCAAACTCCTGAATTTCACACCAAACAGGAACAGACCAGATGAAGCTACTATGAGAAAAAGCAGGGAGGAACTAACCTTAAATTAAGGCTTTATATGTGAGAAGGAGGATTTTAAATTCTATTCTGGATTTAACAGGAAGCCAATGAAGAGAAGCCAGGATAGGCGAGATATGATCTCTCTTTTTAATTTCCATCAGAACTCTGGCTGCAGCATTTTGGATCAGCTGAAGGCTTTTAACTACAGTTTGTGGACTTCCTGATAGTAAAGAATTACAATAGTCCAGCCTTGAAGTAACAAATGCATGGACTAGTTTCTCAGCATCACCCCTGGACAGGAGATTGCTCATTTTTGCAATGTTCCTCAGATGAAAGAAGGAAATTCTAGAAACCTCTTTGATCTGGGATTTCAATGACAGGTCCTGATCAAAAATAACACCAAGATTTTGATTATTTTCAAAGACTCTGGTCCAAAAACTATAACTTCTGTTTTGTCTGCAGTCAGAAGAATAGTTGAATAATTAGCTTTAGCTGGATTTATAGACAGATCCAGCTGAGGATGAACAGAACTGATCCAGTTCCAGCTTTAATCATCTAAATTCATGAGTTCTTTCAAAGCTTGGTGGACATAGAGAATGACGAGCTCTTCCTGATCTCCAAACTCTCTCAGAGACTTTCAGATGTGGCGCCATCATCACCGGCAGAGTCCAAACTCAGAATGGAACCGTAGAGGGGAACTCCAGAGAGGATCAGCTGGTCCTCCAGAGCAATGCAAGCAGGCTGGATGAGACCGTCAGGGGAGAGGACTGTCCACCGGGACAATGTCCATGGCAGGTAGACACCCAGCAAAGGGGCGACGGTTCTGGTCCAGGGGTCAATTAGTTGACTTTGTTCTCTCCTCTGAGGCTCTGCTGGTGAATCAGAACGGCGTGGGCTTCTGTGGGGGAACCATCCTGACCGAGTACATCATCCTGACCGCCGCTCAATGCCTGACCCAAGCCCGGTACCTCACCGTCAGCCTCGGTACGTCTAACAGCTCAAACACACGCCTCTGGTATAGATCCGGAAGGTTCCGGTCCTGTGAGACGGATCTGGTTTCCAGACTCAGTCCGACCCAAACAGCTCAGCGGGTCGACCAATCAGAAACAGACTAATCTGTTCACACCAGTTAGGTTCCAGCTTAATGCTTCAGCTATGAGATGTTGAATCTGGTCCAACATGCATCCAGGTGTCTACAACTCGTCTCACAGTGGAGGTGACCAAGCTTCCCATGTGGTGGACGTCTCGGTCAGTCACCATGGTTACAGCCCACAGACGCTCTTCAACGACCTGGCTCTGATAAAGCTGGCCACGCCCATCAGGTTCTCCAGGTACATCCTGCCGGCCTGCATACCGGAGCCGGACTTCATGGAGAAGGTGAACGTTCACTGCTTCACAGTCACATATCAGGAATGTGGGGTTCTAAGGTTCTGTTCTACATGAAGGTTCTGATGCGGCAGCAGGCGGGGCTGGTCAGCGGTTTTGGACATCTGGGTGAGGGTCAGCCGTCCGCCATCCTACGGCGCCTCTCCGTCCCCTACGTGGATCCAGATGCCTGCATGCAGTCCACCCAGCTGCCCGTCTCTTTGCGGATGTTCTGCGCAGGCTACGACCGGATGGAGGATTCCTTTCAGGGCGACGCCGGCGGGCCGCACGTCACCCATTACCATGACACCTTCTTCATCACCGGCATCAGGAGCTGGGGCAAAGGTCACGCACGAAAGGGGAAATACGGCGTCTACACTAAAGTATCTAAATACATCAAGTGGATCAGAGAGGGGATCAAGAAGCTGACGCCTGTGAGCCCAGTATAAACACCCAGTAAACCCAGTAATCAGGGATTTAAGCTCAGAGAAGCTGGAACGAACCATCCTCATTGAGTCCCTCAGGTTCGACTGTTTGGGCCCCTGATCATCCAGGTTTGGTTCGGTCTGACATCAATCATCAAAGGAAAAAATCTACTGACTAGCATTAAATTTAGCTACAGAACTGATCCTGTTTAACACGTCTGGAGAATAAAGTGGCTGTTCTTTAATTCTCATTTCTATGTTTACGTTTGATTTGATCTGAATGTAACTGAAATAAAAAAAATGTATGAAATGAAAATGAGTTTAGACTCAATTCTATTCACTTTATTTCTATAGCTCCAATTCACATCATGTCATCTCAGGTCACTTTCCAGTTCACCAGATCATCCAGTCAGATTGATTCAAAGTTTTCTATCTAAGGAAAACCAGCTGATTGCATCGACTCATTGACTCTTCAGCAATCCCTCACACTAAGCATGCTTGTAGCGACAGTGGAGAGGAAAAACTCCCTTTGAACAGGAAGAAACCTCCAGCAGAACCAGGCTCAGTGTGAGCGGCCATCTGCTGAGGCCCACTGGGGTTCAAGGAGACAGAAGCAGACATAGAAAAAGAAGCATAGATACAAAAGGCAACTGTCAACCAGCTCCACAGGCGGCCCCGTCCAGGAAACACACAGCCAGGCAGACGAGCTCCGAGCCAGCTCCCATGTCAGAGGATGAAGAGAGCACATCCAGTTAGTCACAGTCAGAGAAACAGGACTACACTGGAAAACAGGCCAAGCTCCAACATCTAGAAACAAAGGTGTTGATGGCAGCAGCACAGCTGATATTTCTCTCCAGGATGGAGTCACAGCCAAACAGGAACAGACCAGATGAAGCTACTATGAGAAAAAGCAGAGAGAGCAGAACGTTAGAGATTGAACTAACAGATTCTGCAGAGTGGGAGAATAGAGATAGAATGAAGCAGAATGATGAAAAAGGGGTCCCTATGTCCTCCAGCAGTCTAAGCCTATAGCAGCAGAACTATAGAGATAGATCAGGATAACCTGAGCCACTCTAACTAGAAGCTTTATCAAAAAGGAAAGTTTTAAGCCTAGCCTTAAAAGTAGACAGGGTGTCTGCCTCACGGACTAAAACTGGTAGATTAACTACAACATATTCCTTGTTTTAAAAGCCTTTTAATCCCAGTTCAGATCAGTGTCTGGTTCTATCAGCTGAGATGTTCTAGGTCCAGTTTTTGATCCTGGACCTCAGGGTCCTGGGTTCTGCCCCTCCTCCATCTGCTCGGAATCCCATCCAGTCAATCATTCCTGGGATGTTTGCCTGGAATAAACACGGCGGGAAGTTTCTGCTGCTTGTTTAGTGTGATTTCGGGGACCAGAGTCCAGCGCAGGAACAGAACCATTCTGACCCATTTCAAGCGTTTTTTCCAGGTGTGGACAGAAAGACGTTCTTCATGTTTTCCTCATCAGATGTTAGCGGAACATGACTGAGTCACAGCGTGGACCATCATCTGCCGGGTCTGGCTGAGCTCCAGGGTCTCTGCTGTGGAACGTGAGCGGCTCCGTCATCGTAATGGCGGTGAACATCATGTCTGGGTGTCTGCTCGCCGTCTGCCTCCTGGGAAGGTTCCTCCAGGCGTTCAGTCAAGGTGAAGGTAGGAGCTCCACCTCTGACCGAGGCTGGTTCACAGACCAACTACTGTGACTCAGCGCCTGTTGGACCATCTGAGGATTTATGGATCAAACTGGAGGTTCTCTAACCTTCTGGTTCTCTGCAGTGTTCCGCAGGCCTCCAGTGGCCAGCACCGTGTTCCTGCGACCCAAACGGGCCAACGCCTTCCTCCTGGAGGAGATCCTGCAGGGGAACCTGGAGAGGGAGTGCTATGAGGAGCGCTGCAACTATGAGGAGGCGCGGGAGGTCTTTGAGGACGATGCCAAGACGGTAGGTCCAGGGATGGAGGAAGGTCAGAGATTTTTCAGGAGAAACGGGGAATCTAAGCCCAGTTTGTTTGTCTGCAGATCTCCTTCTGGACCCAGTACCACGGTAAGTTCTGATCCAGGCCCGCTTCACTCCTCATTACGGTCCATCTTTGATGTTCTCTGTCTGTTCTGGGTAAGGAGACGGGAACCAGTGTCTCCCCAACCCCTGCCTCCATGGAGGGAACTGCACTAACAGGGTGGGGGGGTTCTTCTGCTCCTGCAGACCCCCCCACTACGGACACACCTGTGAGCTGGAACCACCAGAAGAAGACCAGGAGAAGACCAAGCCTCAGTACAAAGCTCCAGGTGAGGCCCGGTTCTGAAGAGTTCTGAGGTGTATGGATGGAGGAACCTTCATCGTCCCTCGATGGAGGTTCGTTCATCGTCTCTCCGATGGAGGTTCGTCCATCGTCTCTCCGATGGAGGAACCTTCATCGTCCCTCGATGGAGGTTCGTTCATCGTCTCTCCGATGGAGGTTCGTCCATCGTCTCTCCGATGGAGGAACCTTCATCGTCTCTCCGATGGAGGTTCCTCCATCGTCTCTCCGATGGAGGTTCGTCCATCGTCTCTCCGATGGAGGTTCGTCCATCGTCTCTCCGATGGAGGAACCTTCATCGTCTCTCCGATGGAGGTTCCTCCATCGTCTCTCCGATGGAGGTTCGTCCATCGTCCCTCCGATGGAGGAACCTTCATCGTCTCTGATGGAGGAACTTTTCTTTTTCCTTCAGAAATATCAGAGTGTCCCACCCAGGGCCCTGGTGCGTGCCACCAGCTTTGCACGGCAGACTTTCACTCCTACAGATGTTCGTGCACGGCGGGATTCAAACTACAGAGCGACATGCGAAGCTGCCAGCCTGAAGGTCAGAAACTATCCAGCAAGGCATCTTTACCGACCAGCTCCCACAGCTGGACTCACCGTGTCTCTGTCTCCACAGTCCAGTTCCCCTGTGGGAGGATTCCTGATGCCAACAGCTCAGTCTGTCACCATGGAAACTGTCCCTGGCAGGTGACGTGCTCTCAGCCAATCAGGGGAACCGTTACGCTACGTTCAGATCTAAAGCAGCAAAGGCAGCAGGAGCAGCAGGTGTCCATGCAAAGTCAATGTTTGACCGAATCAAGGCGCAACAAAACGCCCCGCAGCGCGTTCTGAGCAGCTGAAGCAGCACCTGATGCGTGAAACGCACCGCAAACACAGCTGCTGCTGGGGATTCCCAGTGACAGCGCAGCGCCGGTATGTGGGGGTCTGAGCGGCTCCCACAGAGAAATAATCTTTGAAGGCAGGATGGTAATCTGGATGAACTGACTGCACAGACCATGTTTTCAGGAGGACTTTCTCACTTCAACATAGATTCTAACTACTTTCTACCCGCTGATCACAGCTAATATAGCCGCCATTGTTCCAGGCAGAGAAAGGATAGGGTAGCTCCGCCCACCGCGCAGCTAGAGCAGCAGACGCTTCAGCCGCGCGTCAGAACTGAACAAGGACAAGGTTAAAAAATGAAGTTTTAGCTGCTTCTGCTGTGCGCGGTCTGAACGTAGCATAACAGCCAGACAAGATGGCTGATGAGTGGTGGGTTTGGTTTGTGTGTGCAGGTGTCCCTGATCAACAGCAGTGGGGTGGAGCTCTGCGCCGGCGTCATTCTTGGGAGGCGGTCTGTTCTGACCACCGCTAGCTGCCTGCTGAGGTCAGGTGACCTCCGACCGTCTGGATTCTACGTCCAATTAGGTACTACAGCCTCCATGTTCAACATGGCTGCATGTTGCCATGACGACGTGCTTTACATCTGACCAACATGAGCATAGAGGAGCATTTAGACCTGTCAGATTAGAACCATCCATCCTCTAACTGTTCATCCATCCCAGAATAACCTGTTTTCTCTCCTTGGGGTCTGGTTGTCTAGGTAACCGGAAGGTGGTCCCAGTCGGAGCGCTCTTCCTCCACCAACGCTTCCAGTTGGACCAGCATGACTTTGACCTCGCCTTTCTGGAACTCACCACCCCCCTGAACTTTGGCTCCGCCCTCATCCACCTCTGCCTGCCCAGCAAGGACTTCAGCGAGAACATCCTGATGATTTCTGGGAGGACGGGCATGGCAGACAGAAAGGGGCGGGGCCAGAACCAGGAGCTGCTTTACATGCCGTTAGACGAGTGTCGCAATCAGCTGAGCGTCTCGCACCCGCTGAGCAACAAGATGTTCTGCATGAGGAGGAGGAAGGGGTCCGGAGGCGGCTCACAGGACACGCCAACAACAGCCAGCAGCAACAGCACCGGCCCAAATGGACCTAATGTTACGGAGGAAAGACTCCCTGAGAACAGCAGCCTGAGCTTCCAGAACCCTGAGCCACCAGGAGGGGGCGTCTGCGGCGGCCTGGTGCCGGGCTCGGCGGTGGTTACCATGGAGAAGGGGACGGCCTTCCTGACCGGCCTGCTGATGTCAGCGACGTCAGACTGCGACGGTCAGGTGTTCACCAAAGTGTCCCGCTACCTGAACTGGATCCGACCCCGGCTGCAGGCGGCGGAGAAGCACATGACCGCGCAGGTCAGCCTGTATCCAGAGATGCGCTGAGCCAAGAACCCAGCCGCCGTTACGCCTGATTTACTAAATTATTGCAGTTTGTTTAAAAATGTCTCAAACTTCAAACCCAGTTTTTCTGTTCTAGATTTCTGATCCAGAACTTTTCTTCTGTTTCTGGTATCAGAACCATAAATAAATGCTTTTAAAGGTGCGTGTGGGATCGTTCTTTCAGAAAACATCCAAACAAACCAACGTCTACAAACAGAAAGCTTTATTGAAGCAGATTTTTATAAAACAGGCGGAGAACATGGTCCATCCAGGGACGTCTAGGAGACGGAGGACAGCGGGGGGAAGGGGTTCTGCTTACTGACCACCAGCTTCTGGTGCTGATGGGAGATGTAACCCTTGATGTGACCCTAGCAGGAGGCAGAAGCAGAACCAGAATCAGACCGGTACCACCCGGATCCAGGTGGGTTCATGTCTGAGCGTGCTCACCATGTAGATGAGGTTGGCCAGGATGCACTGCACCTCGTCCAGGTCCACGTCCTCCACCTGCATCATCTTCAGAGCCACCAGGAAGGCGTCCAGCGGCAGCTGGTGGGTCCTCAGCAGCAGATACCTGCAGGCAGAGTCCGGTTGGAACCAGAACCACCAACTTCTAACGGCAGCAGCAGACCGATTGGACGGTTCTGACTCACACTTTCTTGAAGAGGTTCCTGTAGGTGATGATCTTCAGCTTCTCCAGGATGAGGAAGATCCCACAGCGGATGAAGAAGGTTTCATGTTTGGACAGCGCCTCGTTCAGCAGCAGCAGGTTCCCCTCACTGATGGACCAATGAGAACAAAGAACTGATGGACCAATGAGAACACAGCACTGATTACTGATGGACCAATGAGAACACAGCACTGATTACTGATGGACCAATGAGAACACGGCACTGATTACTGATGGACCAATGAGAACAGAGCACTGATTACTGATGGACCAATGAGAACAAAGAACTGATGGACCAATGAGAACAGAGCACTGATTACTGATGGACCAATGAGAACAAAGAACTGATGGACCAATGAGAACACAGCACTGATTACTGATGGACCAATGAGAACACGGCACTGATTACTGATGGACCAATGAGAACAGAGCACTGATTACTGATGGACCAATGAGAACACAGCACTGATTACTGATGGACCAATGAGAACACAGCACTGATTACTGATGGACCAATGAGAACACGGCACTGATTACTGATGGACCAATGAGAACACAGCACTGATTACTGATGGACCAATGAGAACACGGCACTGATTACTGATGGACCAATGAGAACACAGCACTGATTACTGATGGACCAATGAGAACACAGCACTGATTACTGATGGACCAATGAGAACACGGCACTGATTACTGATGGACCAATGAGAACACGGCACTGATTACTGATGGACCAATGAGAACACGGCACTGATTACTGATGGACCAATGAGAACACAGCACTGATTACTGATGGACCAATGAGAACACAGCACTGATTACTGATGGACCAATGAGAACACAGCACTGATTACTGATGGACCAATGAGAACAGAGCACTGATTACTGATGGACCAATGAGAACAGAGCACTGATTACTGATGGACCAATGAGAACACAGCACTGATTACTGATGGACCAATGAGAACAGAGCACTGATTACTGATGGACCAATGAGAACAAAGAACTGATGGACCAATGAGAACACAGCACTGATTACTGATGGACCAATGAGAACACAGCACTGATTACTGATGGACCAATGAGAACACGGCACTGATTACTGATGGACCAATGAGAACACGGCACTGATTACTGATGGACCAATGAGAACACGGCACTGATTACTGATGGACCAATGAGAACACAGCACTGATTACTGATGGACCAATGAGAACAGAGCACTGATTACTGATGGACCAATGAGAACACGGCACTGATTACTGATGGACCAATGAGAACACGGCACTGATTACTGATGGACCAATGAGAACACGGCACTGATTACTGATGGACCAATGAGAACACGGCACTGATTACTGATGGACCAATGAGAACACAGCACTGATTACTGATGGACCAATGAGAACAGAGCACTGATTACTGATGGACCAATGAGAACACGGCACTGATTACTGATGGACCAATGAGAACACGGCACTGATTACTGATGGACCAATGAGAACACGGCACTGATTACTGATGGACCAATGAGAACACAGCACTGATTACTGATGGACCAATGAGAACACAGCACTGATTACTGATGGACCAATGAGAACAGAGCACTGATTACTGATGGACCAATGAGAACACAGCACTGATTACTGATGGACCAATGAGAACACAGCACTGATTACTGATGGACCAATGAGAACAGAGCACTGATTACTGATGGACCAATGAGAACACGGCACTGATTACTGATGGACCAATGAGAACACAGCACTGATTACTGATGGACCAATGAGAACACAGCACTGATTACTGATGGACCAATGAGAACAGAGCACTGATTACTGATGGACCAATGAGAACAGAGCACTGATTACTGATGGACCAATGAGAACAGAGCACTGATTACTGATGGACCAATGAGAACAGAGCACTGATTACTGATGGACCAATGAGAACACGGCACTGATTACTGATGGACCAATGAGAACACAGCGCTCCCACTGACATCACTTCCTGCTGTGCAAGCCCCTCCTCCCTGCTTACCTCACAGCTTTGGTGACGTCAGCGAACTGGATGAGGTCGTATTTCCGGAGCAGCTGGTTGGTCGGCATGTGGCCCTGAAACATCAGAACCAGAACCCGGGTCAGAATCCAGAAACTGGACTGGAGTTGATCTGCTAACTACTACTGGACCAGAACCAACAGGTTCTACTGGGCTAATCAGAATAACTGGATCCAACCGGACCAGAACCAGTTTGGTTGATTGAAACTGACTCAGAACTGAACTTGGTTTGGTTCCAGTTTAGACGCATCAGAACCAGAACCGGTTCTGGTCTGTTCTCAGACCTGCAGTAGATCAGAACTGGTTCTATTTCTATAGATCAAGGAGACGAACCTACTGCTGCTCTTGGTTAGCATTAGCATTAGCATTAGCAGCGGTTCATATCTGCATCAGATCTGAAACCTCTGAGTCTTGTTTCAGGTCTTGGACTGTCAGACTTAAATGGGACCAGAACCGGGTCTGTGTCAGTACCAGGACCAGAACCGGCTGTGGTCTGGGTCAGCAGACTTTAATGGGAGCCTCCTGACCAGCAGCATCTTGACGGGCAGCAGGTAGATCAGGATCATCCTCTTGTTCTTCTGACTGGAGCGGTGGCAGCGGTCGAAGGCGAAGGACAGCAGCTCCTCGGCTGAACACAGAGCACAACTTCAGAGCTCACAACCGGGTCGCACAGAACCGGGCCGACCAGAACCGGGACACCCAGAACCGGGCCCACCAGAACCGGGCCGCTCTTACCCGTCTTGAAGTCGCTGTCGAACATGGCCTTGCGGCCCACGTAGTACTTGTAGGTGACCTTCTGGGCGGGGCTGTAGTCGTTCTTCAGGTTGGAGCTGTCGATGGCCCGGATCAGAGGCTTGCAGAGGTGCAGCTTGTTGATCTGCAGGAAACACAGGGCAGACGTCAGAACCGGGTCCCGGTTCCGCTGTGGAACGACTCGGCAGAACCGGGTCCCGGTTCCGCTGTGGAACGACTCGGCAGAACCGGGTCCCAGTTCCGCTGTGGAACCACTCGGCAGAACCGGGTCCCGGTTCCGCTGTGGAACCACTCGGCAGAACCGGGTCCCAGTTCCGCTGTGGAACCACTCGGCAGAACCGGGTCCCAGTTCCGCTGTGGAACCACTCGGCAGAACCAGGTCCCGGTTCCGCTGTGGAACCACTCGGCAGAACCGGGTCCCGGTTCCGCTGTGGAACGACTCGGCAGAACCGGGTCCCAGAGGAGCAGGAAGCACCTTGAAGTAGATCTTGAAGAGCTGGTTGCTGAGGAACATCATCCCCCACTTCTTGGAGTCGTCCATGCCGGCCCGGCTGTAACGGGTCAGAACAGAGCAGGTCAGCGTCGGGCGGAACCAGAACATCAGAACGGGTCAGAACAGGGAGACGGACTTATCGCTGGCGCAGACCCTGAAGCAGCTCATCAGCTGCTCCGCTGCTTTCTCCAACATCTCCCCCGGCTGGCCCTTCCCTCTCCTCTGCAGCTGCTGCTCCGCCTGCAACCACAACCAGAACCTCAGAGGGTTCTACCGGACCAGGAGAACATCGGGGGGTTCTACAGGACCAGGAGAACATCGGGAGGTTCTACCGGACCAGGAGAACATCGGGAGGTTCTACCGGACCTGGAGAACATCGGGGGGTTCTACCGGACCTGGAGAACATCGGGGGGTTCTACCGGACCAGGAGAACATCAGGGGGTTCTACCGGACCAGGAGAACATCGGGAGGTTCTACCGGACCAGGAGAACATCGGGAGGTTCTACCGGACCAGGAGAACATCGGGAGGTTCTACCGGACCTGGAGAACATCGGGGGGTTCTACCGGACCTGGAGAACATCAGGGGGTTCTACAGGACCAGGAGAACATCAGGAGGTTCTACAGGATCAGGAGAACATCGGGGGGTTCTACCGGACCAGGAGAACATCGGGAGGTTCTACCGGACCTGGAGAACATCGGGGGGTTCTACCGGACCTGGAGAACATCAGGAGGTTCTACAGGATCAGGAGAACATCAGGGGGTTCTACCGGACCAGGAGAACATCGGGAGGTTCTACCGGACCAGGAGAACATCGGGAGGTTCTACCGGACCTGGAGAACATCGGGGGGTTCTACCGGACCTGGAGAACATCAGGGGGTTCTACAGGACCAGGAGAACATCAGGAGGTTCTACAGGATCAGGAGAACATCGGGGGGTTCTACCGGACCTGGAGAACATCGGGGGGTTCTACCGGACCTGGAGAACATCAGGGGGGTTCTACTGGATCAGGAGGTTCTACCGGACCAGGAGAACATCAGGGGGTTCTACAGGACCAGGAGAACATCAGGAGGTTCTACCGGACCAGGAGAACATCGGGGGGTTCTACCGGACCAGGAGAACATCGGGGGGTTCTACCGGACCAGGAGAACATCGGGGGGTTCTACCGGACCAGGAGAACATCGGGGGGTTCTACCGGACCAGGAGAACATCGGGGGGGGTTCTACCGGACCAGTGGAACATCGGGGGGTTCTACCGGACCAGTGGAACATCGGGGGGTTCTACCGGACCAGGAGAACATCGGGGGGTTCTACCGGACCAGGAGAACATCGGGGGGTTCTACCGGACCAGGAGAACATCGGGGGGTTCTACCGGACCAGGAGAACATCGGGGGGTTCTACCGGACCAGGAGAACATCGGGGGGTTCTACCGGACCAGGAGAACATCGGGGGGTTCTACCGGACCAGGAGAACATCGGGGGGTTCTACCGGACCAGGAGAACATCGGGGGGTTCTACCGGACCAGGAGAACATCGGGGGGTTCTACCGGACCAGGAGAACATCGGGGGGTTCTACCGGACCAGGAGAACATCGGGGGGTTCTACCGGACCAGGAGAACATCAGGGGGGTTCTACCGGACCAGGAGAACATCGGGGGGTTCTACCGGACCTGGAGAACATCGGGAGGTTCTACAGGACCAGGAGAACATCGGGGGGTTCTACAGGACCTGGAGAACATCGGGGGGTTCTACCGGACCTGGAGAACATCAGGGGGGTTCTACCGGACCAGGAGAACATCAGGGGGGTTCTACCGGACCAGGAGAACATCAGGGGGGTTCTACCGGACCAGGAGAACATCAGGAGGTTCTACCGGACCAGGAGAACATCAGGGGGTTCTACAGGACCAGGAGAACATCAGGAGGTTCTACCGGACCAGGAGAACATCAGGGGGTTCTACAGGACCAGGAGAACATCAGGAGGTTCTACCGGACCTGGAGAACATCGGGGGGTTCTACAGGACCAGGAGAACATCGGGGGGTTCTACCGGACCAGGAGAACATCGGGAGGTTCTACAGGACCAGGAGAACATCGGGAGGTTCTACCGGACCTGGAGAACATCGGGGGGTTTTACCGGACCAGGAGAACATCGGGGGGATCTACCGGACCAGGAGAACATCGGGGGGTTCTACCGGACCTGGAGAACATCGGGGGGTTCTACCGGACCTGGAGAACATCGGGGGGTTCTACCGGACCAGGAGAACATCGGGGGGTTTTACCGGACCAGGAGAACATCGGGAGGTTCTACAGGACCAGGAGAACATCGGGAGGTTCTACCGGACCTGGAGAACATCGGGGGGTTCTACCGGACCAGGAGAACATCGGGGGGTTCTACCGGACCAGGAGAACATCGGGGGGTTCTACCGGACCAGGAGAACATCGGGGGGTTCTACCGGACCAGGAGAACATCGGGGGGTTCTACCGGACCAGGAGAACATCGGGGGGTTCTACCGGACCAGGAGAACATCGGGGGGTTCTACAGGACCTGGAGAACATCAGGGGGTTCTACAGGACCTGGAGAACATCAGGGGGTTCTACCGGACCAGGAGAACATCGGGGGGTTCTACCGGACCAGGAGAACATCGGGGGGTTCTACCGGACCAGGAGATCATCGGGGGGTTCTACCGGACCAGGAGAACATCGGGGGGTTCTACAGGACCTGGAGAACATCAGGGGGTTCTACCGGACCAGGAGAACATCGGGGGTTCTACGGGACCAGGAGAACATCAGGGGGTTCTACGGGACCAGGAGAACATCAGGGGGTTCTACCGGACCTGGAGATCATCGGGGTTTCACATTTCACTCACAATAAAAGAATTTAAGTTTACCTGGGTCCAAAATGTATTTGATTCAAATAAAATCTAATTGATATGGATAATTTCAAGTTAATAGTTTTCTTAATTAAACATAATTTAAAACTTTAATATTTAAACTTCTTTATAGTGAAGGGAGTAAAATTATTTATTGGATCCGGTTCATCTGATCCGGTTCATCTGATCCGGGTCAGATGAACCGGATCAGATGAACCGGATCAGATGAATCATCAAACCCGGTTCAGATGAATCATCAAACCCGGTTCATCTGATCCGGTTCATCTGATCAGGTTCATCTGATCAGGTTCATCTGATCCGGTTCATCTGATCCGGTTCATCTGTTCCGGTTCATCTGATCCGGTTCTATGGTTGCAGGTCAACCCTAACCCTTCTGTAGCGCCCCCTCTGGTTGCAGACGGTTCTTACGTTGTTGGCGAAGATCCTGAGGTCCAGGGTGACGACGAACATGATGGGCAGCGCCCTGAAACACAGACAGACGTCATGCTGCGCCCGCTGGCGCCGGCACCTTGACGGCGGCGAGCGATGCGACTCACCAGTTCTCCTCCTTGTGGGACTGGAAGGCTCTCAGGAAGGACGTCGGCCGTCAAGGATCAGACAGAACTGGGTTCAAACACCTCAAACACTCAGACCTTAGAAAGGATATTGAACGACGAGCGTCTGGAACTTGTAGGCCTCTACGAAGTCGTGGTTGGCCACGGCGTACGTACACCTGGAAGCAGAGCGCCGTCAGAACCGAAAATAACCAAACAGGAAGTTCAGGTCAGAGTCTCACCTGAGATGAGCCGCCACCATCTCATCGTACGGCGGCTCCAGAACCTGCTGGCACTTCTCCTCCGGACTGGCCAGCTGAAACACAGACGCACAGGTGAGGCCGTCGCATAGCAACCGACAGCGTTCCGGAAGGGGCGGGGCCTGACCTGCAGGCGGGGATTGGCCACATGGGGGTGTTTGAAGGACAGCAGCTCGGCGCAGAAGGATCCCTCCCGGTTCTCGATGGCCTCGGTTATCTGCAGGAGAACGGATCCGGTTTAAGGAGAGCAGAGGAGCCGGACACGGCGAGGGGGGCGGAGCCTAGAGCTCACCTGCTGCAGGTACTGGTTGATGGTGATGTGGGCCATTGGGGCAGCCAATCAGGAGCCGCTCACACCTGGAAACCAGATGACAAATCATGCTGTAAATGACTCCAACCTGGGCTTTGACTAGGACGTCCTACTGCCACCATGAAGAGAAGCATCCCCAGCTCCATCTGATATCAGATCTGATTGTTCCTTATGTTCCTAACAGAGCACTTCGCTCTCAATCTGCAGGTTTACTAGTGGTTCCTAGAATTTCTAAAAGTAGAATGGGAGGCAGATCTTTTAGTTCTCAGGCTCCTCTCCTGTGGAACCAACTACCAGTTTTAGTCCGTGAGGCAGACACCCTGTCTACTTTTAAGGCTAGGCTTAAAACTTTCCTTTTTGATAAAGCTTCTAGTTAGAGTGGCTCAGGTTATCCTGATCTATCTCTATAGTTCTGCTGCTATAGGCTTAGACTGCTGGAGGACATAGGGACCCCTTTTTCTATGTCTGCTTTTGTCTCCTTGAACCCCAGTGGGCCTCAGCAGATGGCCGCTCACAATGAGCCTGGTTCTGCTGGAGGTTTCTTCCTGTTCAAAGGGAGTTTTTCCTCTCCACTGTCGCTACAAGCATGCTTAGTGTGAGGGATTGCTGAAGAGTCAATGAGTCGATGCAATCAGCTGGTTTTCCTTAGATAGAAAACTTTGAATCAATCTGACTGGATGATCTGGTTGATGTGGATCTATAAAGTGACCTGAGATGATATGATGTAAATTGGAGCTATAGAAATAAACTGAATAGAATTGAATGTTTATTTGATGTTTGGAGTTAAACCTTCCAGATGTTCATTCAGAATAAATTTCCATCTCCTTCACTGTCGCCGTTCATCTCCTTTACTTCAGCTAATTAGCATCAAGCTAAGGAAGCGATGCTTTCGCTATTAAAGCCGAATTAACAAACATGTCGAATGTTAATGGAAAAGAACACGAAAAACGAGATCAAACAGTTAGAAATTCACTAAAAAGTCCAAACTTCACTAAACAGAAGCGGGTTCTGCTCCAGCGCTGCGGCTCCATGTTGAGCAGGTAAACCGGTTTAAACCTGCTCAGGCTGCCATTAAACCCGCCAGATTTAGACTGCAGACAATAGAGACACCGAGATGAGTAAAGAAAGAGTGAAAAAGAAGAGTCTACAGACCTCCGACTGAAGCTTTAGGCTGACAGAACAACCATGCAGCTGCGCTTCATTCAGCCGGAACACGGACTGATTCCACTGACGGACAACTTCCGGAGTAACGAGAACGCACTTCCGGTCCGAAAGAAAAAGCCGCAAACATCTCTACAAGGATTTTTAATTATTAAAATAAACCTTTGCAACAAAATTTATGACAATTTTAAAATCATTCAAACTTAAAAATATTGTTAAAAAAATCAGGAAACTAAAAAACATGCAGAGAAGGAAGAAGTTTTATTTTTTTTACTTTTATTTTCATAAATCCAAAAAACATTTTCAGAAAAGCAGAAACGTACAATTGAACATATGCCATCCATAACAGTTTTCTTTAAGGAAAAAGAAACATAAAACATAAAAGAATTAGAAAGATTATTTAAAATAAAAAAAAATTAAATAAAAAAAACACACTAACGTATATTGCTATCAAGTCTGAAAACTTTAACTTTAAAATCTGGAAAAGCTTTAAAGAATCTGCTATTGTGGATAAAGAATTTTCCCATGATTAAAATAATATTAGATAAAAATTCCACATTTTTATCATGAAAAGTAATTTAACTCCTTTATATTCAAAATTAGTAATCATATTTTTCGTTAATGATAGCTGATCATAAATCCCAAAAACAATTGTAAAAAAGATGTTCTTGTGTTTCTAGATCTTTCTGACAAAAGTTACATACATTAACATCAAATTTAAATCTTAAACTTAATAACTCTGCACAGGGATAGTTATTATTTATAGTTTAAAAAAAAAAACTTCTTTCATCTTTGGTAGGAAATTAGAAAAATCTGGTTCTAACCTGAAAACACATTTAAAGGTAAGTTCCTCTTAACTGGGAGAGGAAAAATTGTGTTATTTTATTTATTATTTTGTTATTAAATTTGAGACCCGTAAAATCGTAATTATCTATAAGAAGAATGGGAAAGATCGGTTTTACATCAGAATATTTAATCCTTCCTTTGACCAAATGTATCATGGTTGACGGATTTGCCCTAATCAGAGATAGAAATTGTTTCCGTAGACCAATCTAAATTATATTTTCTTTTAAATATTGTGTAATCCAGAATATCATCCTTTGTGTCCATAAGATGTATAATGGCCCAGATACCTTTTCCCTCCCATTCTCTGTACTATAGACATTTTCTACAAATAATCCTATTATGTGGCGTAAAATTGTGCTCGTATAACATTTTCCAATACTTTAGAACTTATGTGGTATTCTGATCATTTAATCGGTAATTTGTCAGGATCAAAGTTACATCTTAAGAGAAATTTTTATTCTTCTAATTTTTTTGAAAAAGTTTTGAAGGGAAACTAAACCATAAACATAAAAGCGAAGAGGAAACAGCAATAAATGATAAACTAGGGGGCGCCATTTGTAAAGTTAATCAGTTTAACATTAGGAGCAACATTTATAGTTATTTAGCATTTTAAGAGGAAAATAAGGTTATTTTATTCCAAGTCATTTTTTTCACAATGTCATTCATTCATTTATAAAAATATTAGTTTGCAAATTAAATATTTAGCTCCAATTTAAATATTTAGTTTGTTAAATAAAAATTTAGCTTCAAACTAAATATTCAATTTGCATTTAATTTAAATATTTATTTTGTGAAATATATAGCTTCAAACTAAAATAGTTAAATATTTAGCTGCAAACTAAATATTTATTTAACAAAGTAAGATTTTTATAAATGAATAAATGACAGAATGAAAAAAAAAAACTTGTTAAATAATAAACTCCTCATTTTTCTCTTTAAACACTAAATAAGTTTAAATATTGCTCCTAATGTTTGACTGATTAACCATAGTTTATTATTTACTGAAACTGGACGACTTGAAAATTATTTAGCCGTTAAATTTATTCAATAAACTTTTTTCTAAAAGGTGAAAAAACTAATTTAACTTTGGGAAAAAGTAAAGAAGCAGGAGGCCGAGCTGGATTTAAATACCTTAATATATTTACAGGATAAATGAGACTGAAAATACTTTTCATTTTCTTTCCTCCATAAATAAATAAATCTCTTCATATTGAAATAATTTTTGTGATTTTTTAAATTTTCTGAAGCAGATTATATTCCGCTAAAACATCCAAACATTTGGCCTTCAGTCCATTTGTGAGATTAAAAAGGATGAAATACGACGGTATTTAAACGGGACGAGGTTTCATTACCTTCAGGTTTCCATCCGGAAATCAATAAAATAATTATTTTGATTTATAACAAATGTATCTGGAGCTATTTTTGTTCTACTTGTATTAAATTAAATAATGATTAAAATCTGCTGCCATTTATCAGAAAATCAACAAAACCAGGAAACCAAACTTTAGACACAAACAGTTTTATTTAACCAGAAACGTTTACATTATTTTAGCACAAAGACTTTTTATTTTCTTTTAATCTTCATGAACAGCAAATAAAATAACAGGAAATGACGTCATAAAGTCGTTTCTGTCTCAGGTCGGATATTTACCTCCGACAGCAGGGGGCGCTACAGCAACACAACATCCTTAGACGACAGAAGAAGAACTGCGCGCGGCAGTGTGGGCGGGATGGATGACATTTATCGCCCACACGGAACCGTTCTGTTGGTTCTTCAGGCAGAACATCACATCATAAATACATTAACATCTTTAATTCATGGTTTACGGCTCTGATCTTTTCTAGAAACCAAACATCTGATTCTTCAGCAGCTCCTGGATCTGCTGCTCCTCCTCAAAAGGAGTGGGTGTGGCCAGGCGACCATCCGGCCCCGCCCACTCGGCCATGAGCCGCAGGCTGGATGAGGTTCTCGCTGCTGATTGGTCCATGGAGTGTAGCGCATGGAGAGTGGGAGGGGCTAATCTCAGAGCAGCCGACGGTCCAGAGGCAGGGATACTGGCTGAGAACGTAGAACCAATCAGATTGAGCTCAGGGCAACAGTATAAGGGTGTGGGCGGAGCCTCACCTTGAGGTATGGGGAGGAGGCGGAGCCTGTGAGGAGGGAGCAGCACTGGTCAGAGGCAGCGAGGAGGAGGAGGGTGAGAAGGACGAAGAAGAGGAGGCTGGACGAGGCGCAGAACCGCTCCAACCTTCATGGAGAACAGGAACACCTTCAGAGATCAGGTTCACTGACGGAACACAAACCAGGTGGAGACGCGTCAGGGAACCTGGGGAACCACCTTAGAACATCTGATCCTGTCTGAGGAACCACCTTAGAACATCTGATCCTGTGAGGAACCACCTTAGAACATCTGATCCTGTGAGGAACCACCTTAGAACATCTGATCCTGTCTGAGGAACCACCTTAGAACATCTGATCCTGTCTGAGGAACCACCTTAGAACATCTGATCCTGTGAGGAACCACCTTAGAACATCTGATCCTGTGAGGAACCACCTTAGAACATCTGATCCTGTCTGAGGAACCACCTTAGAACATCTGATCCTGTGAGGAACCACCTTAGAACATCTGATCCTGTCTGAGGAACCACCTTAGAACATCTGATCCTGTGAGGAACCACCTTAGAACATCTGATCCTGTGAGGAACCACCTTAGAACATCTGATCCTGTGAGGAACCACCTTAGAACATCTGATCCTGTCTGAGGAACCACCTTAGAACATCTGATCCTGTCTGAGGAACCACCTTAGAACATCTGATCCTGTGAGGAACCACCTTAGAACATCTGATCCTGTGAGGAACCACCTTAGAACATCTGATCCTGTCTGAGGAACCACCTTAGAACATCTGATCCTGTGAGGAACCACCTTAGAACATCTGATCCTGTCTGAGGAACCACCTTAGAACATCTGATCCTGTGAGGAACCACCTTAGAACATCTGATCCTGTGAGGAACCACCTTAGAACATCTGATCCTGTCTGAGGAACCACCTTAGAACATCTGATCCTGTGAGGAACCACCTTAGAACATCTGATCCTGTATGAGGAACCACCTTAGAACATCTGATCCTGTGAGGAACCACCTTAGAACATCTGATCCTGTGAGGAACCACCTTAGAACATCTGATCCTGTGAGGAACCACCTTAGAACATCTGATCCTGTGAGGAACCACCTTAGAACATCTGATCCTGTGAGGAACCACCTTAGAACATCTGATCCTGTCTGAGGAACCACCTTAGAACATCTGATCCTGTGAGGAACCACCTTAGAACATCTGATCCTGTGAGGAACCACCTTAGAACATCTGATCCTGTGAGGAACCACCTTAGAACATCTGATCCTGTGAGGAACCACCTTAGAACATCTGATCCTGTGAGGAACCACCTTAGAACATCTGATCCTGTGAGGAACCACCTTAGAACATCTGATCCTGTGAGGAACCACCTTAGAACATCTAACCTGGGGAGGAACCAAACCTTTGAACATCGATCCCCGTGAGGGGAAACCCCCTTTTGAACATCTGATTTCCCGTTTGGGGAACCCCCTTAGAACCTGATCCTGTTAGGAAAACCCCTTAGAAATCTGTTTTCCCGTGAGGAACCCCCCTTAAACATCTGATCCTGTAGGGAAAAACCTTTGAACATCTGTCCTGTTTTGGGAACCCCCTTAGAACATCTGATCCTGTTTAGGGAAACCCCCTTTTGAACCTTGATCCTGTTGAGGAACCACCTTAGAACAAACTGATTTCCCGTGAGGAACCCCCTTAGAACATTGATCCCGTTTAGGGGGAAAATTAGAAAATTACCCCGTAAAGGGAAACCCCCTTAGAAAAAAACTGTTCCCTTTTAGGGGAAACCCCCTTAGAAAATTGATCCCGTTTAAACCAAAACCCTTTGAACATCCCGGGTCCTGTTTAGGAACCACCTTAGAACATCTGGGTCCTGTTTAGGAACCCCTTAGAACATCTGATCCTGTGGGGGAACCACCTTAAAAACATCTATCCTGTGGGGGGAACCCCCCTTAGAACATTGTGACCGTATGAGGGAAACCCCCCTTAGAACATTTTGATCCTGTGAGGAACCCCCTTTTGAACATCTGATCCCCCGTGAGGGGAACCCCCTTTTAAAAAATCTGTTTCCCGTCTGAGGAAACCCCCTTAGAACATTGATCCCCGTTTAGGAACCCCTTTAGAACACTGATCCTGTGAGGGGAAACCCCCCTTTGAACATCTGTCCCGTTTAGGAAAAAACCCTTTGAACATCTATTTCCCGTTTAGGGAACCACCCGTAGAAAGATTTGTAAGGAAATGAAAAAAAAATCCCCGTCCTGTGGGGAAACCCCCTTAGAACATCAAACCCGTCTGAGAAACCCCCCCTTTTGAACCCCCTCGAAACCTGGGCGAGGAAAACCAAACCCTTTGAACTTTTTGATCCCGTTGAAGGGAACCCACCTTTAGAACATTGAACCGTTGAGGAACCACCTTAGAACATCGATCCTGTGAGGAACCAAACCTTTTTGAACATTGATCCTGTTTAGGAACCACCTTTTGAACATCTGATCCTGTATAGGAAAACCCCCTTAGAACATCCCGTTTGAGGAACCCCTTTTAAAAATTATCCTGTTTGGGGGCCACCTTCTACTTTATCCTTTGAAGGAAAACCCCCCTTAGAAAATTTGATCCTTTAGTGGAACCCCCAAAACCCCAACCCCCCCCTTAAACCACCTAAACCCCCCTTGATCCTTCCCGGGGCCCCCTTAACACACACCAAAAAACCACCAGAAAAGAACCGGGGGAAAAACCCCCTTCCCAACCCCGATCCAAAATGAGGAAACCCCATAAAATCCAACCGCTGGGGAACCCCAAAAATCTGTTTCCCGTGAGGAACCACCTTAGAACATTGGGTCCGGGTTTTTGGGAAAACCCCCTTTTGGGAAAACCCGATCCTGTCCCGAGGAACCACCTTTTGAAAATCTGATCCTGGTTTTTGGTGGGGTTTTTTTGAAAAATTTTGATCCTGTAAAGAGGGAAACCCCCTTAAAAAAATCTGATCCTGTTGAGGAACCCCCCTTTGAAATTGATCCCCCGGTGGGGGAACCCTTAGAACATTGCTTTTTCCCGTTGAGGAACCCCCCTTTGAACATCTGATCCTTTTGAGGGAAACCCCCTTAGAAAAATCTGTCCTGGAGGAAACCCCCTTGAAAAATCTGATTTGTGGGGGAACCCACCTTTGAACATCTATTATTGTGGACCACCTAGAAATCTTATCCCGTGAGGAAACCCCCTTGCATCGATCCCGTTTATGGAACCACCTTAGAACATTTTGATCCTGTTTAGGAACCACCCTTTTAAAAATCTGATTCCCGTGGGAACCCCCTTAAACATCTGATCCTGTTTAGGGGAACCCCCCTTAGGGAAAATCTGATTTCCCGTATGGGAACCAACCCTTTAAAAATTTTGTTCCCGTCTGGGAACCACCTTAGAACATCTGATCCGGTTTAGGAACCACCTTAGAACTCTGATTCCCGTATGAGAACCCCCTTAAAAAAGGGGATTTTAGAGAAATTTTAGGGAAAACCACTTTCCCCCTTCCTCTGGATCCCGTTTTAGGAAAACCAAACCCTTTGAACATTTTTATCCTGTCGAGCCACTTAGGGGAACCCCCTGATCCTGTTGGGAAAAGGAAAACCCCCCTTAAAAATTGATTCCTGTGAGGAACCAAACCCTTTTTAAAAATTCCCCCCCCCCCCTGAAAGGGAACCCCCTTAGAAACATTTTTGATTTTGAGGAAAAACCCCCTTTTTGAAACATCTGATCCTGTGAGGAACCACCTTTTTGAACATCCCGTTTTGTTGAGGAAACCCCCTTTTGAACAATTTTGATCCCGTTTAGGAACCCCCTTTTTAAAATCTGATCCCGTAAGGGGGAAACCCCCTTAGAACATTGATCCCTTTGAGGAAACCCCCTTTTGAACATCTGATCCCGTTAGGAACCACCTTTTGAAATCTGATCCCGTTTAGGAAAACCCCTTTGAACAACTGATCCTGTTTAGGGAAACCCCCTTAGAAAAATCTGATCCGTTGGGGAAACCCCCCTTTGAACATTGGGTCCTTTGGGAAACCAAACCCCTTTGAACATCTTTATCCTGTGAGGGAAAAAACCTTAGAACAAACTGTTCCCGTTTAGGAACCCCCCTTTAGAAATTGTTCCTCAAGGGAAACCCCCTTAAACAATTTATCCTGTGAGGGGCCCCCCCCCTTTGAAAAATTGATCTGTTTAGGAACCCCCCTTAGAACATCTGATCCCGTGAGGAACCCCCCTTTTGAACATCTGAACCTGTCTGAGGAAAAAAACCCTTGAAAAAAATGTCCCGTTTAGGAACCACCTTGAACCAAATTTTTTTTGTGAGGGAAACCCCCTTTTTAAAATCTGATCCGTTGAGGAAAAAACCCTTTTAGAACATCTATCCTGTGAGGGAAACCCCCTTAAAACATTGAATTTCCCGTTTAGGAACCCCCTTTGAAAAAATTTATCCTGTGGAAAAACCCCCCCTTAGGGAAAATCTGATCCTGGGGAGGGAACCCCCTTAAAATCTGATTTCCTTGTGAGGGAACCCCCTTTTGAACAACTGATCCTGTGTTGGAAAAAACCCCCCCCGAACAAACTTATTCCGTGGGAACCCCCTTAGAACAACCCGTTCCGTGAGGGAAACCCCCTTTTGAAAATCTGATCCTGTGAGGAACCACCTTAGAACATCTGATCCTGTGAGGAACCACCTTAGAACATCTGATCCTGTGAGGAACCACCTTAGAACATCTGATCCTGTGAGGAACCACCTTAGAACATCTGATCCTGTGAGGAACCACCTTAGAACATCTGATGTTTCTTCAGGTTAAATTAAAAGCGTTTAGAATCTAAACTCTAGATAATTGATAATAGATTTTCCGGATGGCGGATTATATTCCTACCTGAGGAGTGAGGTCGGTGGGGCAGGTAGGCCGCAGGGTAAGGGGCGTGCCTCCCTGGGTAACCGGGGTGTTTGTAACCATGGTGATGGTGATGATGGGAGGCCAGCGGCAGGCTGCCGGTGTAGGGGAAAGCTCCGCCCCCCGCCGCTGAGCACAGCGACCAACCTGAGAACCGGAGACGTTTGATCACCATGGAGATCCTAAACTACAGATTTTATATGACACTATAAACATTTTAATTTGATTATGTTACACATCTGTTATAGTTGGGTTTTCTGGCTGGTAGAGTGGTTGCCATAGCGATCGATGGGTGAAACAGGCGTAGAGATTCTGGATTATTTCTGTTCTTTACTTTAGCATCATATTCCTTTATTTAACTTTATATATTCTATATAATTGAATGAAGAGAATGAGTTTCTAATTGATCTAAATCAGAACGTAAAGCTGGTTCTGCTCCCATCCTTCCAGGTGACCTCTGACCTCCCCTCAGTCCGGAGACTGAGGGGAGGTCAGAGATCATCTCCAGCCGAACCGTCGGCGTTACTCACAGGGCTGAATCCCCACCCGGCTCTCCGCTGCGTCCTGTAGAACCCGTCCTGCAGGGTTCCTGAGGGGGATGAATCACCATAGCAACCATGAAGATGATGAGAACCCTGACAGGTGAAGATCTTCAGACCAAACCTCTGGTTCACGCAGCTTCAGGTTCAGAGTAACTTTATCGAACCGTTAATCTGACGGTTTTAGAGATTGGGATAATCTGGGATTAAAGCTTCTGGCTGTGAACCGACGGCTGATGGAATCCAGATGTTTGGTCTCATCCCTGATTGGTCCAGAGCTCCAAGCTTTGCTCACCTCTCCTTGGCGTCCAGGAAGGCTTTAGCGAACGGGTTATACTTGATCTTCAGCGCCGTGATCTGAGGCGGGAGGAAACAGAACCAGTTAGCGTTCGGACCAGGAGGCGGGCCCAGCTAGAAGCAGGAGGCTCCGCCTACCTCCTCGTTCTGGTAGGCGGTCACAGCGATGAACTGCGCCTCCCTGAAGGAGACGTTGGAGACCAGGCGGTGGTGGGAGCCCACGCAGACGATGTGCAGCTGGGGCTCGTACTTATGGAGCGAGTTCAACATGATCTGGAACAAACACACCTCCATCAGCACCTCCATCAGAACCTCCATCAGAACCTCCATCAGCACCTCCATCAGAACCTCCATCAGAACCTCCATCAGCACCTCCATCAGCACCTCCATCAGAACCTCCATCAGAACCCCCTTCAGCACCTCCATCAGCACCTCCATCAGAACCTCCATCAGAACCCCCTTCAGCACCTCCATTAGAACCAGCACCTCCATCAGAACCTCCATCAGAACCTCCATCAGCACCTCCATCAGCACCTCCATCAGCACCTCCATCAGCACCTCCATCAGCACCTCCATCAGAACCTCCATCAGCACCTCCATCAGAACCTCCATCAGCACCTCCATCAGCACCTCCATCAGAACCTCCATCAGAACCTCCATCAGCACCTCCATCAGCACCTCCATCAGCACCTCCATCAGAACCTCCATCAGAACCCCCTTCAGCACCTCCATTAGAACCAGCACCTCCATCAGAACCTCCATCAGAACCTCCATCAGAACCTCCATTAGAACCAGCACCTCCATCAGAACCTCCATCAGAACCTCCATCAGAACCTCCATCAGCACCTCCATCAGAACCTCCATCAGAACCTCCATCAGCACCTCCATCAGCACCTCCATCAGAACCTCCATCAGCACCTCCATCAGCACCTCCATCAGAACCTCCATCAGCACCTCCATCAGCACCTCCATCAGAACCTCCATCAGAACCTCCATCAGCACCTCCATCAGCACCTCCATCAGAACCTCCATCAGCACCTCCATCAGAACCTCCATCAGCACCTCCATTAGAACCAGGACCTCCATCAGAACCTCCATCAGCACCTCCATTAGAACCAGCACCTCCATCAGAACCTCCATCAGAACCTCCATTAGAACCAGCACCTCCATCAGAACCTCCATCAGAACCTCCATCAGAACCTCCATTAGAACCAGCACCTCCATCAGAACCTCCATCAGAACCTCCATCAGAACCTCCATCAGCACCTCCATCAGAACCTCCATCAGAACCTCCATCAGCACCTCCATCAGCACCTCCATCAGAACCTCCATCAGCACCTCCATCAGCACCTCCATCAGAACCTCCATCAGCACCTCCATCAGCACCTCCATTAGAACCTCCATCAGAACCTCCATCAGCACCTCCATCAGAACCTCCATCAGAACCTCCATCAGCACCTCCATCAGCACCTCCATCAGAACCTCCATCAGCACCTCCATCAGCACCTCCATTAGAACCTCCATCAGAACCTCCATCAGCACCTCCATCAGCACCTCCATCAGAACCTCCATCAGCACCTCCATCAGCACCTCCATCAGCACCTCCATCAGCACCTCCGTCAGAACCTCCATCAGCACCTCCATCAGCACCTCCATCAGAACCTCCATCAGAACCTCCATTAGAACCAGGACCTCCATCAGAACCTCCATCAGCACCTCCATTAGAACCAGCACCTCCATCAGAACCTCCATCAGAACCTCTATCAGCACCTCCATCAGCACCTCCATCAGAACCTCCATCAGCACCTCCATCAGCACCTCCATCAGCACCTCCATCAGAACCTCCATCAGCACCTCCATTAGAACCAGGACCTCCATCAGAACCTCCATCAGCACCTCCATTAGAACCAGCACCTCCATCAGAACCTCCATCAGAACCTCCATCAGAACCTCCATCAGCACCTCCATCAGCACCTCCATCAGAACCTCCATCAGAACCTCCATCAGCACCTCCATCAGAACCTCCATCAGAACCTCCATCAGCACCTCCATCAGAACCTCCATCAGCACCTCCATTAGAACCAGCACCTCCATCAGAACCTCCATCAGCACCTCCATTAGAACCAGCACCTCCATCAGAACCTCCATCAGAACCTCCATCAGAACCTCCATCAGCACCTCCATCAGAACCTCCATCAGCACCTCCATTAGAACCAGCACCTCCATCAGAACCTCCATCAGAACCTCCATCAGCACCTCCATCAGAACCTCCATCAGAACCTCCATCAGCACCTCCATCAGCACCTCCATCAGCACCTCCATCAGAACCTCCATCAGAACCTCCATCAGCACCTCCATCAGAACCTCCATTAGAACCTCCATCAGCACCTCAATCAGCACCTCCATCAGAACCTCCATCAGCACTCCGTCAGAACCTCCATCAGCACCTCCATTAGAACCTCCATCAGCACCTCCATCAGCACCTCCATCAGAACCTCCATCAGCACCTCCATCAGCACCTCCGTCAGAACCTCCGTCAGAACCTCCATCAGCACCTCCATCAGCACCTCCATCAGAACCTCCATCAGCACCTCCATCAGCACCTCCGTCAGAACCTCCATCAGCACCTCCATCAGCACCTCCATCAGAACCTCCATCAGCACCTCCATCAGCACCTCCATCAGAACCTCCATTAGAACCTCCATCAGCACCTCCTCAGAACCTCCATCAGCACCTCCATCAGCACCTCCTCAGAACCTCCATCAGCACCTCCATCAGCACCTCCTCAGAACCTCCATCAGCACCTCCATCAGCACCTCCATCAGCACCTCCTCAGAACCTCCATCAGAACCTCCATCAGCACCTCCATCAGCACCTCCATCAGAACCTCCATCAGCACCTCCATCAGAACCTCCATCAGCACCTCCATCAGCACCTCCATCAGAACCTCCATCAGCACCTCCGTCAGAACCTCCATCAGCACCTCCATCAGAACCTCCATCAGCACCTCCATCAGAACCTCCATCAGCACCTCCATCAGCACCTCCTCAGAACCTCCATCAGCACCTCCATCAGCACCTCCATCAGCACCTCCATCAGAACCTCCATCAGCACCTCCATCAGCACCTCCATCAGAACCTCCATCAGCACCTCCATCAGAACCTCCATCAGCACCTCCATCAGCACCTCCATCAGAACCTCCATCAGCACCTCCATCAGAACCTCCATCAGCACCTCCATCAGAACCTCCATCAGCACCTCCATCAGCACCTCCTCAGAACCTCCATCAGCACCTCCATCAGCACCTCCATCAGCACCTCCATCAGCACCTCCATCAGAACCTCCATCAGCACCTCCATCAGCACCTCCATCAGAACCTCCATCAGCACCTCCATCAGAACCTCCATCAGCACCTCCATCAGCACCTCCATCAGAACCTCCATCAGCACCTCCGTCAGAACCTCCATCAGCACCTCCGTCAGAACCTCCATCAGCACCTCCATCAGAACCTCCATCAGCACCTCCATCAGCACCTCCATCAGAACCTCCATCAGCACCTCCGTCAGAACCTCCATCAGCACCTCCATCAGCACCTCCATCAGAACCTCCATCAGCACCTCCATCAGCACCTCCATCAGAACCTCCATCAGCACCTCCATTAGAACCTCCATCAGCACCTCCATCAGAACCTCCATCAGAACCTCCATCAGCACCTCCATCAGCACCTCCGTCAGAACCTCCATCAGCACCTCCATCAGCACCTCCATCAGAACCTCCATCAGCACCTCCATCAGCACCTCCGTCAGAACCTCCATCAGCACCTCCATCAGCACCTCCATCAGAACCTCCATCAGCACCTCCATCAGCACCTCCGTCAGAACCTCCATCAGCACCTCCATCAGCACCTCCATCAGAACCTCCATCAGCACCTCCATCAGCACCTCCATCAGCACCTCCATCAGCACCTCCATCAGCACCTTCGTCAGAACCTCCATCAGCACCTCCATTAGAACCTCCATCAGCACCTCCATCAGCACCTCCATCAGCACCTCCATCAGAACCTCCATCAGCACCTCCATTAGAACCTCCATCAGCACCTCCATCAGCACCTCCATTAGAACCTCCATCAGAACCTCCATCAGCACCTCCATCAGAACCTCCATCAGCACCTCCATCAGCACCTCCATCAGCACCTCCATCAGCACCTCCTCAGAACCTCCATCAGCACCTCCTCAGCACCTCCATCAGCACCTCCATCAGCACCTCCATCAGCACCTTCGTCAGAACCTCCATCAGCACCTCCATTAGAACCTCCATCAGCACCTCCATCAGCACCTCCGTCAGAACCTCCATCAGCACCTCCATTAGAACCAGGACCTCCATCAGAACCTCCATCAGCACCTCCATCAGCACCTTCGTCAGAACCTCCATCAGCACCTCCATTAGAACCTCCATCAGCACCTCCATCAGCACCTCCGTCAGAACCTCCATCAGCACCTCCATCAGCACCTTCGTCAGAACCTCCATCAGCACCTCCATCAGTACCTCCATCAGCACCTCCTCAGAACCTCCATCAGCACCTCCTCAGAACCTCCATCAGCACCTCCATCAGCACCTTCGTCAGAACCTCCATCAGCACCTCCATCAGTACCTCCATCAGCACCTCCTCAGAACCTCCATCAGCACCTCCTCAGAACCTCCATCAGCACCTCCATCAGCACCTTCGTCAGAACCTCCATCAGCACCTCCATCAGTACCTCCATCAGCACCTCCTCAGAACCTCCATCAGCACCTCCTCAGAACCTCCATCAGCACCTCCATCACAACCAGGACCTCCATCAGAACCAGGACCTCCATCAGAACCAGGACCTCCTGCACAAAGGCTCAGTCTGCCTGGCCTCCATTGAACCCATCAGAGCAGCCTCCACTGGAACCTCTGACCACCAGGAGGTGGAAGGAGCTGGATTAGAACCAGCAACCCAGTAGCTGCAGGATAAACTCCTCTAGAACCACCGAGATGGTGGAACAACAGGAGGAAGAGGAGGAGGAGAGAGGAGGAAGAGGGCTGGTTCTTGCAGCGGCACCATGTCAGAACGTTCAGAATGTTCTACTGTGACGGGTTTCCGGTCTGAACCGGTCTGAAGCGGTCTGAACTGGTCTGAATGGCTCCATGGAAACTTTCTGAGTCACGCAGTCAGAACTGTGTACTTTAGGCTCCATTAGGAACAAAGCGAGTGGAGTTGGTGGACGGGAGCCATCTTTGTCTGCTCGCTCCAATTAACCAATCAGGGTCCTCCAGGCCAGCGCAGAAAAACAAACAGTTTTCTATTCAGATTGAGAGGCTGGCTTCAGATGTGACCCCTGCGCTCACTGAGTGTGTGTGGGCTCCCTTTGAATATAGTTTACCTCGTCCATCTGAAGCATGATGGCCAAATTAATTTCCCGCTAAAAAACATAATTACCATAATGTAGAAATAAGCTGAGCAATTATTTCATTATGGCCCAGCTCTCTGTTCCAGCTCTGCATTACGGGGCGCCGTCATAATGGGGTAAATATAAACAACATTACTGCCAATTTCAGCCGCAGAGGCCCTGAGAGGCAGAGCCAGCGCTCAACAGCCCTCCACAGGAAGTGCATTAAACTGCTGCCGGCCAATTAAGAGCTGTTTATCCCGTTCCCGTGGTAACCGGGAGGTGAGGAGGGGAAGTGAAAGAGGAGAGCCACTGAAGTGGCTCATTACAGCCGGGGGTCTCTCGCCCACTCCAGGATAACACAGGAGGGAGCAGAGGGAAGCTAATGGAGGCCAGGAGGAGGAGGAGAGGAGGAGGAGGAGGAGGAGAGGAAGGAGAGGAGGAGGAGAGGAAGGAGAGGAGGAGGAGGAGAGGAGGACAGGAAGGAGAGGAGGAGGAGGAGAGGAGTAGAGAGGAGGAGGAGAGGAAGGAGAGGAGGAGAGGAAGGAGAGAGGAGGAGGAGGAGAGGAAGGAGAGGAGGAGAGGAAGGAGAGATGGGGAGGAGGAGGAGAGGAAGGCGGAGGAGAGGAATGACCTCCTCCTCCTGCACTTCCTGCTCCACCTGCTCTACCTGCTCCACCTGCTCCACCTGCACTACCTGCTCCACCTGCTCCACCTGCACTACCTGCTCCATCTGCTCCACCTGCTCTACCTGCTCCACCTGCACTACCTGCTCCACCTGCTCCACCTGCACTACCTGCTCTACCTGCTCCACCTGCTCCACCTGCACTACCTGCTCCACCTGCTCCACCTGCACTACCTGCTCCACCTGCTCCACCTGCTCCACCTGCACTACCTGCTCCACCTGCACTACCTGCTCCACCTGCTCCACCTGCTCTACCTGCTCCACCTGCTCTACCTGAACTTCCTGCTCCACCTGCTCTACCTGCACTTCCTGCTCCACCTGCTCTACCTGCACTTCCTGCTCCATCTGCTCCACCTGCTCCACCTGCTCTACCTGAACTTCCTGCTCCACCTGCTCTACCTGCACTTCCTGCTCCACCTGCTCTACCTGCACTTCCTGCTCCACCTGCACTTCCTGCTCCATCTGTTCCACCTGCACTTCCTGCTCCACCTGCACTTCCTGCTCTACCTGCTCCACCTGCACTTCCTGCTCCATCTGTTCCACCTGCACTTCCTGCTCCACCTGCTCTACCTGCTCCACCTGCTCCACCTACCCTACCTGCTCCATCTGCTCCACCTGCTCTACCTGCACTTCCTGCTCCATCTGCTCCACCTGCTCTACCTGCTCTACCTGCTCCACCTGCTCTACCTGCTCCACCTGCTCTACCTGCTCCACCTGCTCTACCTGCACTTCCTGCTCCACCTGCTCTGCCTGCTCCACCTGCTCCACCTGCTCTACCTGCTCCACCTGCACTACCTGCACTTCCTGCTCTACCTGCACTTCCTGCTCCACCTGCTCCACCTGCTCTACCTGCTCTACCTGCTCTGCCTGCTCCACCTGCTCTACCTGCTCCACCTGCACTACCTGCTCTACCTGCTCCACCTGCACTACCTGCTCTACCTGCACTTCCTGCTCTACCTGCACTTCCTGCTCTACCTGCTCTGCCTGCTCCACCTGCTCTACCTGCTCTGCCTGCTCCACCTGCTCTACCTGCTCCACCTGCACTACCTGCTCTACCTGCTCCACCTGCACTACCTGCTCTACCTGCACTTCCTGCTCTACCTGCACTTCCTGCTCTACCTGCTCTGCCTGCTCCACCTGCTCTACCTGCTCTGCCTGCTCCACCTGCTCTACCTGCTCCACCTGCACTACCTGCTCTACCTGCTCCACCTGCACTTCCTGCTCCATCTGTTCCACCTGCACTTCCTGCTCCACCTGCTCTACCTGCTCTACCTGCTCCACCTGCACTACCTGCTCTACCTGCACTTCCTGCTCCACCTGCACTTCCTGCTCCATCTGTTCCACCTGCACTTCCTGCTCCACCTGCACTTCCTGCTCTACCTGCTCCACCTGCACTTCCTGCTCCATCTGTTCCACCTGCACTTCCTGCTCCACCTGCTCTACCTGCTCCACCTGCTCCACCTACCCTACCTGATCTACCTGCTCCACCTCCTCCACCTGCACTTCCTGCTCCACCTGCACTACCTGCTCCACCTGCACTTCCTGCGCCACCTCCTCCACCTGCACTTCCTGCTCCACCTACCCTACCTGCTCTACCTGCTCCACCTGCTCCACCTGCACTTCCTGCTCTACCTGCTCCACCTCCTCCACCTGCACTTCCTGCTCCACCTGCACTACCTGCTCTACCTGCTCCACCTCCTCCACCTGCACTTCCTGCTCCACCTGCACTTCCTGCTCTACCTGCTCCACCTCCTCCACCTACCCTACCTGCTCTACCTGCTCCACCTGCACTTCCTGCGCCACCTCCTCCACCTGCACTTCCTGCTCCACCTGCACTACCTGCTCTACCTGCTCCACCTGCTCCACCTGCACTTCCTGCTCCACCTCCTCCACCTGCACTTCCTGCTCCACCTACCCTACCTGCTCTACCTGCTCCACCTCCTCCACCTGCACTTCCTCCTCCACCTGCACTACCTGCTCTACCTGCTCCACCTGCTCCACCTGCTCTACCTGCACTTCCTGCTCCACCTGCTCCACCTGCTCTACCTGCTCCACCTGCTCCACCTACCCTACCTGCACTTCCTGCTCTACCTGCTCCACCTGCTCTACCTGCTCCACCTGCTCCACCTGCTCTACCTGCTCCACCTGCTCCACCTGCTCTACCTGCTCTACCTGCACCACCTACTCCACCTGCTCTATCTGCACCACCTACTCCACCTGCTCTATCAGCTCCACCTCCTCCACCTCCTCCACCTGCTCCATCTGCACCACCTACTCCACCTGCTCCACCTGCTCTATCAGCTCCACCTCCTACACCTGCTCCATCTGCTCCACCTGCTCCATCAGCTCCACCTGCTCCATCAGCTCCACTTGCTCCATCTGCACCACCTACTCCACCTGCTCTATCAGCTCCACCTCCTCCACCTGCTCTATCAGCTCCACCTCCTCCACCTGCTCCATCTGCTCCACCTGCTCCATCAGCTCCACCTGCTCTATCAGCTCCACCTCCTCCACCTGCTCTATCAGCTCCACCTCCTCCACCTGCTCTATCAGCTCCACCTCCTCCACCTGCTCCATCTGCTCCACCTGCTCTATCAGCTCCACCTCCTCCACCTGCTCCATCTGCTCCACCTGCTCCATCAGCTCCACCTGCTCCATCAGCTCCACTTGCTCCATCTGCACCACCTACTCCACCTGCTCTATCAGCTCCACCTCCTCCACCTGCTCTATCAGCTCCACCTCCTCCACCTGCTCCATCTGCTCCACCTGCTCCATCAGCTCCACCTGCTCTATCAGCTCAACCTGCTCTATCAGCTCCACCTCCTCCACCTGCTCCATCAGCTCCACCTGCTCTATCAGCTCAACCTGCTCTATCAGCTCCACCTCCTCCACCTGCTCCATCAGCTCCACCTGCTCTATCAGCTCCACCTCCTCCACCTGCTCCATCAGCTTCACCTGCTCTATCAGCTCAACCTGCTCTATCAGCTCCACCTCCTCCACCTGCTCTATCAGCTCCACCTGCTCTATCAGCTCCACCTCCTCCACCTCCTCCACCTGCTCCATCAGCTCCACCTGCTCTATCAGCTCCACCTCCTCCACCTGCTCCATCAGCTCCACCTGCTCTATCAGCTCCACCTCCTCCACCTGCTCCATCAGCTCCACCTGCTCTATCAGCTCCACCTGCTCCATCTGCTCCATCTGCTCCACCTGCTCTATCAGCTCCACCTCCTCCATCTGCTCCATCAGCTCCACCTGCTCTATCAGCTCCACCTGCTCCATCTGCTCCATCAGCTCCACCTGCTCTATCAGCTCCACCTCCTCCACCTGCTCCATCAGCTCCACCTGCTCTATCAGCTCCACCTCCTCCATCTGCTCCATCTGCTCCACCTGCACTACCTGCTCCACCTGCTCCACCTACTCCATCTGCTCCATCTGCTCCACCTGCACTACCTGCTCCACCTGCTCCACCTACTCCACCTGCTCTATCAGCTCCACCTCCTCCACCTGCTCCATCTGCTCCACCTACTCCATCTGCTCCACCTACTCCACCTGCACTACCTGCTCCACCTACTCCATCTGCACCACCTGCTCCATCTGCACCACCTACTCCACCTGCTCCACCTGCTCTATCAGCTCCACCTCCTCCATCTGCTCCATCTGCACCACCTGCTCCACCCAGGAATATGTTTTAAAGTTATATCTGAAAACTTCTAGATAATAAGAAAAAACATTCAAAACAAATAAAAGCAGCTAATTATTAACTAAACAGATTAAATAAGACAGAAAATATAAGATTATCATAAAAATAAAATAAAAAACGAAGCAAGGAAACGATTCAAAATTGTAAAACGTTAAAAAGGGTTAAAAATTAATACAACAATGAACTAAAAACACCAGATTATTAATACGTAGAAGTGAGAAAAATGAAACTAGAGATGAAATGTTGAGCAGCAGGTCAAAGGTCATCAGGGTAACGCTCACCTGTCCTCCTCCGTTCACCTTGTTGGTCAGTTTCACGCGGTTGAAGCTCACCGGGGCCTTCATCCAGTGGGCCCCAAAGTTGGGCGAGTCCGGGTGGATGTAGATGCCTCCGTGGCCCCGCCCCTCAGCGTGGCGGCTCTCGGCGCGGCCCGCCGCCACCCACTCCCCGTTCACAAACTTCCACCTGCAGCCGTCAGCGGGAACAAAGTCCAGCAGGAAGGAGTACATGGAGCTGGGGTCCAGACCCGACACGCTGACCTTCAGCACCGGGAACATCCTCCTGGAAACACACACAGCTTCAGGGGGACTGGAGGACCGCAGGAGCTGGAAAACCCAGCATTTAGGGAGGTGGAGGAGCTGGAACCTCCTTCACCTCCCCTAAGGAGGAGGAGCTGGGGTCCAGACCCCATATCGTGACCTTCAGCACGGGGAACATCCACCTGGAGCCACACACAGCATGTGGGTGAGGAGCCATAACATCTGTGGTGAAGGAAGAAGCGCCTGGATCTAAAGAACTCCAGAGGAATCCCAGGAACCAGCAGGGCCTGTTCTTTCTCGATTGGGCCAAAGCTCCCCCCAAAATATGAGTGGTTCTCAATTAATAGTGGGAGATATCCATATCATCATCATCCATCCACTATCCCAATCATTCCTAATCCAATCCAAACCATCAACATCAAAAACCCTCACCAAAAAATCCCAATAATCAATCCATACTAATCAAACAATACAAAACACAAAACCATAATCCATCCCTCCAACATCCACATACTTCAAAAAATCACTAATATACATAATCCAATCAAACCACCCTAAACAAATACTCAATTAATCATCAACAATAAACACTAATATCATCATTAAAACCATACATAAAAAATAAAATAAATCATCAATCAACACCATATCAATCAATACATAAAAATCACATCACATAATAATAATAATCCATTAAACATCTAAATCCAATAAAATAAAATATTATATAAAATCCACCATAATCAATAATACTCATTCCTAATCCCTCATCCATAACACATCAATAATCCAAAACCCCAATAATCAAATCCAAATACATCAATCAATAAAAATATCATATAATCATCACAATATCATAAACAAACCATCCATAATTCATTACCAAAATTCCATTAAAAATCCATATAACAAAAATAATAAAAAGAATAATTTATAATAATCCATTAATAAAATATCCAAAAACTATAAATTCAAATTATCCATAATAATCACAATAATATCATCCATCCATCATAATAAAATAATCAATATAAATAATAATAAACCCCCCATAATCCAAAATATATAAACAATAAACAATAAACAATAACATATCTTGAAACATAATAAATTAATATTCAAAATATATATATCAATAAAAATTATCACATAAATACATAACATCCATCAAAATAATCATTTCCGATATATCTAATAATAATCATAAAATAAAAAATAAATAATAACTCATATAAATAATCATAATAATATCATAACTACAAATACAAAATAAAAATCTATCAATAAAAAACATCTAATACAAAAAAATCATACATATTATCGGCATCCAAAAAATCAATAATCTTATTAATCCATCAAATTAAAACAATACATAATCATAACCAATAAAATCATAATAAAAATATCCAACATAAAACAATACATCCAATACATAAATACCAATATAAAAATATCATACAATCACAACCTCCATCATCATACACAATAATAAAATAATTCATCACATCCATCATAATCCTCAAAAATAATCCATATCCAAAAAATAAATCAATAATCATCCTCAATACACCCTTTTCAAAAATAATAAAAATAATCAAACATAATCAAAATATAACCAATAAAATATCTTAAAAACATCCATCCATAATAATAAAAATCCCTAATGAATCATATAAAACATATATCAAAATAATACCCAAAAAATCATATAATAATACATACCAAAACATACCAACATCATAAAATCCAAACTAATCAACCAATATCAACCAAAACTCAATATAACACTAATAAAACATCTTCCATAACAATCAATATCCTCCTATCCACATATCATAATCATATAACCAATCCATAAAAAATATAATCCTAAATATAATTAAAAAAATCATATAAAGATATAACATACAATCCACCCTAATCATATATCCAATAAAATCCAACATCAATCAACCAAAACCCATCAATCCAACCAATCAAATCATCCATAAAATATCAACATTCACATCCATCCACCAAACTCACCATATACACATAAACAATCATCCACATCACCAAACATCAACAATTCCCATCATAATCATAAAAATTAATAAAAATAATAAAAATATATAATCATAAAATATATAACTCCTATATCAATAATTCAATCCCCCTTAAAAATATATATAAACATCATCCATCATCCACCATCAAAACATCATCAATAATCCATAATAATATCAATGACCATCCATAAAAAAATAACAATAAAATAATCCAACCCTAAAAATAAAATCATACCTTCCCTCAATAACATAAAATTCCATATCATAACCCTAAAACCAATTAAAAATAAAAATCAACCTTTTCATACATCTTCATAAAATAAAAACATATATATCCAAACAAAACATATATCTAATATCAACATCAAACATATAACATCAATATATAAAAATAATACATCCTTCCTCATCCATCACCATCCACCAATCAAAACATAATTCCATAATATATTCACTAAAATATAATTCATTATAATATATAACCATAATCATCCATATCATCAATCATCCATCATATCCATCCAAAATCTCCATCCATATCATCATAAACCATCATCCATATCATAAAAATTCATCATCCATATATATCAAAACATTATAATCATATAAAAAATATAATATATCATCTCTATATAAAATTTCATAATCAAATTATATAATATAAAACCCTCCATATAAACAAAAATCAAAACCACCATAATTATATATTATCCTAAACATGAAAAAACAATAAAATAAATCATATAATTATCTCCAAACATAAACATTAAAATAATCCCTCAAAATAAAAATAAAAAATATCCAAAACCATTATCAATAATCTTATTCAAAAATCATAATAATACCATATATAAACATAAACATAATATCATTCATAAACCATGCATGAATGACATGAATTAATAATCATCCATTAATAATCCATCATTCAAAAATTATATAAATCAATTAATACCATAATAATATCATAATCAATAAAATAAATCATAATAAAATATCATATCCAATAAAATATCAAAACATCATAACATCAAACATAATATATCATAATCATCATATAACATCCATTATATATCCATCAATCAATCCATAAAACATTATATATATAAAAATAAAAATCAATATTATATATCATATATAGCCATCATCATAAAATAAAATATCATATATATCATCCATATCAAAATCACATCCAACAACAATATTAAAATCAATCATCTATTCACATAATAAACATATATCAAAATTATCCATAATATATATAAAAATCATCCATCCATCCCCAATCATCCATCATAATACATCATCATCCATCAAAATCATCATCCATCAATTATCCATATAAAGAACACAACATAAAAATCATATCACATAATCATCATCATATATCCTAATCTAAAATAACCATCATCAAACCACATAATATATTAAAAATTTCCAAACCATCAATTATCAATCCATATCAACCAAAAATAAACATCAATATATATCCAAAATCAAACATATCATCCAAAATCATTAAAACTCAATCCATCAAAACCATCCATCCATCCATACATCCACATCCATCATTCCATATTCATCATATCCACATTCCTATCATAATATCCAATTAAATCATATCACCATTCATCATCATCCCTCCAACATCCATAAAAATCCATCCATCTTACTATCCTACATCATCCACTCTATATCATCCATAATCCATCATCTCCATTCACCATCCATTCATCCATCATCCATTATCATCACAATTCATATCCATCCTAACCATCAATCCATCCATCCACCATCCATTCATCCATCAATCCATCCATCCATCCATCCACCATCCATTCATCCATCCATCCATTCATCCATTCATCCATCAATCCATCCATCCATCCATCCATCATCCATCCATCAATCCATCCATCCATCCATCCACCATCCATTCATCCATCCATCCATTCATCCATCCACCATCCATCCATTCATCATCCATCCATCCATCATCCATCCATCCATCCATCCACCATCCATCCATTCATCCATCCATCCATCATCCATCCATCCATCATCCATCCATCCACCATCCATCATCCATCCATCCATCATCCATCCATCCATCCACCATCCATCCATCATCATCCATCCACCATCCATCCATCCATCATCATCCATCCATCCATCCATCCAACAATTTCTCCATCCATCCATCCATCCATCCATCCATGCATCCATCCATCCATCCATCCATCCATCATCCATCCATCCATCCATCCATCCACCATCCATCCATCCACCATCCATCCATCCATCCATCATCCATCCACCATCCATCCATCCATCCATCCATCCACCATCCATCCATCCACCATCCATCCATCCATCATCCATCCATCCATCCATCCATCCATCATCCATCCATCATCCATCCATCCACCATCCATCCATCCATCCATCCACCATCTATCCATCATCCATCCATCCATCCATCCATCCATCTATCCATCATCCATCCATCCATCCATCCATCCATCCATCCATCCATCCATCCATCTATCCATCCATCCATCCATCCATCCATCCATCCATCCATCCATCCATCCATCCATCCATCCATCCATCCAGTTCATCTCCATGTGGATCAAACTGGTTGTTCTGGTTTCTAACTGGTTTTATTATCAAACCACCTCCATCTCTCCAGCTAATAGAATAATTGATTCCATCTCTCCAGCAGTGAGAGCAGCTGAAGTGTCGTCCTGCAGGTGTGAATGGAGTGTTTGTGCGGCGCGGGGCGCGGCCGGTCATCACGCCTCTGCAGAAAATAAATAAAGAACTAAATAAATTCCATAGAGGCGACGGAGGCGGCCGCTATGGAGACTAATGAATAACCCCGCTCAGCAGCACGCCGCTACCCAGACCGCCTCATGTGGGCCACAGCCGACCCTTCAGAACCCTCCGTTCTGCACTAACTGTCAGATGCTTTCAGCACAGATCTCAAACTAACTTCCTCCTGTTTCTGTTTTCTGTGGCGAAGCACTCAGACCTCTCTGCTGATTACCGCTTTAATGACGCTCTGAGAGCAGAAGAAGGAGACAAAGGCTGGAAAATTACAGCCATGGTTCACTCCGGGTTCCTCAGAGGTCAAAGTTCAGCCCAAAGAGGCCAGGTTCCAAGAACCGACCCACTTCAGCCTGACCAGATAAACCAGTATGGGCTGAACTGGGACAGAGATCTGCCTGGTCAGAAGGTACAAACCCACCAGGACCTTTAGAAGATCATCAGGCTGAGGTCTCGACATTCACTGTCTGCAGGGAACCCTGGAGGTGCAGCAGTAGAACCTCCATGAAGGTTTAGTGTGAAGGAGAACCCGTCTCCGACGCCTGAGACGGAACCAAAACACTTCTGAGACGTTCAGAGCTCCAACCAGGACCTCCAGAACACTCAGAAAGGACAGAAGGCCACCAGAGGTTCCAGCTCTGGACCAATGGCTGGCTTCCTCCAAGGAAAGAGCGTTTCCATGGAGACCTCCATGGTGTCCTCTGGACATGGAGAACCAGAGATGGAGGTCGAAGTCATGAGAACAGGACTGGACCTCCACCCAGAACCTAGATCTGTTTCTACTAGATGTTCCAGTGGGACCAGAGCGTTCTAGCTGGTTCTGATGAACCGTTACCGTCCGTTCTTGGTGACGATCATCTCGTTGGTGATCAGCTGGAACTTCCTCCACAGCTCGCCGTCCTCCAGCGTCACCTTCAGCTCCCGCTCCGTGGGGTCGCCCTTCTCCCGGCCCGCCTGCAGCTCGTTCTCCACGGCGCTCAGCAGGCGCGACATGCAGGACGCCGCCGGACTGCGCTCCGCCCCCGGAGCAGACTCCCCGTCCTCCTGTGAGCCCTCCACCTTCATCTGGAGACCCAAAGAAGACACACCTCCATGAACGCGCTCTGACATCACGCAGCAGGAAGCGGCTCTGACCTGCAGGAGGATAATGGCTGCGCTCCAATCAGCGGGCCGCTCAGACCCGTCTTTGTTCACAGACACTCAAACGCCCCTCAGACGCTTTTATGTCTTAATGGCTGCAGAGGGCGGACCCACAGAGAACGCACGCATCAGCGGTTCTGATGGTTCTGATGGGCTCAGAACCTTTTCCTTCTAACTCCAGGACTCGGTCACAGGATCCTGATTTTTTTTAGACCAAAGATGATTTTTATTTCTCATCGACCCAGAAAGTATTCACACCCAGAACCGGTTCTGACCGGTTTCTGATACCTGCTTTACCGGATCATTTCCTTCTTTACTTTGACTAGGCCGTTCAGAAAGCTGGACCTGCTGGTTCTGCTGCAGAACCCAGCTGTTCTTCTGGACCCGCCTGGGTGAGCTGCTGAAGAACCGGGTCAGTTTGGACCAACAGGAACTGGGTCAGTTTGGACCAACCAGAACCGGGTCAATTTGGACCAAGCAGGGTCGGTTTGGACCAAGCAGAACCGGGTCAGTTTGGACCAAGCAGGGTCGGTTTGGACCAAGCAGAACCGGGTCGGTTTGGACCAAGCAGAACCAGGTCGGTTTGGACCAAGCACAACGGGTCAGTTTGGACCACACAGAACCGGGTCGGTTTGGACCAAGCAGGGTCGGTTTGGACCAAGCAGAACCGGGTCAGTTTGGACCAAGCAGGGTCGGTTTGGACCAAGCAGAACCGGGTCAGTTTGGACCAAGCAGGGTCGGTTTGGACCAAGCAGAACCGGGTCGGTTTGGACCAAGCACAACGGGTCAGTTTGGACCACACAGAACCGGGTCGGTTTGGACCAAGCACAACGGGTCAGATTGGACTTTTTCATCGGGTCAGTTTTTCCTGATTTCAACCTGAGTTTGATGCAGAGCAACATTAATCGCTGAACCTCTGGTTTAATAACGGATCAGAACCGGTCCAGAACCAGAACATTAATGAATTAGCTAAAGCTTTAACATTTTGTTCATTTTATTAATAGCACTTTAATTCATTTCTAATTTATTAAGTATTTTAAATCATTAATTCATATTTTTCTAATAAAATTTAAAAAATGACCTCGAAGCAAAACTGAAATATTTAAATGAGAATAAAATGTGTTAATTATCGATCTTTAAATGTTAATTTTTATAAACCTGGAACGACTTTTTTTTTATTATTCTTTTATTTTCTGAAGCAGATTAAACCGAATCTGAAGCCGATTTATTTTCATTAATAAATTTCTGCTTGAATCTGATGGTTTTATTAAATTTTACATCTAAATAATTTCCAAAAACATTCAGGTTCCAGCATAGATCTATAAAAACAGAACCAGACATTTTCTGCTTCATCCGAGACATTTTTTATTGTTTGTCGAAATAAATTTCTGTAAAACATTTATTAAAATCAGTTTTAATTCCTTTTTATTAAAGCCATATTATAAGTATTAATATATAATAATTTCAAATATTTCAGCAGAACATTTTATTCAATATATTCTTTATTTTCAGATGCAAAAAAGAAAAACAGCTTTTAGAAAATGTTTAGTCTTGAAAATAAAAGCTAAACAATTTACGTTTTTTATTGTAATTTTCGGGAATTTAAAGATCATTTCAGAGGAATAGTTTTTATTCTGTAATTATTTCCTTTCACAGGCAGGAGAATAGAAGCGGATCAAATTAATCCGCTAACTGGAGTGTTTGCAGCGCCGCGGCCATACGGGATTATTAGACTAAGGAATAAAACAGCATCTTTCAAAGGAGAAAAGCTCCATTTATAATAATTATATTGATAATAATAATTATTATTATTATAATGAGAATCCACATGTTTAAAGACAGAACATCAGATTTGATTTGATTAAAAATAATGTGAAGGAAATTATGTTATTCCTGTTTAATGAATGTTTTTTCATGTTGAGCAAATTTTAAAACAAATCTCCTAATTTTTAAAACCTGTGAAAAATGTTAAAAAGCAGAAAATTTTGAGGCTAAATTTTAGAAGCTGTTTTTCATTAATCATGAAGTGAAAGTTCCTACCTGCAGTGAAAGCGGGTCTAATCAGAACATTTAAAGGTCTGCAGACGGTAAACCCTGACAGCTGGAGCTGACCTGTGAGCCGCGCTGATCCAAAGTCTTCAAAGTGAGGATGAAGGTGAGACCGGAGCTTCTCCAAACGGGTCTGCTCGCTCCACCTCGCACGCTCGCTCTCTCTCTCCGCCTAACACACACCCCTCTCCTCCCTCTGCCGCGTCCTCAGGGGCTCAGACGGTCCAGATCCGCTCAGAACCAGAACTAAAACCTGAATTCCTGATGGAAACATGAACCCAGCAGAGATGCTGGTTTTATGGAAGGGGAAGGTTTGAAGTGGCAGAGACGGTTGGAGGCGCTCCGATCGGCTGCGGATCGGCTGCTTCCAGGGAGGAACTGAAAGGTTGGCAGCAGTGAGGCACAGCGGTGCAGGCGTCATGCTGAGGGGCTTCCTCCCTGTGATAAAACTGAAGATCAATTAAGGTTCTGGTCCCAGAAAGGTCCAACAGAGACCTGCTCAAACAGAACCAGAGCTGGATCTGATGGACTGTGGTCCAGATTCAACGACCCACCAAGGTTAACCCACTGGGTCGGTCGCCATAGTAACAGACATCAGTCAGTCAGACTCGGTGAACTGGACCAGGTTAGCCCACTTGGTCGGTCGCCATAGTAACAGACATCAGTCATTCAGACTGGGTGAACTTGACCAGGTTAACCCACTGGGTCGGTCGCCATAGTAACAGACATCAGTCAGTCAGACTGGGTGAACTGGACCAGGTTAACCCACTGGGTCGGTCGCCATAGTAACAGACATCAGTCAGTCAGACTGGGTGAACTGGACCGGGTTAACCCACTGGGTCGGTCGCCATAGTAACAGACATCAGTCAGTCAGACTGGGTGAACTGGACCAGGTTAACCCACTGGGTCGGTCGCCATAGTAACAGACATCAGTCAGTCAGACTGGGTGAACTGGACCAGGTTAACCCACTGGGTCGGTCGCCATAGTAACAGACATCAGTCAGTCAGACTGGGTGAACTGGACCAGGTTAACCCACTGGGTCGGTCGCCATAGTAACAGACATCAGTCAGTCAGACTGGGTGAACTGGACCAGGTTAACCCACTGGGTCGGTCGCCATAGTAACAGACATCAGTCAGTCAGACTGGGTGAACTGGACCAGGTTAACCCA